AGATCAGAAGGTACGCGTACTCTTAGATGCGGAATGGAAATCAATATTTATCAAGAGAGCCTTTCATATCGAGCCTTAAATCGCCTCATTGAGCTCCATCCCGGTCATGTGTTGACCTAGACAATTTCTAACCTGTATACCCCTGCTATTATTTTCATTCCCCCTTCCACAAAATAGGTCATCTCTTTTGCTCTCTAGCCCGCTTTTCATGCTGTGACTGGATAGTTTCAACTTACGTATACGCGTTTTCTTCATTTAGGACAAAATCAGAAAGTTGGTTGATATCTGGGAGCGTGGGGCCACTTTTCCAGCCGCTATGCTCTCGTCTTTCAAGGAAAAGCTAAATGCACCAGTATCTCAGAGTAAGCCCTCCCCCTTCGAACTCAACGCGTCTTCCCAATATGTGGTTTAGAAACGTATATCATCGGTCAGAACCACTGGGAGGAGCTTTCTCGGGGTATGTGAACCCAGAATTCTAATGTATGACTTCTTCATAGATGTGGAATCTACCACTCCCGAGGGATCACCAGCACCCGGTTTCAATCCACTTTTGGGGTTAACTCAGCAACAACCACAGCAAGGGGCTTTGGCCGGCGGCTCGGCTCCAGCACAATCAGTACCAGACACCTCAAGCATTTTGAAAGCTCTAGCAGATATGGCTAAACAAAGTACAGCGGCTGCGCCAGCTGTCGCAACAGCCGCACAAACTAGTCCCAATAATGTATTAAATACGCAGAGTGCAGCTCCCGCTCCGGTCTCTTCGTCTGTAGAACAGACTGCGCAACAGTCAAACGGGCAAGGCGTAAACCCGTATGCTGGAAATCTTGCCGCTCAGTTTGCAGGCTTGAGTAATCTCGCCCCAAATATGTTTCCAACCCAACCGCAGGCTCAGCCTACGAACCCTCCTCCTGCTCCGCAGAATCCACTTGCTGCTCTGTTGCAGCAGCAGCAGCAACCGGCGCCGCCGCCGCCTCAACAGCAGCAGCAGCCTCAACAACCCATTAGCACTCTTACGCCTGAATCTCTCCAGCAGCAACTAGGCCTTATCCAACTGCTTGCCGCACAGGGCATTCCCCAGGAGCAATGGGCAACTGCACTGCAAATTTTAAGCTTATCTAACCCCGCCGCAACTACTGGCATGCCCGCCCCCAATCCCGCTGTTCTCTCTGGCTTTGGTCAGCCAGCCGCTCAAAATGCATGGGGTGCACCAGCCCACGATACATCATCATCACGTGACCGTGACCGTGAGAGAGATAGAGACCGTGATAGAGACCATGATTATGTGCGCTCCCCGCCTAGCCAGTATCGTCGGCGTTCCCGCTCTCCTGGATGGGATAGGCGGCGTGATGTTTCTCCTCCCCGTCGTCGCGATAGCCCTGTTTATGGGGAGTACCATGGAGATTCTCCTGGTCGTAATCGGGCTGATCCCCGTGATATGAGAGGCCGCCGTGGTAATGACTATCGACAGCGTAGCCCTCCGGGAAGACGTCGCCGCAGCCCGACCCCGCCTCGTAAGGATAACTCATTGCCTCCTCCCGGCCCCAAATTTGTTGAATGGGATTACTCTATTGGACAAGGAAATATCAAAGGTATCTGCTCAGACATATGCCGACCACTCATTTCGTCTTTGCTAGTAGGAATTCTTATTAACATGTTTAATAACTATAGTTCTCAGCCGTACCCTGTTCGTTGGTGGTGTTACGTAAGTACCTCGATTCTGCCTGTACCTCGTACACTATGTAGGCAAATCGCAATGCTAATGTTAGCTAAATAGATCCTCAGAGTCGCATTTACGGACCCTCTTCAGCCGTTATGGGGCAGTCCAAACGTGTATTGTCAATATCGACAAGCGGCATGCTTTTGTAAAGATGATCAGCCGACGCGACGCAGTGAATGCGCGCGAGGGAATGGAACAGTACAAGTCTGGCGACATGCAACTTAGAGTAAGTCTTTTTTTTTTTTTTTTTTTGATCGTCGATCCGCTATTTTGGCTACTAATTCTTGATGGTAGACTCGTTGGGGCGTTGGATTTGGTCCAAGAGACTGCAGTGATTACCAAACTGGCATTAGTGTCATCCCAATCGAACGGCTAACTGAGGCCGATCGTAAATGGATGTTAACAGCAGAATACGGTGGCACCGGCGGCAAGCCAATTGAGAGTGGTATGGTTGTCGAAGAACCCGACATTGAAATTGGCGCAGGAGTATCTTCAAAAGGTATGTGTGCTTACATCTTGGTTCGAGGAGCACTGAAATTGACGACCGGAGTAGCAATCAGTCGAAGAATGGCCACGGATCAAGGAGGAAAACGCGGTCCTCAGTCGTCTCGCCCGACACACGATCAAAACCGCTTCCGTCGGCCAGAGCGTGGAATGGATGATGGACCTGCGAACGATCGTGATCGTGATCGCGACAACTCTAGCGCTAATAATGTTGCAGTTCCTCCAGCTGTCCCTGGATTCGGTTTCCAGTTCCCCGGCATGCCGATGTTCCCTCCAGGCTTCATGCTAGGAGGCGCACAGCCATCCTCGACTACGACAACTCCTCAGCCTCCTCCACCCGGTTCAAGCAGTTAGATGAAAGCCAAATCCTCCTAAAATTACAAGTTGCAAGTCTACAAATAGCGATTTCGAGAAATGGCGTTAAGTTATTTGTACCTGGGGAAATGGCATCTAGGAAAGCCCGTTGACTCTTTATTCATGGCTTTTGACTTTTTTTTTTTTTTTTTTTTTTTTCCCTTTTCTTTTCGCATGTACTCACAAATTCATTGAGGAAGACTTTCCTGGTAATACTTTACCTTTTTTTCTCTTCCGGGTCTACATTGTGTGTTTATTTCCCATTCAGAATCCTTTTTTTTTATATTCTTTTCCAGGTTCAAGAATTTTTACGTGTGATTGTTCTCTTTTCCTGATGCGGTGGGGCTGGGTTATCTGGAACGTCTTCTCTTCAACCCTGTACTTGTATGATTATTAGCAACTTACCTTGTCTAGTGAAAAGCTACCGCTATTTCAGCCAAACTGTGCGCCTTTTTTAACATTATTCAAGGTGATGGTCTCATTCTTTGTAGGAGGCAGAAGAAGCCAGAAATGACTATATTTAGACAATGCGGTTTAGATCAGATACTGTAACAGCGAGCGCTAGGCCCCAGCAAAGAAGCTCCTTCTTATGGCCTTTCCAAGCCGCATACATCTCGCCGGAGGAAAAAGAGAGGCAGATATCATACATATTTTTTTTATATTGTACATCACCTCTTGGCTATCTTTATCCTGGGCCAGCTTACATGCCCTTTTGGTCTCCCATATGCCAATAGCTGAACAACGATTAAAGCAATACCATCGAGTTGTAGAGAATGGGCGGATAGATGTGGCTTTAGCATCCCAGTTGCTGGCAGCTCAACACCATGGAAAGCCCTTGCAGTTTAGGTATCTGATGACAATTATCCTGAATATCATACCTTAATGCCATAGTTGCAACACCAAAAAGGGCGCGTGGAGATGCGCAAAATATCTGACGCGGCTGTAGGTTCTCGAATCCGCTTTAAACAGTACCCACAACGCTGCCTCCTCTGCAAAATTGTGCAAGGTCTCAAGTTCAGCTGTTGGCCGGGTCCATTTCCACAAGGCCATGTGAGCTTGCGGCTGAAAGAGCAGGGGTGATGTCCCCGGGAGTATGATGTAAGGAGATGTAGTTTAACGGCTTCGTGCGCCCAGCATCCATTTGTTTCTTGGCTCCCTCTATAATTCCTCTAGCAAGAAGAGAAGGCCTAGATGGTTGCTAAAATCTCATTGTCCACGTCAGACGAGCGGGAACCATCATGGAAGGTCCGTGATTATTCCACCACAACTGAACTACGTTAGGTCCAGCAGCGCTGAAACTCACCATTTCCGTGGCATTGTATGTGACAAATTCTCCTGTAATAGCTCAATAAGAAACAACGTGCCGAGTACCTGACGGCATGTAGATCCCGAATCGGCCCACCCACGTTTCCCAGCTCAGAATCCCATTATGAACTGGGGACGAATAGAAACTTTTTTTGTGGGAAAGGGGAGCTCTGCAAAAGATGGCAAATAAAATAATGCTATACGGGAGGCGGCAGCCGTATGCTCAAGGTAGTAGAAATGGGTCATTCTTCATATTCAAGCTATTGCGGGTCCCAGGGTTTGATCCATCGGTATCCACGGCCCATGGTCCAGTCTGTCCGTCGGCGCATATATTTATCCAGGAACATATTTTTTTTCAGTGACGTCTTATCCCGTCAGATCCGAGAAGCACACAAAGTATGACTTTGCCAGAGACTTTCATTATATTTTATTGTGGTCCCTTATTGGAACAAAGAGGGGGAAATGAAATCCACCGTACTTTTAATAACGTCTTCTGTTATAATTCGGAGTGTTGCAGTGGTTTTTATGCCCATCGGGGATTCCTCGGAAGACGTAGTGATGCACGTTCTTCCGTCATCCAGCCTTATAGGAGCTTTGTCCAAACCAACTTCGCAAGCAAATGACAAACGGGCGGGAAAGCGGCTGCTGCCGAACTGGGTTCGATGTATCCGTAATGCACGTACTCATACGTTGGTAAAGACGGATGTTGGCAAGTGGGACAGCAAGCCGGTTGATTCAGGGCCAAGAGACTGCGCCTGGAAAAGCTGGGACAGAGAAAAGGTGGCGATGACTGCTCCCAATTGATGCTGTCTCGCCATGATATAGTCGACGACTGAGCGAGGATGCACCTCGAAGTTTGTATGTACTTCATTCAAAAAAAATGCCCAACCAAAACAAGCTACCCTAGAGTCTTGATTGTTTGTAAATATATAGCCCTTACTTTTCTTTTCAAACGCACAGAATAAGATCAACCATATCCAGACTCTTTCATAGAAGGACGATAGTTGAAACGTTATCTCCCGTTGCCAATCTTGACAGCCAGATCCTTGGTGTGTGCGAAAGCCGTTTCCAAGCCGCGGTTCTGCGCAAATGCTTAAAGAGTCAGGTTTCATGGAAGTAAATGATTATATATTTGCCGAAACGACGCTCCGTAGATGTACTTCAATCCAGCTCAAAGAGGTCTGGCTGGGAGCAATGCTCTCCTGCAAGTCCAGGTCCGTACGGAGTAAACGGCGAGGTAAGCAGCTTTCGTACCCGTCGATCAGTCGGTCAGGGCGACTCCAGGGAATTCATCTAAATGTACTCCGTAGACAGAATTAAAAAAAAAGGGAGAAGCAGGAGACGGTGGTCAGTCTCGGAAATCAGCTGAAGAATGGGAGTTTGTCGTCATTGCTTGAGGGCACTTCGCGCGAGGAAGACAGCCATCCCGGCCGAGGAGATGCTGCTGGCCGGCACAACCACCTAAAGCTCGTGACGGCCCGAAGAAGCTGTTCCTACCCACCGCGTAGAGCGATCGCTGCCAGTCCCCGTTCATCCCCTTTTTTCGTTTCAAGCTTCCCGACATGGAAAGCTGTTCAGGTTCAGGGGCTGAGAAGGTAAATTCAAAACAAACAAACAAACAGACAAACTGGCTCAGAGCTATCCCTGGCAATGAAACCCTTCAGCCCCTGTCATGACGAATTTGTCTCGACTCCTGAGTTGTTCGGCCGGAAACGTTTCGCGAAAGGAGACAACGGCGGCATCACCATCTCAAGCCAAAAAAAAAAAAAAAAAAGGGTGGAGGATTCACATTGGCAAAGCTTGTCTTTCACCCGTCAATTATTTGGCGTCGATCGGTTGCTCTGATAGTCAGTTACACAGAAACCAGAACAGCTCTTGCTGCTGATTTAATACGATGGCGGTAATATGCCCCAAGTGCCCCGTGCATTTAGATTGGCTGCTGCTGCTTCGCTAGCCTCGCATGTCTTGCATTGATTTTGTTATCCAACCCCGGAAGGACAAGGGTCTGCGGGAAAAAAACGCCACGCCATTTGATTCTTGAACTCAAGAACTCGGTAGCACGTTCTTCGTGCTAATCCCGGAGAATTCTTCCTTCAAGCAGGTTGCTATTCAACTTTCCGGTCGGAGAATCGTTATCTGGTAAAAATCTTTCAAAGAGCGAGGCAATTGATCCCCTATCTGTATCTGAGCTACGAAGCCACCAAGCAAGAGCAAAGGAAGACCCTCGTCACCTTGTTCGTGTCCACTGAAGAGCTAGCGCAGAGTGACTACGGGTTGAACCGGGCCGGGGATCGCACAGGGCCGTCTCAGCAGCCGCTGCGATCCCACATGGCATGCGCTCGATCAGCGTGGCAGCTTCGCACACCGTCAAGACTTGCACAGCAAATAGGAAGCACAAGGTCTTTTACGAACCCCCCGCCATGACCTATTTCTCCAGCCAGGTAAGGATGGCTCGAGAATTGAGATCACAAGACACGGAACGACGAAAAGGTCCAATCGCACGGCGCGAGTCAAGAAGCGTCGCAACCAGCGGTTTGGGAAAAGAAAGCAGGGAACGCTGCTTGCGAATCAGCCCGTCGTTTGCTCCATTATGCGGGAATGAGTTAATTGTTGGCGTTTTGCCGACTGTAAGCATGGTCGTGTCCATTCACTGCGGGTTAACTTTGACAGCATGATTGCTTTTGAATGCTTGACCTTTGCCAATTCGAGCCCCAGACTTCGCTCTTGAAACACCGTTCTTTCGTGTTGTCTGCTCTGCGGACAGTTCCATCCCATGCACCTCAGTAAGTTACCACTAAAGGCCGACCGGGCCTGTGACTCGCGCGGGAGCTACATATTCAGTTACCTAAGCTCGCGAAACCTTCTTCCTGGACAAAATTCCCTCCCCCTCCCCCTGGCTAGAGCTACTATCCCCTTGCCCCGATCTGGAGATTGCGAACGGGGTGGTCAGGTAACGTTCCCGTCTTGTCAAAAAGCCAGAAATGCGCGCGTCTTCGATGTCGGGACCGATTGCGGTTGACGACAAAGTGGAGTGTGGCTGCCTTACTCTCTTTAAATCAAAGCCGACGTCCACGAGCCCAGGCAGTAAATCAGGGGAAATCCAAGAGGGGGGCGGACTTGATTCAACTCTGGGGAGATGTTCACATCTCCAAACCCTTCTCTTTTTTCCCAGAGGCGGAAGTATACCGTTACGGTGGTGTATCTCAAATACCCAGCCCCTGCCGTGAGTCCGAATGCCACCGCTTTTCGACTCAATGGGCACGCCCGCGGAGATCCCAGAAAGCTCTCTTTAAGCTTCTGGAATTACACCAGAGGGTACTGCGGTATCGGCTGTTACATACCGCCAATACACTCCCGTACGTTACCATACATACAGTTCAGACGCTTTTTGGGGGATTTACACAGACCACCCGGTATGCAGATTCTCTTATTGGTTGGCTGGCAGATCAGTCTCAAGTCTGATGTCAGCCAAGACCCGTCAGGTTTGGCTTTTTTGGTTCTTCTAGAAGCCACGTCGAACAACCGCGCATCGGAGAAAGTGTTTTTCATTTCTCCGGCCAGGTCAGATTTTTATTTTTATTTTTATTTTTTTATTTTTATTTTTTTATTTTTTTTTTATGTGAGGCATTTTCCGTTCCGTCTGTCCTTTCCTTTCCTGGGCGAATTACGCTTTCTGGCGGCACGGAACTTCCAGCCGCGGAAGTGGCTGACCCAGCCAATGTGTCATCTGGAACGTCGCAGCGGGCAAGAAGCCATGACCGCCTGTCGTCAGGATTTCATTCCGCCAGCCTCACGCTGCAGTGGGTGGGCTCGGGGACTGTGCTCTGGAATTCGGTTTTGTTGCTCTCAAAATTGGCTCGGCCGTTGCCCTGCAGTAAAACTAATAAGGGCGCGTCGCTTCCGAGGATATCGCCGACGTGGACTTGGGGAACCGGTTTTTCATGATATTCCGCAAGTTTCGCACACGGGCGGAGACTCGCAGGTGAGGACCCCTTGAGAACCGGAGAAAAAAAAAAGGAAAAAGGAAAAAGGGGGGTGGGAAACGGTTCCCCCGCATAAGACAGCGGCCTCGGGTACACTAGTGATATCAGGCGTTTCCCTAACCTTCTCCGAACCGTAACCTGTAGAACGTCCGCTGGGGAGGGAAAAAAAAAAAAAAAAAGGGAAGGGAGAGAAAAGGATAATTCTCGTAGGATTGCTCCCTTCTCGACAACACAAGAGCCGGTGCACCCTATTGGCAATCGTATTCTTTTCAATAATACGGAGTACTCACCGCAAGATCTCTTCGGGAACTCCGGAATCGGTTTCTCGGTTTGCCTCTTCCTTCAGCCGTTGGTTACGTCAGAACCCCTTTGGCTTGCCACCTTCACTGGACTCGAGACGGAGTTCGTATAGCGCCATCAGCGTGTGTTCCTCGCTCAACAGCCGGAAGGATGGGGAATGAGAAAAAGGGAAAAATTAACTGCGAAGAACCTGGTAGTTCGAACCAGACACATGGGATCCGAAGTTTGGCGTCTGGCGGCAGGATAAACTGCCGGAACGGTCCGTGCGAGACGGGTACCTCGTTTATGTAGATATGTAAGTGTCTGCAATTTCATACACCTTGGAGACGAATGGGAGGAAAGGCAAAAAGTGGCAAGCTCAAGAAGCCGAGATTGCCAGAGTTTTAAACTATGAAGTACGGAGCCCAGTGTGCCTAAACTTGTTCCTGGGCCGGTGCCTGGAAAGTAATAGCACAAGTTCCCCTTTCCGCTCCGAGGGCGCAATGATTCGGGGTCTTAACCGTTTCACTCCCTCGTCATGGCTACCAAAGGGACTTTGTCAAAGTACGGGATACCTCACGTATCTGCGCACATTTGGTGGTTGGAACCACCTTGCTAGTAACTTCAAATGCTCTAGTTGCGAGAGCCCCTTCAAGCGCGATCCTATGTATCCCTGTGCGGATCAGCCAATGGCGCAACCTTCGGCTGCATGCGCTCATAAAACTTTGAAGCAGTCCTACCCTGGGGGTCACCCAAAGGATGCAAGGCGAATTCATGTTTTCATCTTGCCTTTTTCTCTCAATACGTTACAGCGAAAATCGAGCAGCCCATGGGAATATCCTGTTCTCAATCGATGATGATATCCCTTAACCACAGGGGGGACCAGATCGTAGGGATATATATATATATATATATATGTATGGAGTGTATTTCTGTAGAGATCCCTTTCTTACCGCCAAATGACATGCATTCTCTTACGTTCAGATCGATCAGATGGCACCGACGAGCTCCTTCGGGGAATGGCGGTTCTTGCTTCCAATCCCTGCTAGTCACCATGATGCCTCGTGACTTCCTGCCGACTAGGACCATTTGCTCTCCAGGGCCAAATTGCGCGCATCGCTCGGCCGCGGCATCGTCGGGCGAGAGCGTTTGTCACGGCTGGTTGAGAGGCTCACTCTGCCAGGCACAGTCTCCCGCATCTTAATTTCTTTTCTTTTCTTTTCTTTTTTTTTATTCTTTTATTTTATTTTTCTAATTTTACTTTTCTCCCTTCACATCTCAAGACTTGCTTCGATGAGCAGCTAAAGACATCAATCATGTGGTCCATCATTTCTTGTCGGGGAAAAAAAAAAAAAAAAAAAAAGGTTTGAAGGATTCAGCTCGGTTTATCAGAATGCTTTGAAAAGAAGCCGTTTCAGTGCCTTTTTATTTTTCTTTTCCTTTTCTAAACGAGAGCATCATTCAATTGCTGTAGACACACACACACCCCCTGTTCTGCGGTATTTCCTGAGAACATAAACTTCTTGAAAAGACTATTCGCCATAGAGGTTGAATCGAGCCGAGCTGATTCCATCGCTCCATAATGTTGACAGGCACAAATAACATTTTGATATATCTAGGCCTCCTTTTTTAACTTTGTATACGTGACACGATGATGTACTCTCCAACCAGAGCATCAACCAGAGTGCAGAGTCTGTAACTGCGTGCAATAGTTACATACTACTTTGCCCTCTGATCCACCACAGCGGAATTTGCCTGAAGCTCTCCGGTTCTGGCCTGACAGGACGGACAAGAAACTCTTCAATCACAACTCACGCCTACGCCCCTTCGGCTTATGTCATCCGGCTTCAATCGTTTGGTTCCGAATTTGTTCCTGGACCAAAACCATTGCCGAAAGTTGCCGGATTTCGAGTTCCCTTTTTTTTTTCTTTTTTGCCTCCCTGTGTGGGTCAAGAGAGATATCGAGATAAGGCTGCCTCGAAATTTGCCAGAAAACTTGAAAAGGCCAGAAGATAATAATAATAATAATAATTCGAGGGGGAGGCGAAGAGCGGCAGAGGGGAGATAGGGGCAAATTCGCAGGAGTTTTGACGTTTTGACGTGCTGTCACACTTGAGGCGGACGGGAAGGTTACCCGAAAAGAAAAATTTATTGGGCGAACTTCGTAATTATATCGATTTCTGGAAGAGGCAGAAACGAGCCGAGCCATGGCCCGCTGACGTTTCCGTGCATACATTGGTTATCGATCGTTGACGATTCGATCGATCCCCCGTCTGCATCTTTCTGTGGTCCGCTGTTGGAATGTGTAATTCCCATGGAGCACACGTAACTTTACCTATCCATGGCGACAAACAATGGTTGCATTCCAATTCGAGAATCGAAAGAGTAACCAAATAGTTCATCTGATTCGGCATGCTTCTGAGGAAAATGCACTTGAAAAATCCACCCTTTTTATTGCACACACGGACGTCCATTTTCCATCGCTGCTGGAAGTTCAATACATACTCGGTGAGAATCGCTGGGCGAACCAAGCTCCAATGGACGATCTTGGCTGCAGCGACATACAAATGCCTCAAAAAAATAAAAATAAAAAATAAAAAATAAAAAATAAAAAATAAAAAAAATAAGAAGGCCGAGAATACGTTGATCTTGACTGCTTTATGAGCATTGTGTCCTCGGATTTTCTTTCCCCCTTTCCTGCATGCTTCGAGCTGCCCAAACCCCGGGTTTCCTGTGTGGCCACTCGTAGCTACGTGTCCTCCGTATTCCGTTCAACCCACCTTCGAAAGCCGCTGGCGTGCATGTCGTCGTAGTCGTTTATCCCACGGCGGAATGGACAAGCGCCAAGTCCCCGGGCTGTCGTCCTGTTCCACCATCGCCAAGGCCAATATGCTACATTGCAAGATCACCCTCCGCTTTTTGACTTCCAGCCTCTCCCACCCTGGATCTCTTGGGCGGCGGGGGGAGGGGAGGTTGAAAGAGGAAAAGAGCGCGGCTCTTGCTGGTGAATATTACCGGGGAGGATAGAATCGGCTGGTGGATTGAACAAGACAAATAGTGTGTTTGCTTTTATTCTTATTTAATTATTTTTTTCGTTTGCTGACGCTCCTTTTGAAAAATGCTCTTGCGTCTCTGAAAAGTTTCCTTTCCCGCTAGTAAGTTTGTAAATTCTTCTGCGTCTCTTCATGACCAGAGTAAAGCAGCATTATTCGCTGCAGTGTCAATGGACGACAAGAAAGCCACCGTCTTTCGAACAGGGCAGTGTTGTGGTCTTCGACATGGCCGTGGAAAAGATAAGTCATGAAGTGGCGTAAAATCGTCATCAGTAAAATCAAAATGTCTTTCTTGTTTCCCTGTAATTTCCCACAGAGACTCTTGTTCTCCTCTCGGCGGATGAGACCTATTTTCTTGGGTGAAGAGGGTTTCCCGCGCTTTCTTTCAACCTCCTCCCCGGCTCCGAAGACACAAGAGTCTTGGGAAGAGAAGACAAAACCTTGGCGCCACTGTTTTTCGATTGAGGCACAGTCGTTACTCCGTGCAACCAGCTGTCTTCCGCCCGTGCTAAGACTGGGCGGGCAGAACGATGTTTTTTTTTTCGGGCATTGGCACGTTTGCGTAGTTCGAGAGGTTGGACATGCAGGATTCGGGCTGCGTGTTGCTCGGCAGCTTGGCCGTGAGCCTGCATACACATATGTATGTAGGCACTCCCAACGGGGCCCCTGTGTACAAAATTGAGATACAGGGTTCCATTGCCCTCGCCCGAATAGGATGTGCACGGAGAAGTTATAGGAGGGAAAAATTTTTCTTGACAACTACGTATGCGCTCGGGTCTTGGAAGCTTAAGAAGAAGGACGTCTGGGCTCTTGATGGCGATCGCGGAAAACGCGTTGGAGCGCTTGGGTTGACAAATCTTTCGCCGACCGCACTGATCATCCAACGCGTTGCCGAACGGTGTGTCGCTTGAACAAAGCCGCGGGGCTTTCTTTGATGCGCAACTATGGAGTGCGGATGGCACATATGTAATGCAATATACTCCGTACTCCGGAGATGATGACGGCGACGGTGATGATGGTTATTTTGGATCAATGCGCGGGTGATGCCCCGCGGCCGATCATCTGCAATCCCTCCCCGAGTGTTCGCAGTTTCGCCGGAAGGGTATTCCAATTGGGCTGCGTGGTGAAGGTCTTAGCTTCGCTATGGCGGTGAACTAGCCCATAAGCTACGCCGCATACCCCAGAGCTAAGGGCATTGATGTCAATCCCACGCTCAGGCCGAGTAATACATGCATTAAGTCACATTCTGGAGAAGACATTCTCCGTCGACGATAATCATGAATGGATCTTCCCCCGGAACGAGAGAGCGTGATGATTGAAGGGCCGTTTCTGGAGTAGCCCAAGCGAACTTAAATAATATTACTATCATCATCTTACTCCGTTCTCCGTACATTTTGAGATAATACAGCAACTTTTAACGGGCGGGAATGGCAGGATATAGGATATTCCAGACTGGGGCGAGTTAAAAAAAAAAGGCTGCATTCTGGTATTCGTTAACGGAGCTCTCTCTTCTGGAGCTTCCCCATCGTTTTCATGAGAGGGGGAAAAAAAAAAAAAGGGGGCGCCATTTATCATTGCTCCACAAACTAGCTGGGTGACCGGCGTCGGCAAATGTCCATTCTCCGGTGAGTCCTGATCGCGAGAACGTTCAACTCAGGCGAGATTGGAAATTGTCGAAGATAACGACAGATGGCGGGGAAGGGAGCTGAAGGATACATAACAATAGGTGCTTTTACGATTCAAGCAGGATGATGAGATCATGCTAGCAGGATCGAAGACGTAGCCCGCCACTGATGTCAGAAAATTAGATGGGGAGGGGGGGAAACAATGCCTTGCAGGGCTCGTTCGCGCAAGGTGGTGTGGCCGCCTCTTTTTTGGCCTGCAGGTCGACAAAAAAAAAAAAAAAAGCAAAAGCCTGTCCGTCTTGTTGCTAAAGGATTTAGGGCACGGCCAGTCTTTTGCCGAGAGCAGAGAATTCCCAACAAAGGATTGGTGGGAATGGCCACCGACTATCATGACACCAGCGACAAGCGGGTTAGCTCTGAGGGAAATTATGACGGGGTAATAAGTAAAAAGGGTTACAACGTAAGTTCTGGGGCAATTCCGTTGGAGCCGATGTGGTAAAAATGAAAGCAAAGAGGCTTCTTTTGCTGGTCGTTTTGAGCTCCAGGAATTGTTGGGACTCTTATAATCATGAGCAGTACTCCGTTCTCCGTGGCCTTCGTGCCTGTACACAGCCAACGGAGAAGCGATGTTCGAGTTTCGACAGTCCAGTTCGCCCTGCTGTCATTGCTTGATTGCACTAAGGTAAAGAAGCTATCTGCACTCCAGATATCTTATGCTCCGTTAATTTACGTTATGCCGCCCATCGACGAGCATGTGTGGAGCAGTACGGTCCCACCCCATCCTAAATATACCAACACAAGTCGCAGAAAGTCTTGCTTGAGTATTCCAGTCCCTCCCGCCCGTACCGATCAGGATGGCGAGGATGTGCCGATATTTTTTTTTTCGGCGGGACAGCAAGTTACATACAATAACATCCATACGGATGGACAGAAAAGAACTGGAGTGTCAATCTTGTTCTGTTCTGTTTTAGCTGCGGTTTCGGTTATGAAAGGGTTCGTGCAAAGTAATACAGGCAGAAAACGCCAGGCGATGTAAACTGAGACCGGGGGAGGACGGGCCAGTCGAATTTGTCAGAGTTACGGAGCACCGAATCCAGCGGCAATTTGATTCGACAGGCAAAAAAAAAAAAGTCAGCGACGAGGGCAGGTTGCCGCTGCTGTGTATGTTTCCCGTACGGAAGTACCCTGAGCTTACCGTACCTGACGTGCGCTCTCGGTGGTTTGGAGCTCAGAAACGACAAGGTTTTCACCGCGCCTTGCTTCCACGGAGGTGCGGGCACTTGGGCCACCGCGCCGAATTTACCGGTGCTGATCAGAGGCAAGCTCCCACTACTGCGTTCCTTGGTAATAGCGGTGTATTGTTACATATTCCATCCGTATTACAGACGGATCTCACTCGATGGATAGACCCACTTTGCGGACCCTCCACCAATCAGGGCTCCAGTGCAGGACCCAGTTTTCCCTTTTTCCTCGCCCTTGATTGTAATTTTCCCTCCCGTATTCTTCGTCTCCGTCTTCGTTCCATTCTGTCAGAGTACTCCGTACTCCGTACAGTAAATACCTTTTTATTTTTTTCACGCAGACGATCCATGGGTGATATGCAGAGGAGACTCTCGGGCTGTTACGACCAGTACCACGAATACCCCAAGGCGCACAACAGCTCCCGTCCGGCCATTGTCGTCGATGAGGTGACAAGGCCTGCCTTTTCCTCCCTTTGACTTTTTCCTCGTCTCGCTTTTGAGTTTTCGCGTCTGCCCTCCTCCCATATATCTTCCCTTTCGTCCCTCCCGGCACCTCGTCCTGACCTCTCTCTCTCCTCTTCCTCTTTTTGACACCTCTTCCTCGGCCCTTGTGTCATCAAGTTCCCGTCTTCCCTTTTTCTTTTTTTTTCTTCCCCCAAGTTTGTGTCGTACGGTCTGCCCTCTGACTGTGCTCTCAAGCTTCCCGCCCTCTTCTTCCCCCTCCCCTCCTCTCCCCTCTCCTCTCCTCCTCCTTCTCCCCATCGTCCGCGCCGGTTTAGAAAACTTCACTAACCCCCCCAGATTCAACAATTCAAAAAATTTTCTACCAGGCCACCCTTATTTTCTTCTCTCCCGCGTTAGCAAACTCCAGTCCACTGGATTAAATCAGATCTTTGTCCGATTTCCCCCGGCCCGCGGATCCCTTTGAAAGAGGCTCTCACAATCCGCCAGATCACAATGGCAGAACCGACCGGCTCAACCCGCCCCCAGGGCGAGGGTGTGCCCCCCAACCACCTTGGCACCACCGTCCCAAGTGGAGGCTTCGAGGGCCACGATGAGAAAGCGCACGCTCCTGCTTCCGAGGCGCACTTCGAGAAGAAGCCCATCCCTGACGATGATGAGGAGGAGGAGGACATGGATGCGCTCATCGAGGAACTCGAGTCCCAGGATGGTCACATCTATGAAGAGGATGAAGACACCGGCGAGCCCGGTGGTGCTCGTCCCGTTCCGGAAGAGTTGCTGCAGACGGATACTCGCATGGGTCTCACGGACCAGGAGGTTACGACGCGTCGCAAGAAGTTCGGTCTCAATCAGATGAAGGAGGAGAAGGAGAATATGATTCTCAAGTTCTTGAGCTACTTCGTCGGTCCTATTCAGTTCGTCATGGAGGTGGGTTTTTCTACCGGCTTGCGTTGTGTTGAATTGCTATTTGGTCGCATCTTTGTTTCTTCGTCCTCTTCCTCTTGTTTCCTGCGCTACATGTAAGCCGGGGGAGAGAAAGGCAAGGACAAGATGTGGCCAGTGGTAATTTCTTTTTTATTTTTTTTTCCTTTTTTGGAGAAAATATGTAGCTGATTTTAATAATACAGGCTGCCGCCGTCCTTGCTGCCGGTCTCGAGGACTGGGTCGATTTCGGTGTCATCTGCGGTCTCCTTTTGCTTAACGCCTGCGTTGGTTTCATTCAAGAATTCCAGGCCGGTTCCATTGTCGACGAATTGAAGAAAACTCTTGCTCTCAAGGCCGTTGTCCTCCGCAATGGCCGTCTGTCTGAGATTGAAGCCCCCGAAGTCGTACCAGGTGACATCCTTCAGGTCGAAGAGGTAAGCACCTGTCAGGTACAGCCACCACCAATCTGAGACCATTGTTAAACAATTCCGTGTTGTAGGGTACTATCATTCCCGCCGACGGTCGCATTGTCACTGAAGGCGCTTTCCTTCAAGTTGACCAGTCTGCCATTACTGGAGAGTCGCTTGCCGTCGACAAGCACAAGGGCGATACCTGTTATGCCTCCTCCGCTGTCAAGCGTGGCGAAGCCTTCATGGTGATCACTGCCACTGGTGATAACACTTTCGTCGGCCGTGCTGCTGCTCTCGTCAGCGCTGCCTCCGCTGGTACCGGTCACTTCACTGAAGTTCTTAACGGTATCGGTACTGTCCTTCTCGTCTTGGTCATTGTCACTCTCTTGGTTGTCTGGGTCTCGTCCTTCTACCGATCCAATGGAATCGTCACCATCCTCGAGTTCACCTTGGCCATCACCATCATCGGTGTCCCCGTCGGTCTCCCAGCTGTCGTCACCACTACCATGGCTGTCGGTGCTGCCTATCTCGCTAAGAAGAAGGCCATCGTTCAAAAGCTCTCTGCCATCGAATCTCTTGCTGGTGTCGAAATCCTTTGCTCTGACAAGACCGGTACTTTGACCAAGAACAAGCTCTCCCTCTCCGAGCCCTACACTGTCGCTGGTGTTGACCCAGAGGATCTCATGTTGACTGCCTGCTTGGCTGCATCTCGTAAGAAGAAGGGTATTGATGCCATCGACAAGGCTTTCTTGAAGTCGCTCAAGTACTATCCTCGTGCCAAGTCCGTCCTTACCCAGTACAAGGTCCTTGAATTCCACCCATTCGATCCTGTCTCCAAGAAGGTCAGCGCTATCGTCGAATCTCCCCAGGGTGAGCGCATCACCTGTGTTAAGGGTGCTCCACTTTTCGTCCTCCGTACTGTCGAAGAAGACCATCCAATTCCAGAGGAGATCGATGCCGCCTACAAGAACAAGGTCGCTGAGTTCGCCACCCGTGGTTTCCGTTCTCTCGGTGTCGCTCGCAAGCGCGGTGAAGGTTCCTGGGAAATCCTTGGTATCATGCCTTGCTCCGATCCTCCTCGCCACGATACCGCCAAGACTATCAACGAAGCCAAGACCCTTGGCCTGTCGATTAAGATGTTGACTGGTGATGCTGTCGGTATTGCTCGTGAAACCTCCCGCCAACTCGGTCTTGGAACCAATGTCTACAACGCTGAGCGCCTCGGTCTTGGTGGTGGTGGTACCATGCCTGGATCTGACATCTATGATTTCGTTGAGGCTGCCGATGGTTTCGCTGAAGTTTTCCCCCAGCACAAGTACAATGTCGTCGAAATCTTGCAACAGCGTGGCTACTTGGTTGCCATGACTGGTGACGGTGTCAACGATGCTCCATCTCTCAAGAAGGCTGATACTGGTATCGCTGTGGAGGGTGCCTCTGACGCCGCTCGTTCTGCTGCCGATATCGTTTTCCTTGCTCCTGGTCTCTCTGCCATCATCGACGCCCTCAAGACTTCTCGCCAGATTTTCCACCGTATGTATGCTTACGTCGTGTACCGTATCGCCTTGTCTCTCCATCTCGAGATCTTCTTGGGTCTCTGGATTGCCATCTTGAACACTTCGCTTAACTTGGAGTTGGTTGTCTTCATCGCCATCTTTGCCGATATCGCTACCTTGGCTATCGCTTACGACAACGCTCCCTTCTCCAAGACCCCTGTCAAGTGGAACTTGCCCAAGCTCTGGGGTATGTCCGTTCTCCTTGGTATCGTCCTTGCTGTCGGAACCTGGATTACCCTCACCACTATGTTGGTTGGCACTGAAGACGGCGGTATCGTTCAGAACTTCGGTGTCCGTGACGAGGTTCTCTTCCTTGAAATCTCTCTCACTGAGAACTGGCTCATTTTCATCACCCGTGCCAACGGTCCCTTCTGGTCTTCTATCCCCTCGTGGCAGCTCGCTGGTGCTATCTTGGTTGTCGATATTGTCGCCACCTTCTTCACTCTCTTCGGTTGGTTCGTTGGTGGCCAGACCTCCATCGTCGCTGTTGTTCGTATCTGGATCTTCTCCTTTGGTGTGTTCTGCGTGATGGGTGGTGTGTACTATATCCTCCAGGGTTCTACTGGATTCGACAACATGATGCACGGAAAGAGCCCCAAGAAGTCTCAAAAGCAACGTTCTCTCGAAGATTTCGGTGAGTACAACCCCTCTGAAAAATGTTGTGGTCTAAGACCCCTGACTAACATGTTCCCGTTTCACAGTTGTTTCATTACAACGTGTCTCTACTCAACACGAGAAGAGCGCGTAAAGGGGAAAAAAAGAGGGATTTATAGCAAGGCCTTGTTGAGGAATAGATTTGTGGAGTGGAATAGAACCATTTTCGTCTCTTTTCTTTTTTTTCCACCGCGGTGCGGGTCTTTTGGTTAGGGGGGAACAATACAACATTTTCTTAATCGTCACAGCTTGGTCACAAGCACCCTAATATCCCCTTACCCCCACCCCCAACAACAACATTCGATGAAGCGCCCAAAAAAATAGTGATGCTGTCACCCTCCATATAACTTACCTTGGCAAGAGTCACCAGAAATAAAAAAAGATTGAAAATGTTCCCGGTTGTATTTGGACGCGAGAAGGAAAACAATACCCTTTTAAGTTGCCCAGTTTGTCTACCAGAAAAAGAGTGTTCTCAATTGTGTTTTGAATACAAGTTGGGATGCTATTTTTGAATTTTGTACAGTTGTTATTAAACCCCCTCGAATACTAGTTTGACAGCATATATTATTCATTGCTGGTTTTGCATTGACTTGGCTTGTTCTGCTCATCGTGTGTCTTGGACATAGTCGCTGCTGACTCTGGTTCAAAGCTGAAATTTTTTGAGAGCTTGGGTAACTCTCCTCTTCTTCATGGGTACCCCTGTATAGGCCTTCATACGGATATCCTTTGCAACAGTCAATCATGGTTTTGTGGCTAATTTTGGTGCTACAGCTTGTGTGTAGGTTGGGTACGGCCGGACAGGACGTCGTTGCAGCATCCTTTCTTCTGACAGCATTTTTCAAGCTGATCGTTTCTTTTCTTTTCTTTTCTTTTCTTTTGTTCTTTGCGGCCAATCGATAAATCCCCCCTTGATAGATCACTCTGCCCCTTGTTCCTTCACCGATTGACCTCGTTGAATTATATAATCTATAATATCATTTTTGTCCTTGGTGAGCGTTTCCTCCTCGGCGCTATCTTTTGTCTATATGGCTAGTCGAGAACCGTCGTTTGTATAATAAGCTCTAGATAAACTTCATCTTTTTAAGGACAATTGTCCTTTTTTGCACACGATTCCAAATCACACTCCCCCAAGCCATGTATGCACTCAGTATAGATTCTGTACTGGAGTTACAGTAACATCGCCTGGTGCGTATGTATTCTCCTATTGTGTTGACAGAGGTATTAGTTACATAACTTACTCGTCATGCGGAAACTAACGACGGACTCAATTCTTTCATCAAATCAGCGCCAACGTCAACCCTCCCCGACCTCGAGAAGTTGGCAGCACCCAGGCAGACAATGGAGGAACCGTCGTGTATAAGCTTGTCTTTTTCGCCTCCCTGCCTCCCCAATCAAATCGAGCGATCTCCTCTACGGCCTAGCCGGCCTTGGGGCTCTTCCACGCCTCCATGGTTTGAATGATGTCAGCGTCATGCCATGGATTGCTTGGGAACTCAATCCGGCCATCAGCGAAGATAAGGGGGGGGTGGAAGAGTTACAGGTAATAGGGACGAATGGCAAACGTATGAAGTGTCATTTTTTTTTGGCAACTATGGAACCTTTTCATTCGATGGTCACCAGAGCCTGTTCTTCCCTAGGAAATTCAATTTTGAATTTCTTGTTTGAGTTTTTCTTGGAGAGAACTTATATTCGATGGTCCACTGGTCGTATGACCGTGTTTCCTATTTTTATGGACTACTCTTGAAAGCGCTGAGAGAGAGAGAGAGAGCGTTGGTACTACTAGAAAAGAGATTGAATGATACCATTTTGTTGATTTGTTTTCAGATTTGAGTATACCGATATATCGGGTTGTGACTTAACACGCAAAGCTCCTTGATAATGACGTCAACGTCGAGAAACCATGCCTTCGAAAGGTCTCCGGTCGACGCAGTGGGACAAGGAAGGCTGAAAGAATATGTGGTGGCTGTCATGGCACAGAAGACACAGGAACAACGATTTCAGCGTCGCACGTCTATATATCAGAAGCACAATCTTTTGGAGCATATCAAGAAGAAGTCGTGGTGTGGTCCTCCGTCAGAGGTATGGCCAACCTAGCCCTTGAGCCTTCCGTCGTTCTTCTATTTGCCCGTTGGGGCCAACGTAGCCTGGCTCTGGAGACGACCAATTCCTAATATTCACTGTCTCAGACTATCTATGGCGGCCTCTCTGCATCTGCTGCTGAAGATGACATCGGCATTGCCCTTGCGGTTCGGGATACGACGTACTTCCTCGATTTTGCCGAGCAGCATTTCCCTCGTGACGAAACTAGCAATGCCGCCGAAATGATAACGGATTTTGTCATTGATCAGGTTCGGAAATATAAAATTGAGCATTTGGAGAAGTTTATCGGCATCGCCCTTCCTATCAACCTTGCTGTTCATTGCCCTCGCCTTTGCCCGCGGTTATGGGCCGAGCTGGATATTGTTCCCTTGGTACTGCATGGGAAAGGCGTGCATAGTGTTGGCTGGATCAATACAGAATTGTGGAACTCGAAGATGCTGGACGAACAGGCTGAGTCTATTGCTCGGAAATGTATCACGTTAGTAATACTCTGTGTGGAGGCAGGCTCATAATTATCCTTGATTTATAAAATCGGGAGCTGATTGCGTACCAGATTCTTCGGCCCGAACAAAGCACCCTTGCTGCAGGTCGGCTATCGAGGAACTGTTGAGGTTGATGCAGGGTTCCATGCTGTTTTAGCTACAGTTCGTGACTATGAGAGGACCGTTCGCGAAACGACTTGGGCTGCTGTGCAGAAGTATGCGGCTGATATGAAGGAACGAAATGTCAAAGTTGCTTTTTTTAGTAGTACGCCTCAGGGCGGCGGCGTCGCTCTCATGAGACATGCTCTTGTGAGATTTTCCGAAGCTCTTGGGACTGACATTAAATGGTAAGGATATACACATACTTTAGATTGAGAGGAACAGATATTGATCTACCTCTTGATAGGTATGTTCCACGACCGAAACCAGGGGTATTCCGCATCACAAAGACAAACCACAACATTCTTCAGGGCGTAGCCAGACTTGATGAAAGGCTCACAGAGGAGAACAAAAAACAGCTCACAGATTGGATCGCGACGAATGCCAAACGTTACTGGTTTGGAAAAGGTGGCCCGCTCGATCCCCCGGAGAAAGGAGGTGCCGATATTATTGTGATTGACGATCCACAAATGCCCGGTTTGATACCGCTGATTAAAGCGGCTACTCCAAACCGGCCAGTCATCTATCGCAGTCACATTCAGATTCGAAGCGACCTGGTAGATGATCCCTCGACGCCGCAGGCGGAAGCCTGGGCGTACTTCTGGGAGAGCATCAAACAGGCCGATTTATTCATAAGCCATCCCGTCAGTGCGTTCGTGCCATCAACCGTGAACCCTGAATCGGTGGGCTACCTGCCTGCTTCAACAGATTGGTGAGTTGGCACCTGCGGCTGTCACGTTGTCAGAATGCGAGGAACTTAAACGCTGACGTCTCTCTTAGGCTGGACGGATTGAACAAAAATATGGAAGATTGGGATGTTGGCTTTTACGGCCGTGTCTTCAACGCAAAGTGTCGCGAGATCGGAATGACAACCATCGATTATCCGAAGGGTAGGTTATGACAACTGATAGCTATATAAGCTTTTTTTCCCCCAAGGCGCAGGTTGCTCATACAATCATTTTTTTCAGATGAGTACATCGTCCAAGTCGCGAGATTTGACCCTTCGAAAGGAATCTTCGATGTTATTCAATCCTATGCCAAATTTTTTGACAAGATAAAATCGGAGACGACACCCCCAAAGCTCCTCATCTGTGGGCATGGGTCAGTCGATGACCCTGATGGGGCCGTGATATACGATGCCGTCATTGAATACCTCGAATGTCAAATGCGCCACCTCAAGCCTTTCATCTGTGTGATGCATATCCCTCCCTCCGATCAGATCCTCAATGCGGTCCTTTCAAAAGCCAGGATCGCTTTGCAGCTGTCTGTACGAGAAGGATTTGAAGTCAAGGTTTCCGAAGCATTGCATAAAGGCAAACCGGTTATCGCCACTCTTGCTGGAGGTATTCCGCTCCAGGTCCAGCACGGCAAGAATGGTTTCCTCGTTGAAGTAGGAGATACCGATGCCGTGGCGCAGCACCTCTACGATCTTTGGACCGACGATGAATTGTATGATCGGATGAGTGAGTATGCACTGACAAGCGTTAGCGACGAGGTGTCCACGGTCGGTAATGCCTTGTCTTGGTTGTATCTTGCAAGTCAAATGACCAAGGGCAAATCCTGCAAGCCGCATGGTCGATGGATAAATGATATGGCTAGAGAGGCAGCTGGCAAGCCTTACTTAGCCGGCGAAAATAGATTGAAGAGAGAGGTTGATGTTAAGCCGGCGGGTACTCTGGAGGACTGATGCAGTTTGGGGATGCTTTTATCTTGAATATTCTCAATTGCGCCTGACCACGATCTTTTTTTGTAACTATACATTTTTGATCTTTAGTCAGCTGCATGTTTTACTTACACACAATCAGACCAGAAGAAGAAACAATCGTGTTTGCTAAACTGTGTTTTGTGTCTATTGCTCATAGCACTTGTGCATAGGACAGTGGATTTTGGTATTCCTCTAGCTACCGGTTAGTTAGTTAACTAGCCAGAAGTTATTTATTAAGCGTAGAGAGTTAGATGTCAGAAGCCCAAGTAGGGATTCGTGCAACTTCTTCCATACCTAGAATTCAGATAGTTGACGGCACACCACAAAGTCATGCCAACCTCACACTGTTAGGACTAAGATTCACCTGCTCAACTGCATCACTTTATATAATAGAATACCAGGCCTTTCTCAAGGCCAACTTTTATGATTATATAATTGGGTTCCTTCTCACGTGCGATGAACTCTCCTTGGGCTGCTGCTGGGGAGCGTCCCCTGTTTTGCATCCCTTGAGATTGCTTTCTTCACCATCCATTTTTCTCGTTTGCAGACAATCTTCAATGTGTCAAATGACTGGAGAGAACAGGAAGATGGAAGTGCGCAAAATTCCTGGGTTCTACTATGGTAAGGAAGGTTTTCTTTTTGCCTCAACAAGCATGATGTCAGTCTTGTTCTCGGCGACGAGTGATGAGAGACTGCATGTTTCTCTTTTTGGTTTCTTTGGGTGTGAACCTACGCGTGAGGAGCACACTTGTTGTTACTAGGCTTGATCGCTGTCTTGCAGGTCAAGCCGATTATTCTGCTTCCTTTTTCCATCTTGCATCTTTTTGAACAAACAAGGGCTTTGACAAACGACCCGCACTGCATGACATACTGGGAGCCATGGACTAGAAAGAGGCTACTACTGTGTGGAAACCACACTGTCTGCTGGCTGCAATTATTCTCTGTTATTGGTTTTATGCCTTATAAATTGCTTTTCATGGCATAGTCCTGACCTTTCTCCCTAGACCCGGATAAGAAAAGATATTTTAAGCTTCAGGAAAATTACCAAGTTCCCCAAGGCTCCAGATACTCGAGAGGGGAGGTTAGCAAGCGGGAAGAGTCTGTAGCGGTGGGTTACCTTATCCTTTGCTTTAGATTCTCCATCTCGAAAATGCTGATCAAAAGTTAATAGAAACGAAAGAAGGTTGAGTCGTTTGAAGAACGTCTGGCCTCGGAGAGGATCACACCCTCAAGAATTCTCCATCATCCTCTTTTCGGGAACTTGGGGCTCCAACGAGAGATCGGACAGCATGGACCACGTGCAAATGCTTCTATCCGCGACCGTAGCGAGGCCTGCGTTGGTCTTCTTGGGCGCAACACCCTCGTCGACGTTCGCTCTTGGAATGCCGGGCTGACAGTGAAAAACGTGGAGAGAGACCCTCGTACAGCACGGCTTTTTACAAGTAAGTTATATTTACACCAGCTTTGAGTCTCTCAACATTAATCTTGGTTTGGGCGCTGATGTACATTCTATCTAGCTCTAAATGTAGCTGGTCCTTCTGGATTTTGGTACGCTTCACCTTGTGCATTTATATCAAGCTCGCTGACATGAGCTACAAGTGCTTTCCCTCCTCGATCTCCAGAATATCCATGGAGATACGACCCTACAGACCACTGCCATGATTTTATGGGCAGGCGTGATGACTATGTATGTGGGACAGAGTTAGAAATGTTTTCCTGTTTAGGACCTAACCAGACATAGATTGAATCGATTTCAATTTCTCATGCCGGACATATGATGTAAGTTTCAATGATTTTCCCGGTTTCTAGACTCCTGGAATATATCCCTATTAACTCTTTGAAGGGCACTATCTCATAACCTTATGGGCTTAAGCGTCAATCTGACAATTGGAAAGCTGCTGACGACGAATGATCCTGACTTTCGCCGAGGGGAGACGTTCGACGGTATGGAACACTTCCCGACTTCAAACTACTTCAGCATCCTCTTACTTTATGTAATGACACGGATACAGGACCTTTGGTTTGTGTTAGCCGTCCCGGATGGTCGAACTGCAACATTGCCCCTTCGCCGGATACTGCTACTACTACGTTCACAGTGGGTTGTGGTATGGACTTGATTACTGTTTCCAACAACGAGAGTCAGTGGATACTTGCCACAGCTAAGAAGTTCACATCGCCTATTCGATCTGTCGACTGGCTCAGTCGAAATGTGATTATTGCGGGTGCGACTAGTTCAAAGGTGTGGCTTTACGATGTTAGAAGTCAAGGCTCAGTCGCCAGGCTCCAGCATGCACATGGCGTACAGTCTCTTAGAAAGCTAGACGACTGGAGGATTGTCGTTGCTGGGGCGAATCTTACAGTATGTCAATGAAATTCCTCTTGAGAAATATTCCACCGGATGCCATTTTGTCAAGTCTCTTTACCGCACGAGAAGATCTATAATGCTAATGCGGTACCCATATCGGATAGCTGAGCATGTACGATCTTCGATTCGCGTCTCACCGCACAGATGACCGCCCTCGGCCTAATAACCCGAGTCATAAAGCGACTACACCCTATCTGAACTTTCACGATGTGCAGTGCAATATCTTTAATAATATAGATGTCTGTCCGGAACTGGGTCTTCTCGCTTGTTGTTCGTCTTCCACCTCCTTCCACCCGAAATTTCATTCCTATTAACGGGCCATAGCATCCGAACAACGAACTGTCCAGCTCTACTCGCTTGCCACGGGTAAGAGGCTCACACCTGACCGGGACTCGAGATCAACTAGAGCCATCCGTCATTCACTTTTAGGATATAACTGTCCGGAAAACCTTGCATCATATCAATATCCAGGACCGATCTCTCTCGTGAAATTCGACAATTTGCCGGACCGCCTCGATTTACTTAAAGATTACGAGGATGATGAACGGGATTTCAGCAAGGGAGGGGGCGCAGGAATACCGAGCCTTTTGGTTGCTTCTGGGAGTGCCGTGGACGAGTGGCATTTGTGAAGCGGGTCATGCTCGATTTTGTTACCTCCGTATCGCCTTTTCTTCTTGGGTGTAGCCGGCGTTTTGACTTGGAACTTTAGGGCTAATGAACAAGGATAAAACCATGGCGTAGTATGGCTAGGCACAGGCCTTGGGTGCTCTTAGATCGAAGGATGATCTTGGGTGACCACTGTTGTTACTTGATATGTCTGTACATGTATGAGTGATACCCCAGTTTGCTGGAAAGTCTTTTTTACGGGGAAATAAATACCTAAATGGATTGGATTTCAATCGATCTGCCTACGAATACACTTGGACAACGTTACAGCCTCTAAAGATGATCTGTTAAAACTGACTGTTATACATAGCACGACTATAAATCTAATTCGGTTTGTAGATACATCCCGTTAACTCCATGCTTCATATCCATCCCTATGCAGGTAAAATACTTTTTTTTCCCAAGGTCCGTAAACAAACATGAAATTAGTTCTAGAAGGAGTTGCAGGAAATTTTTATTAAACTCAAACAGTCGCTCAAATCGCTGTCACATTCCTCTCTCTTCGGGGAACTCATCCGCGAGCTTAAGCCGTGCAACTACATTCATGCTGAAAAGCTCCTGAACCAGTAACTTCGCTGCATACGGAATCACCATTTTCACCACTCCTCTTGACGTCTTGCAGCGCTGACACCAGCCCAAGTAGCCCATAAAACCGCAGTTTTCGCACACATCAACTTCGTGCCGATCAGAGGAAATCATTAATCGCTCCAGAAGCAATTGACTGGTACCGTATGCAATGAGACAATCACGCTCCATCTCTCCCAGGCGGAGACCACCATCCCGTGATCGACCTTCGGTAGGCTGGCGAGTGAGGATAGCCCGCGGTCCACGAGCTCGGGAGTGCATCTTATCTTGGACCATATGTTTGAGTTTCTGGTAGTAAATAGGTCCAGTGAACACGTAGGCGGGGAGGGCTTCGCCCGTAATGCCAGAGGTGAGATAATCCTTGCCACCATAGTTGAAGCCCTTGGAGATGAGTATGGCTGACATTTCTTCGACAGGGCTGCCACCAAAAGCAGTGCCGTAACCAAATTGGCCTGAGAGGATGCCGGCTTTGCCGGCGACAAGTTCGAGCATTTTACCGACTGTCATACGAGAGGGAAAACCGTGTGGGTTCATGATGATATCTGGGACTATGCCCTGGTCGGTAAAAGGCATATCGGCTTGTTCAGCAATGATGCCTACAACACCTTTCTGTCCGTGGCGGGATGAAAATTTGTCGCCAACCTCTGGGCGACGGGTTTGTCGTGTTTGTACTTTGAGGAGTTGATTTTCGCCTTCTGTCGTAGATATCATGACTTTATCGATGTAGCTTGGATCCGGAAGTTTGTAGGTTTGTGGAGATGGAATGTATGCAATCGGCCCTCCAGCGTCTGAGCCAGTAATTCCGGAAGACAAAGCATTCTCAGGCGTTGCTTTATTGATGTAAACCTCGCCGCTACTCACCTTCTCTCCCACAGCTGCCAATCCGTCGTTATCAAGTAGGGCGTGCTTACGAATAGGCACGCCATCCTGGCGGTCGGGTCCCAGTAATCGATCCTTTGTTCCGTTTGAATAGCTCTTGAGATTCGCTGAATACTTACGGAAGACCTGGCAGCGTCCAAATCCACGGTCTACTGACCCTTTGTTCAGTACCAATGCGTCCTCGATATCGTAGCCGGAGTAACTCATAACAGCGACCGTGGCACTTTGACCAGCTGGTAATTTGTCATATTTTACAAGTTCTATGGTCCTCGTCTTGACCATAGGTTTCTGAGGATAAACCATTGTGTAAAGTAAAGAGTCAATGCGTAAGAACTGATTATTTGCAATAGCACCTATGGCTTGTTTACCCATGGCGCATTGGTAGGTATTTCGGGGTGACTGATTGTGGTGTGGATAAGGAATAAGGCCGGCGACAGCACCAAGAATAGTGAAAGGTTCGATTTCCAGGTGGGTAGTATTTTCATTTATCTCATTCTCGTATACCGCAATGTAAGAATCGTTTTCTTCGTTAACATCAAGATATTCGACGAGACCCTGAGCGAGGAAGTCATCGAATTCCATTGTTCCATTGCGCAGCATGCCAAGATGGAGATCGGTAACCTTCGACTTCTGGTTCTCGACAATGATCAGTGGACGACAAATTCGGCCATCATCAGTAGCAATATGGACGGCACTTTGGTGATGGTTAATGTATACGCTCACAAACTCCGAGACCCGGCCCATTCGTCTCAACCTCCGGAACGAGTTTAAGAAATGTTTTGGGCGGCGAGTCAAAGCAATAGGCGAACCGTTTAAGAATATAATATATGCTCCTTGGCCGTAAAACTCCCGTCCTCCCACCGCCTGCACATCTTCAGCACCTAAAGCAAACACAAGTTTCCTCACCGGCTCTTCCTCGTCATTCGTAGTGATATGTGTCATGAGCGCAAGATTCTTGACGAGACCGCAGGCTTCACCCTCAGGGGTATCAGAGGGACAAAGCATGCCAAATTGGGAGGGTTGGAGAGCTCGAGGACCGCTGACTTTCCGAGTCTTTTCGAACTGACTGGATATCCGAGTCATCATACCCAGTGCAGAAATGTAGCTTAATCGACTGAGCACATGGGTAACTCCTGCACGCTCCATGCGAAACCGCTTGAGACTCCAGTTGCCCGTGGATATAGCGCGATTCATGCCCTGCGTGATATGATTTCCGTGGATTGCAACCACGCTGAACGCGTCGAAGGCTTCGGTTCGTACAGGCTTCTTCAGCACCTTATCGATGTTCATTTTAATATCGAAGCAAAACTTCTTAAACAGGTCCTCAAACAATAACGCAAGGAGCTGGCCGGCCAATTCCAATCGTTTATTACCGACATAGTCGCGATCATCAACCAAACTTGAATCATGCTTTGCCATTAAAACTCGACGAGCCATGTGAGCCACGTACAAAGCTTTGGGGCGAAAGTTCATGTTCTCCACCTGAACATGAGAAATGATAACCGAAGCGATGGCCTCGACTGCCTCCTGAATATAATTTCGACGGCCTCCACCAAAGCCATTAGGTTTTCGGGTGATTTTAATATGTGATCCAAGGTATTCCAGTGCTTGTTGTTGCGTATATATTCCAAGTTTGATAGACTCTTCGAAATTGATAGCGAAGTCTTCCTGGTATACGCTGTCTACTCCAGCCACGAGAAGTAACATTTCCTTATCAGACTGTATTCCCATGGCCTTTAATAAAATAACGACAGGTATATCATCACTAAGAACGTTATGTCTTAGATATATCCGATCCTTCTTAAGGATGACGTAACTCTTGGATTTTCTCTCGTTCGACGAACTATAGAATTATCAGAACTCAGAAGGTCATATCAAATATATATATATACTTAAAAGAAAAGGGAAACAAAAAATAGTTCCGTACCTGGTGACAGAGGCCTGAACAATCTCTTTCTTCGGATCCGTTTCCACGATGACTCTGTTCTTGCTCAGCTGCTCCTGCACAAGAATCACCTTTTCCGTTCCGTTTACGATGAAGTAGCCTCCCGGATCCAAGGGACATTCGTGTAATAGGTACATTTCACGCGGTGATTTTTTCGAAAGCACGCATTTTGAGCTTCGAAGCATGACCGGCATGCGACCAATCGCTGTTCCATTCCGCTTCACTCGTTGCCGTCCACGGACGTATTCAAAATCAACCAGGATCGGCGCAGCATAGGTCATATCCCGTAGTCTACATTCGTTTGGGGTAACGGTCGATTCGATTTTGAAGCGCGCATCTTCTGACTGCTCTTCATCTGCTCGGCGGGGGCTGCCGAGATAAATATCGTGAAATCTGAAAAATAGGAAAATCTAGTTAGTTCGACGTCCTCGTTATTTTCCCAATTAAATTAAGTGGCAGCGCAAACCTGATGTAGAAGTTTGGGTCCACATCACTACGGATTTCAGCACTCGCTTGGACGATCTTTTTCAGCTGTACCTCGACGAAGTAGTTGTACGAGTCGATATGTTGCTTGACGAGCCCTTTCACCTTCAAAAATGCAGGAAGCAGATTCCACTTGTCCTTTTCAGTGTTGATCGGATCGGTCAGGGATTTGTTATAGTAAAAAGGTTGAAGAAGGTCTTCAAAGTCCTAAACGCAAAATGTTCCGTGAGCTGATGCCTTCACTCTCTTGCATAGAAATAGCGGCTTAATTGGACGCACATCATGGCCTCTGCCTTTACGCTCACCAGCTGGGCCACTCTTTCTTCTGGCATCAGCACCACCCTCCTTGCCCTGGCTTTCGGCTGGCGCAGCCTTTATGTCCCCGGTCCGTTTCCGCTTGGAGTTTCCGGCAGGCATACCTGATGCGCCCGTGCTACTTTGAGCTGAGGGATCTGAAGTAGACTATGCGGGTATATTAGCGTTTCTATTAAATCTACAGGAAGATCACGCTTTGCACGAAGAAAAGCGCAAACTCGAGAAGTACAAACGTTTAGAGAATCCGCGGACGGGTTCTGCTGGGCAGCAACCTGCGGCCGTTTTTTCGGGGGCATAATTGGTTAAACTAATTCACAAACTATAGGCCTTCCATCAGCAAGGGAAAGGCGCACAATGTGGTAAATGGCAGCTCCACATTACCGCTCCGCGCTGGCGAGGAACTCATTCCGATATCCTTTTTAATGACTAACAAATGGAGGGGATAACACGGGGAATATTTAATCCGCGTAAATTAGCCGCGCGGCACGGCGCTAAGTTGACGCTTACGGATAAACAGTAATACCGGGCGCCGGAAGCAGCGCTGGCCCCCACCCGCAGCGAAATGCCTTTGTGAAAAGGGGCTTCGAAAGACCGCATGAGGAAGAGCTTCTGGGACCCCAATGACTTGGTGCAAAATCAATTGGAGGAATACTGGCAATACTTCCTTGTTTTCCAGTTTTCCACCAATGAACAGAAAATGCCGGCTTCCCCTCCCCAACGTGCGCAATCACGGGAGCCGTTCCCCCTTGAATACTAGAGCCCGGATAGTGTCGGTCTTGTCCCTCCAAATTACCCTGGAGGTCACGCGTTGTCGGGTTTAATCTGGCATGGCGAAACGGGATGCCCGAACCCGAAAAGAAGTGCTTTTTATATCAGTTCGCGATGACTTTTTGAGACGCTACCGTGGAGCCACGGCCCCGGCCGGTCTTCAATCCGAGAGGGGAAAAGAGTAACTATGCACTGCCATCGGATTTCTTCAAGGTTGGGCCATTTTCCGAGGTGCCGCATCGGCGTTTTATCGCGATGCCCCTCGACCCAACTCGTCGGTAATCATCAGAACAGCTATTTTGCATGCTGGCTACGAGAACGAGCGTATAGCGATACCTGGACAGCGGCCTAGACTAGAGAGCAGGCGATTATCAAGCATATCGCCTTGCAATCTCTTCTTTTCCACCTGATGGAAGTCGCTCCATCCAGCTCGCATTGTTGACGGGAGACTCCATGAATTGGCTCGGCTCCAATAACTCAAATGCACGAGTGTGGGGTAACTGGATGGGGTCGGGGAAGGTAGTGCAGCGGGATGTGGTCCTATTTATTCAATGAGATAACTTTGAGACCTGGACATAGAGCGAATGGAACACAGATCAGGTACCTTTGCTTCATTCAGGCATGGCCTCGTTGACTTGGGCGCCCAATACTCCAACAGTCGGCGATCCCCCGGCGTGGATGGATCAGATCAGCTGTTTCGATGTTTTTGTGGGTGGTGTAATGGGGCCCGTGTACCTCACGATCGATGTAATCAGCTATATTGGAATCCATCCATCAACAATCTGTTTAGTTCACACCGGCCCCTCGTCATCCAAGCCTTTCTACGCAACGATGCGATGTCGCATGCTCCCCAAGGCATTAACTTAGCAATAGTCTCGCGTAGCTTCATGGATACCCCATCCTCCATAACGATGTCAAGTCCTGCACGTTGCACAGCGACCAGTGACTGTATTTTAACCTTGTCGAGCTGATCAGTCGTTACTCCTCACTTCCGCTGCCCCCTTCCTAGCCGAATTCCTGCTCTGTCCTGTGCAGATCAACCCGATAAAGCTTGGGGATCATTCGGTCGGAAATCTTTACCAGCCCAGAAAACTCCGTGAATATGATGGATGATATCATTGGTCCCTCGCAGAGCTTCGGATCAGTCAGCGCGTATTATATGCATGGCATGCGGGAAGGGGAGTTAGTTCGTTAGCCTGCGCAGTGGGCGGGTGAATCGTGGCAAGCTCGGGTTCGGAACGCTTGTCAGGGTGCAAAATGCAAAAAAAAGCCCATTTGCAATTCCCTGTTCGAGGGGATTTGCTGGTGCCCTTGTCGGAGCTTTGATGGATTGGTTGATTTGACAATTTCAAGGGTTGATTTGCTTTTTTCTATTTCCATATACAGTACGCCTGAATCATGTAGTCTACATAGTACATACATCGACTAAGAGAGAGAGAGGGGGAATTTCAATAGTAAGGTGGAAGTTCAATTCGTGTGCCCTAGAGCTCTCCTCCGTTGACGATTTTGCATGGTGACTGGTCTCTGGGGATGGCGCTGTTTCAGGTTTAAGACGGTCGCAATTGGGATATGTGGAGGGAATCCACAAGCGAGTCAACTATTTTATTTGTCGACAAAGTGTGTAGCGAGTTGTTAATACGAAAAACGGAGATGGGAATCCTGCCTGGTGGTTCTGGTTGATAGACGAGCTTCCCAGCCCCAGCATGGACATCTTACTGTGAGGCGAAAGTTGGATCGTCAAGACCCTTGTCGACTGTTTCTCATCCGTAGCCACTTGTGATCCGACACCAAGGCTGCAGGAAGTGGCATGTTCTGGGCCTCTTGAAACAGACCAAGTGAGCGCCAGCAATGCCAGGGGACTTCGACCTGTGTTGTTCTAACTGTGGACTCGACACTATCCACGTTGTCTCTCAATGATAGGACGCAGAGACAGAGGGAGTTATGGGTACATCCGCCCTACATATGTATGTGCGTATGGGTGTACAGTACGCAGTACGTCCTCCGTGATCTGTAGCTGCATACTCCGTACAAACGGAGTTGAACAGAGCTGCCTCTGTCCGTCGAGATGGGGATATCTAGAGGCCGGATGGCTGGTTAACCCGCAAGCGAGGCTCCCTGGCCAAATTGGATCTGGGAGAATGGGATAGTCCAGTGCAACCGGATCACGGCCTTAGAGACCAGCACCCTTCGTGGTTCAGAGACCGAAGAGGGATAATAATTGCTTTTGTGTCACGGCGAACGGTTGACAGGCCGTGCGTTGGGGCCGTTGGGCAAGGAAGTCCACGGTACATGGCGGGCGTTGGCGGTCCAGCTGCCGCTCGGGCTGGTTGGGCTATGAAACAGGCGGTGACCCCTCAGTGGAATCAGGTAGCGGGTACCTCTGCCTGACGCAACGCCATTTGCTCGGTTTCGCTGAATTTGCGCCCGCGCCATTCCAATCAGACGCAGCAGAAATTCGACATTCCGGGAGGCTAGGCGGCAGGCTAACCATTCTTCCTTCCGCCATTCGTCCAGACCGTCGCGGCGTCGCCTCGCCCCCCCCCCTCCCCGGCCTGCGTCTGCAGTGCTGGATTCAACCCCCGCCATCGATCACACAGGTCACTATCGCAAAAGACTCTCCTCTTCCCTCTTCTCCTCTCATCTTCCCTCAATGCTTTGTGCGCAGAGCCATTGATGGGTTGGTCTGTACAACAGGTCTCCTCTCGTCCCTTTTCTCCCCTCAGAATCCGTCGTTTTCTCCTTGTTCCCCTACTATTGCTTGTTCTTTGCCTCCGCGCAGGATGAGCCATACGACTGTGAGCCCTGTTGACTCATCTTTGCCGGAATCATTCACAGACTCAGACTGAGAGATCCCTTGAATGTGATCCCTCCCCCTATATTTTGACAAACACGGGCTCACCGGAAAGACGGCATCAGACCACCGTGCCAGATCGCTATTTGGTCTCTCTCCATTCTTCAGTCTAGCTTGACAGTCCCGCAGAGAGAAGCTTCATATCTCATAGCTCGTAGACGGGAATACAGCGACCGACAAGTTTTTCAGATAAGAAGAATCCGTCCGCGATTTTTCAAGGTTCCCCGGAGCAGTCGGGCAAAGTACCCAAGAAAGCTCAATTTAACGACGCACCGGGCGCCACCAATCCTTGAGAGCCGAGAGAATCCGAATGCGAAGCCGTAAGTTCCTTTGTCTTGATTTATCAATTGTCGGGTTCGCTAGAGCCAGTGATTTTGAGCTCGCCTTATTTGTAAGACGGCGTTTGTAAGACCAGTCCTCCCCCGTTCTTTGGGTTGGACTAACGCAACAGCGCCAAACATCCCGTCCCAAACTTCCCAACACCCCCCCCCCCCGTCTGCAAGCTCCCAACGTCTTCATCTCTCTCTTCTCCATGCCTCTATTCCCCGCCTGATCTTTCGCTTCCCACTCTGCTCATTTCTTTTCTCTATTTTTCTCTCTATTCTTTCGTTTCCTCTGCTTTTCCAGGTCTATGGCTTGGTTAAGGTCACTCGTTTTGCAGTTTTAACCATTCGATCCGCTTGACTCAATTGTGTGCGCCAGGCAGACAATGCTCACCCATTGACCGGAATATTAGATGTCCGCGGATATGACGTACAGAAATGGTGTCAATGAGCGGCTCGACGAGCTCGGTCTTGCCTCTCCTCGATCCTCTCTCTCGGAATCTCCCTTCTCCAACTTCCCATCGCCTCCGGCCGGCCAATCGAGTTTTAATCACGCGGCCAGTTCAGATATCCGTTCGACAATTCAACGCCGATTCACCACAGACTCCACCAAGTTTTCACCATGGATGAGCTTCGGTCCGCAGCCCCCTTTGTTACCGGAGTCGTTGGATATACTGTCATCTGTGGGTATTTCCCTTCTACTGGCTGAAAATTGCGTGATTGGATTTGAGTGGTTGTGTTCCTCCTCTATTTGCGCTGAAGTGAGGTTATTTCACTCGAGCTCACATACGATTGTGTTCTATGTCTTCTTGATTGATTTTTTTCCCCCTTTACGTATTTGTTTTACTGACCAGCTTTTCCTTACTGTTCTAGGCCACTCGACTCCATAAGTCACAGCTTGTGAGCTCCTCACTTTGTCTTTCCTTATTTCCTATCACTCAACCTCAATACTTCCCTTACCTTTATCCTCCATCCTCTTTCTTCCACTTCTCTTTTATATGCTTCCCATGCTTTCTCTGCACCTCGCACATCTAACTTGACAGTAGTTTGAGAGAAAACGACAGCACATTGAGTATATGAGAGAGCAGAAGAAGAGATTTGAAGCCGACTTGAAGCTCCTCAACCTCCAGCAAGAGAAGGAGGAACAAGAAATGGACCAAATCGCTCGAGATTTGGCACGTACCGACCTCGGGGGGGCAGCCAGCGAGCCAACCACTCCCCCTGAGTATCATGAGTCAGGATTTCCAACTGCCTTTTCTCGTCCCTCTCGATTCTCTATCTCCAACGGCCAATCCACCCCGAATCGATTTAGCAACCTGTTCTCTCCTCAGGTCACTTCTCCAACAGCAAGCAAGGCAAATTCGTCATTTGGTCTCAACGGCAGCGAACCTTTTACTTCAACCATGAATTCGCGACGCAATTCTGAGCATGATTTCCATTCTAATGGCTTTGCAGCTTATCGCCCCCGCCATATGTGAGTTTCTCCTCTCACAAGGTCCCCTGACTTGCCTTGATGCTGACCTATTCATTTCTCCTTTAGGAGCAGATATTCATTATCAACAACTACATTTCCGTCTTCAATTCAATCTTCTGCATCCAGCACCAGTGGTTTTGGTCCCTCCTTGGGATTTGGTGCATTTTATACTGGCAAGCATTCTGTCGACGAGGATGATGATAAGCCAAAGGAAGAAGAACGCATGTCCACCCCTGACGTGAAAAGCTACTTGCGCATGACTGATCCAGATGATAAATTCCCCACTTTAACCAGGCATGACGACGACCCCACTATGGTATGCACTCCTAGAACAATCTTCTTGAGCACCCTCATTTCTAATAAATTAAATGTAGCTTTCAGCCAATTCTGCCGCATTGGATCTTGCAAACTCTCGCACTCCTGTCCCTGAGACATATCGTGCTAATCAGCGTCATCATTCATCCCACCAGAGCTTGCCACAAAATGCTTTTGGCTGGCTTCATAGTGATAGTTCAAATGATAAATCTCACATTCCTGTTACAACATCAGGATTGTCCAATGGAAACTATCACACTCGCCATATCAGTCGACCCTCACTGGATGGAGGGTTTTCAGGCTACGCTCCCTCTACCACAAGCAACACACCATCTAACAGTCGCCCGGCCTCTTTGCAGATGTCTTATTCGACAAGCGATGTTCCAACAATGAGGAATGGTGGCTTTCCAACAAATATTACCCCTCCCGGATCGAGCAGTGATCACCATGGAAGCGGAGTCATCACTCCACACTCTCATAACCCACTTCAGCTTAATGACACGCCCCCTACTCCTCAGTCGGAGCACAGCGAGCCTATTCACAATGTGCAATCTTTACAGTCTAGTTTCCAAGTAACTGCTGCGCCCTTCTCAGGGCAGATCAAGACTCCTGTCACGATGTCTGCGAAAGTTAACGGCACCGTCACGCCCACAAAGAATAGCTATCCACATTCTAGTTACGGGTATGGAATGCAGCCCTGGGTTACCAGCCCAATGCAAAGCAATGGGAATCATGGATTTGTTCTTACTTCTCAACCCCCATTTGCACAGCCTTTCCAGGCTTACTCTCGATTCCTTGAAAATCCAGCAAGAGTCGGTCAAGTCCGCCGAAATGGGGAGACGGAGGCCGGCGCCTTCTCTCGATTCGCCAATGTTCCACTTGAACAGTACCGAGGTGAGCTGTATGGGCTGTGCAAGGACCAACATGGCTGTCGCTATTTGCAGCGAAAATTGGAAGAGCGCATTCCCGAGAATGTTCAAATGATCTTCTTGGAGACACATGTGCATGTTGTCGAACTGATGACTGGTTAGTCAACAATCATGATTGCGTTGATTTTTAGATCGTAGCTGATTTCAAATTTCTCAGACCCGTTTGGCAATTATCTTTGCCAGAAACTCCTCGAGTTCTCGAATGATGAACAGCGCACTGCTCTCATTAACAATGCAGCTCCTCAGCTGGTTTCTATTGCCTTGAATCAGCATGGGACACGTGCACTCCAGAAAATGATTGAATTTATTTCCACCCCTGAGCAGGTAATGTTCATGCTAATCATCCTTGGTGTCTTGACAATTCCCTGACACAGCATTTTCCAGACTCAAACTGTAATAAAAGCTTTGCGCGACAAGGTGGTAGATCTAGTTCAAGATCTCAATGGTAATCATGTGATTCAAAAATGTCTCAATCGACTGTCTGCTGCCGACGCTCAGGTATTATCCCCCTATTCAATTTATATTGTGGACTATTGCCGACTCGTTTGCCTAGTTCATTTATGATGCCGTTGGTGCAAGTTGTATTGCAGTTGGCACTCATCGTCATGGATGCTGTGTCCTCCAGCGTTGCATTGACCATGCTTCTGGAGATCAGCGCGCACAGTTGATTGCACAGATTACAGCCAGTTCCTACACTTTGGTACAAGATCCTTTTGGAAATTATGTTGTTCAATATATATGTAAGTTTACTTGTCTCCCTGGCTGTTTGTCAGTTACTAATTTTGGCAGTGGACCTCGCGGAACCTCGTTTTACAGAACCTCTCTGCCAAACGTTTATCGGAAAGGTATCAATGCTTTCAAAGCAGAAATTTAGCTCCAATGTCATTGAAAAATGCCTTCGAACTGCCGATTTTCAGAGTCGTCGCCTCCTTATTCAGGAGATGTTGCCGGTGAACGAGCTTGAAAGAATGCTACGAGATTCCTTTGCAAACTATGTCGTCCAAACCGCAATGGACTATGCAGATCCTGAGACGCGCGTGGCTCTCATTGAGGCCGTTCGACCAATTCTTCCTTCTATCCGCCAAACTCCTCATGGACGTCGCATTGCCGGAAAAATCATGAGCATTGATTCTCAGAGCCGTACTAATGGCGCCGCCAATGGCCAGCTTACTCCTAACGGACGCGAAGAGAACGGACCTTATCCCCAGTCCAAGTCGTTTTCCAATCCGACCATTTCTCAATATGGACCACAATTCAATACCAGCATTTCTGACAGCATGAGCGCCGGCTCCTCTATGACCGTTATCACAGGCGACTCTTCAGTGTCGAATGGAGGATCCACCGCCCCAACATCTGAATCCAGTACCCCCATTTACTGCCCGATTCCGCAACAAGGGGCCAATGTCTTGAACGGAATTAACGGCGGCGCTCAGGGTTTTAGCCTTTATTAATGGCCCCTTTGCTGTCGACCCTGTCCTTTTATTGTCTCATTACAGATTGTACCACCAAATGAAACGACGAAATGACTGATGATGATTACGGCCGCAACCCGAGAAAAAAGAAAGAGAAGAATGATAAAGAAATTCCCTGTGCAAACGCAAGGATCATGACAAAAAAGACTTGCCATATAGCAGATTTGCAAATCTCGGCCCATGATCTCTTCTCTGAATCTTGATGACGCATTGTTTTGTTTCTCGTACAAGGGTATATCTATCTGCCCTGTTGTACAACTCGCCCATACGCATCAAGCCCTCTTTTTGGCCTTTGTACCCAGCAATGACTTGAGAGAAACAGCTCAGCTGCTTTTCATATGGATACACTGCTGTCCCTTACGATGTTTTTGACGGTGCCGCTTCCACTTTAACATTGATATGCATACTTTTGCTCCATTCTTTTGCACAACATTACGGGCTGCTTGTCTACAACATCCAATTCATTCCTTTTGCAATACTGGCGCCATTTCACTTGCTTTGAATGCAGTTTGCCATCCTGTCGATATCACCATTTTGATTTTTCTGGATATACGCACGCACAATCCCGCGATCAGAACCCAGGAAATCCGACAAGATCAGCATGGTTTGGCGGACCTCCCTTTTCTTGATATGCAATCCTGGTTTTTTTTTCTTTACCTTCATTTCTTTGACTCTGCTGTACTTTTATCTTTGTTTCCAGGGCTTGATTAAATCCTACAACGACAATAAGATTTCCTTGGATTTTATCGGAGATTCATGGTGGATGTCGCATGTCGACTGTATCTCTCTGTCTCCCGAATTCGTCTTGACATCTCAATGCCTGCCATCTAAATGCTCCGTTTGACCTGCACACACTTTTACTTTCCTTTTACTCATTTTACTTTCGAGGCTTTGTATTCACGATTGCTTTCCCCGGATTATGATTTCCCCCCCCTTGATGAATAACCCCCACCAGCCTTGTATCATGACCCTTTTATTGCCCTCTCATCTAGAATAGATGTACCCATATTCCCCAATTTTCCCCCAAATTCCCCCGAGTTACAGTAAACTAAGTTGCAGAGCTTTAGCGCATCAGCGTAGCATAGCACGAGCAATAAGCATCAACTTTGTTAAACCTATTTCCCTAGAGGAATTACTCAATCCAAAAAGCTCGGGTCGAGCGTAAATGTTGCATTCCGTAGACTGGATGTCTCTATCCCTCGAGAGCCGACTGACTAGAGTGACATTTCGACAAAAGTTTCTTTGGTGGGTAGTAAAAAGATGAAAAAAAAAGAAGTACTCCCCGACAGGGAGTCGAACCCTGGTCTCCCGCGCTTGTTAATGTTTAACAATGACAAGCGGAAATCATAACCGTTAGACCATCGAGGACTAGTTATTATATTCTGATATAAATCAGAATTATTAATAATATAATATATAAAAAGTAATATAATGCAGAGAATCCAAGAAACCCCAAACCGCTGTATGAACGAAGTCACGACGCGACTTGGATCCTCCTCTTGAGGCTCGCGCGACGGTTTTAACCGTAGACAATAAGTATGGGCTCGACGTTGCCGGAGGAGCTCATTGCATCGATCTCGCAACAATGGCACTGTAGAGACCTGCAAATCAGACAACTGATTAATTTGCTCTGCGTTCGTGTCATCCTGTCCTTTCTACGCCCCTATTGAAGCTTCCCAAACACCCTCCTGCACTGATCAAACTAACGGATGAAAATGTCACAACACAGCCTACTTTACCTTCACCACCAGCCATTTTTATTCATGGACCACAGGGGTCTGGGAAGTCGAGCGTGGTGCGCACTATCCTTGAAGAATATGGGAGGCATGCCGGGTGCGGTTCTCAACCGAACGTTTCGTCCAAAGATACCGTGAGAAAGAGAAAGCAGAAGGGCGTACAGGACCAGCCGGGTGACCATTCGACAAAGGCACTCTTTCTCTCATCGACTATTAGAGTCGCGGAATGTATTACTGCACGGCATCTACTGGTGAAGATTGTGACTAGCGTGATCGCAGCGATACAAAATGCGACCTGGCCGGTATTTATTGATGGCGCGGAGAAAGAGTGGCTGAAGATCATTGACAAGGTCCGGTGTGAGCATGTTAGCACACTACCTGCTGTCTTGAGCGGCATTCTTGGGAAGACGAGGTGCGAGAAGTATGTGCTTCTGTTGGATGGGGTGGATGAGCTTCGAGAAGGCGGGCAAATGCTGCTGGCGGCATTAGCAAGAATGGGAGAGATGGTACTATCCATATCTAACTTTTATGAATTTGTTTATGCTTCTCAGTTGCATAGACTAACACGACATGGTTCAAACTTATAGGTCTCTTCGTTATGTGTCATATTTGCGTCGAGATTTACGCCCCGTCCTCTGTTCCTACAAGTTGCAGGCGTGCCACATATCTATTTCCCGCCATATTCTCGAAATGAGATGCTTGCTATACTTTCAAGGTTGTTGCCTCCACCTGTAGCCGATCTCCCCGAAGAGATCGCAACGAAACTATACCCTCTCTTCCTAGCAACGCTGTACGACTCCTTGGTTGGCCCTGCTGCGGGTACAGTTCCTTTTTTTCGGTCTGCATCTGAAAAGCTCTGGCCGAAGTTCGTGTCTCCAATTGTTAATCAAGAGAATCCACCCGGCGGCGAGTGGGATTTCTCTAAATTACTTGTTAAAAACCGTGCTCTGTTTCAGCAGCAAGGCGAACATATTCTCGTCCATCATATCGTGTCCGAAACCCCTTCATCCACTACGAATGGTACGTCATCTCTCACGAAGACTACGATTCAACTGCCAGCATTGCCCTATCTACCAACTCTCGTCCTCACAGCGGCGTTTCTGGCCGCGTATATACCCCAGCGTCTCGATACAGTGTTTTTTTCAAAGTTCACAAGTTCAAAGAAGAAGCGGATTCGTCGTCGAGGTCGGTTCAACCTTGCATCTCAGTTGCAAGGCCAAGATCAATATTTTGATGACCCAACTCAAACACCAACCAAAAGCAGTAAAAGGTCAGGGGCGCAGTCCCGAGTCACTAAGTCTACGCCAGCATCGTCATCGTCGCTCCTCGGCTCTCGTAAAGGAATCACGAACTTTCTGACCCCACGGCCATTCTCTCTGGAACGCCTCCTCGCAATATATCACGCCATTGATCCGAATCCATCTCTTGTGGCATTACCCGTTGCAGACGCGATTTCTCCGGAGATAGCTACGCTGCAGCGACTGAGATTGCTTGTCCCGGCGTCTTCTGCAGCCGCTGCATCTGGTGGTGCAATTGATGGAGGAGAGAAATGGTGCTTGAACGTGAATATTACGGTTAGCTCGAGCGCGTCGGTCAATGAAGGATGGATTGTGGAAATGGCCAGGGGTATTGGGGTCGACATTGACGAATATTTGGCGATTGACTGATTGGCCATTACCTGCGAATATTATGCTTAGATGGATAGCAAGCGAAGAATGCATGTCTTGAAATATCAATTGTCTGGCTTGGCTTGTTGATAAATCAGTGTGCTCCCCTGCCGTCCCACGGCCTTGCCTTCCACCAACCCCCACTTCCCTCTCCCAGAGTTAAGTGGTTTCTGGACAGCGGAGGGCACGAGGAACATTGCGCGATGAGTTTGGGTACTCCAGGCTGAATGCGAAACAAGTCGGATGCCAGCACAAAAATAAGTACACTTGGCAGAGTGGAAAACTTAGGTGTGCCTGTGCTGAGCCTTTTTGTTTTGTTGTTTTATTTTGAGTGACTCTGGAGCTTGTTCCTCAGCGCTATTTCTTTGTCTTGCATTCACTTCGGACCGGCCATGCTGTTGACGCATTCACCTGAGTTCCATGGTTGTCCATACTCCATATGGACGTCATCAATATGGCATATAGCATGTTCTTCATGTTTGATACCACTTCACAGCGCTACTAAGATCATGAAGATAGGTATGCTGAGGATGGCCTGATGATGATCAGTATATATACAGTGCCTCTAGGACTAGGCTCCCTCAGTACTTCAAGCAGTATGACTTTCTTAAACTTTGCAGGTTTCTCATGCTACGAACCGCTGACTCCATACCGGCCATTTATTTGGAACCTCATAAACAAATATTTAAGAGACATCGTACTAACCATGAAGACCCTCATGACACTCTTGGCATTAGGCGCCATGCTGCTCTCTACCCTGGCAGGTCCGTACTAAGCCATCCATAGCTCTCTGAGAGAAACGCTGCTAATCTACTACGCCAGAAGCTAACAGCCTCACCTCCAAGTTCACTGAATCGTGCTCCGTCTCCAACGGCATCCGTCGGTGCTGCCCAGGAAGCATGAACATGCAAGTTACAAACGGTAAACTAAGCGGCCACTGCTGCGTTCCAGTGGGTGGCTCCAAACGGGACAATAACGACCGCGGCGAGGGGAATATCGGCTCGAATGTCCATATTACTGTAAAAGACGATGGTGGCAGGCCTTGTCCACGAGGCCAGGTAGCCGTACCAGTGACAGCAGAGGACTACGATCAGCGTATTGTCGATTTGAGGGGCCAGAGGTGGAAACAATTTGAACAAGGCGGTGCCCATAACTCAATGGGTGCTTGTAAGGCGCGTCCAGTCGCATTTTCTGGTGTGATGGGGTTGTTGGTTGCTGCAGGAATGTGAGTGGAGGAGTTTTCCTTGCTCACGGGTTAGCTCCTTATGGTTTTTGGATATACAATTTTTTGGCACCTTATGAAACAATTGTTTACCATGGATTTTTCTCACCCTCTCACCCCTGCTAGAGCTAGGCACATGTCTAGGCGACAAAGCCTGTAGAAAGTTATGTGCCTCTACCTATTTTATACAATAAGAATAATAGCTAGTTGTAAGGGCAGATATGGATATACCTTCCTAATACAAGGGTGGCCAATGTCGCATTGCCATCATCCTTCCACACCCACATATAGATGCTCCGCACATCAACAGGAGGCATTTTGTAGTTAGCGGCTAAACACCCCGAACAGGAAGAACCTCCGACACCTTTGGCACAATCCACCAATCATGCCAACGACCTTTGGAACCGGGTTCTGGAATCTCGACAGACAGATTCAATCGTTTCGGCGAAGGACCCACAGGTTCGATCGTGTCAGCCTCTGATTTCGTCGATGATGGTGCTGGGCTCGCCAAAAGAGCTTTTTTGAACGACCCAATGGCAATACTTGTCGCAATACAAGCTCTTAAAGAATCTTTGACGTCTCTGGTCCAGTCCTTCTCGAGGCCAGAAGACTGTAAATTCTTTTTCTCATCTTGTGGTGCTTTCCCTGCCGTTGATTCGGACCCTAAGAACGGGCCCTCTGCTAAGTTCTGTTCTAAAACTTTCCTTGCTTCGGCACTTGCTGCCAGACCCATTTTCAAAACCTGCTCGTCATTCCTGCCAGACAGCGTAACTTCTCTTTCGAAGTATTCGAAAGGAAGCGGCTCTGGCAATGACACGGAGAAGAATGGCTTCATGCGTAGTTCGTAGCGCAGCTTCTCTGACGAGTAGCGTTTAGAAGAAGCTAGATATGTTGAAGGAAGGAGGTTGTGCCGTAGGATAAGGGTGTATAGCGCGTGCAGAGCGACCGCGAACGCGTCTATGGCGAGAAGCTCAGTTAAATATCCATGAATGACTTTGAACGTCCTCTCGAATGCCCGCTTTCGCTCAGCCATGTTGGCTTGTGTAGCGTTTCCGGCTTGGACTATTCCTCTCTGATACTCCGCTTCGACGCAGGAACGTATCCGCTCCAAATGACTAATGTGTGTGCCGCATATATGAGACAGATACCAGTACAGACCGGCAAGCTCCTCCGGGGAATATATAGAAAGCTCGAATCCAAGTTGTAGAAGGAGCCGGACCTGTCTTAGTTTCTGATGATATACCCAGCTGCTGAGCGGGTAAGCGTGCGTGAGCTCGTCTCCATTAATCCTAACTGCTGGTTCGGAAGTCAAGTTGCGAAGATGAACGTCGATCTCCTCAGTCTTACGAACAATAATATGTTAAAATTATCGTTTTACAAAGGGGCGATTCAAGTATCTGTTCTCTCACCTCAGCCTGAAGATGGTCCCAATCAATGATCGAATGACAAAGTGTGCGGCGTATTCGGCAACGATTGAGGCATGACGCCCGGTAAGTATCAATAAATGGCTATTATGCATTAGAAAGGCATAAACATATCGACAAATGAAATTACCTGAGCGACTCGTTTAATGAAAATATCCATGTGTTTTGCAATTTGAAATCGGGGGTCGGAAGGTATTTCAACGTCCTCGTTCTCCTTGTCCAGTAGCGTACTCCATGGCAGGACAAGGTCGATTAAATCATTATAACAGAATTGTTTAATGGATTGAGTGCCGAGGACGCGCATTTCGTTAAGAAGAAATGTTTGCGTGAGAGAGCGAATATAAACTGACGGTTGGGGTTTTCGAGATTGCAATGTCCAGACCGATTTCTTTAAACGAGACGTCAGATAACGCGATATTGTTCATCTGGGGAAGGTATAGGCCTACTTACCTGCAAGTCGTAGGGGCTACGAGAATCAAGAATCTCCTGTACGTCAATAGCATCCTGGCATAAGCGTTTGAGAAAAGCCATTGCATCTATTGGATCGATTCTGACCATGGGCCGTGGAGGGACCGTGCTAGCCAAACGCCGCTGGATCTTACGACTGAATGACTCCTCAACAGGTCTCCCAATTGCCATCGACTTTTCGATAATGCGTATCTGGTCAAGGCAAGCCTGAGAATTCTCCGTTGATCTGCATTGCATCACAGAAGTATCCAGATCTAAGGCATTGAGAAACTCCCTCCGAAACACCAATCGACTGACAAGCGCCTCCATGACCGGCTTATACATATCCTGATTATGGTCGTTAAGCCAGGATATGGCGTCTTCAATAAGAGCATGGACTTTGGAGGATTCGACATTGGACAGGAGTTTCCGGTTATATAACTGTGTGACAAAATCTTCTTCCTATTTTGGGTGTCAACGGAGTTCAAGCCCAGGGAATACTATAAGATAGGTATACTAACCTCATAATAATATTCTGAGCTTACTCTTGCAATAACACGGTCACAAGCTTTGACCAACGCTAAACAGTAGGCCCTAAGAACAATAGAGACCAAGTCTGCACCATTACCTCCTCCTCCACCTTGGTCCCCTTCATTACTTTGAGGTTCATGCCCGCCCGCTTGAGAGCATCGATGGAATTGGGCATCTTCAAGACTCGACGGAACCGGCCAGAGAAGGCGATCCAAATATATCGATGTAAAAAGCGTTTGAGATAACGGATGGCCCATGTGCCATGCTACCTGTACCCTTCCGATCAGCTATGTCTCGCCCAAATGACAGGAAAGACACGACTACACCATACCTCCAGGCATAAAAGTTGGTCCATAATACCCACAACTTCTTCCGGAAGTAGTTCCCTCATAACGTCGTAATCATCCTCTAATGTATCGCCTGGCGCAAGGTATCCACTGTCCATCTTGGAGTCCATAATCTATAAAATCTCGGATTGTCCAGTCCACGTGTCAGTGATCATCTTCCAATGGCAGATATCCAGCAAAAGAGACAAAAAAGCTGCAGATAACCAACGGATGAGAGAATATAGGTCGATTGCGCACCTCCAAGGCCCCGACGGACTCAAACAAGGTGAAGAATTCATCTTTAACGAGTTGGCCAGTTTCTAGTTCTGCAACAACGTATTAGCTCCTGTACACCAAGGAAGCAGGCAGTATTTTAGAAGTATTCAGAACGCACTCGAAGCAGCTTTGGTGAACTCTTCCGTAATGTCTCGTGTCTGCATCTCTTCCGACGTGATGCGGGGAGGCCCTTTGCTCAGACGCATTATACCTGTAACTCAGTTGACCACCAACCCTCTAATTCATATTCAGTAAATTGAAGCTAGAAAAAAAGAAGTATCCAAAAACATTAGATACTTGGACAAATACTTTATTTGTGATTGTCACCTGCGATGTGTGCTGATGGAAGAGCAACCAAGTATAGTGGGCTAGATAGTTACAAACACTTGAGAACGGCCTATTGCGGAGATACGCTATAATGCAAATTTACTCAACCAGCATAGACCAAAGTACTAGTCAACTACTCCAGAATATCGCTCTAATCCGGAAATATTTATTTAATTTGGGCTTAGGAGGTTTATAGAAATGTTTGATTTAACCGTCGATGAACCTGGGAAACAAATCGGTATCGTGTGTCTCGCCCATCAAAATGTACAAGTAGCGCTTGCCCCGTCGCTTATCTGCAGTTCTCATCGCTCGCCCGGTAAGAAAATACATGGCGTTTCTCGGTTTTAAATCTATTTTTGCGCCGATGTAGCGTCTGCGGGAGCTTGCTCGCTCTTGGCCAGATTTTGGAACTCGCCCTGTCTTCCGTTCTGTTCCACGCATCCAGTCAGCTAATTGATCGTCTCGGCCCGAAGGAAATCCTCCCTCTCTACCCCAAAGTGCAGGTTACTGACCTCCCACTTGGCGAACTTCATCTCTGAGGCTCCACGCTCTGCCTTAAGTCTCAATTCCGGCTTGAGCGATCGTCGGACGGTTCTGGCGGCGATGGCCAGATACCGGTTGTAACTGTGTCGACGCAGATCGGGTGAGCAATTGGAGAGCAACAACGGCAGCAAGGATCCAAACTTACGTCAAACCAGCGGTTTTCCACGCAAAAGTCATCTTGGTCTCGATTGTTCGGTTGTAGGAGAGCGAACTGGTCTTATCGTGCACGATTGCTCGCTCGTCTCTCGTTTGGTCTTTCAAAGCCGATCGGCGTGCTTGCCAAGAAATTAATCACGTGAACACACCTTCTGACCGACGAGCGACTCTCTCTCCGAAGGAGCAGTTTTGGACCCGCGTGATATTTATTTTGCATCCTTTGACCATGTCTGATTGTTGATACGTCCCTACATCTATAGATTTGCTCAGAGCCCCTCTCGCTGGTTTGTAACCGGCTGGCCAAATGGAAAGCTCAATGAGCCCAACGCGTTGCGGATCGCGCCTGTCGGTATCCTGGCTCACAGGAATGGTCAGAAATTCAGTTCGCCAGACGGCAGAAGGGAGGAATCCTCTCTTGACTCGCTACTTGGGCCGGTCATCGCTGAGGATTGTGTAAAACTGCTACAACACTTCCTTAAGACATCGTCTCGACCGCAATTCTACGCTCAGGCTTGGACCATAATTTTTTGCTACCTTGTCTGCGGTGGACGGTGGCCCGCAATGTAACCTCAGTGGTAATGCTAGCACTGTTGGGGAGCTTTACTACTTTGGTGCCGAAGCTACGGAGGATCTTAAGCTGATCCTTGGTCCACAAAGGAACTAATGTTGCCTTGCGGGGGTTCCTTTATCATTTCATGTCTCAGAATCAACATTGGAATGATCCCGTCATCAGTTGACCAAAAATTAAGCTGTGCTTGTTCTGCCGTCCAATACTTCGAACACATAGCGTTCTTCGAAAGAATACGAAAGGGACATGCAGAAATGGAGTCAAGAAATCAAAACAACAATCGAGCTTCCCGAAGATCCTATGTTGACAAAGGAAGTTGGTCAAGCTTTCCCTGGGGTCAAGATCATAAGAAGGTCTCGGCCACAATATGACCCGAGCTCGACGTTGAGCCAATTCAGGTCCTCGAGCATGGATTGCAAGGGAAAAAGAAGATTGGGTGATTCCTCATCGCTGCACGTTGATGGATATACCAATGATAAAGACGTCGTCGGTATGACACCCTAATGATCGGATTCGCCACACCTAACCTTCCCAAGGTAAAAATGGCTCTCCAAAATGGATTGATTGAGCTCTTGGCTCCCGTCAAGGTCCCATAACTCAGTTGGTTAGAGTGTGGTGCTAATAACGCCAAAGTCGAGGGTTCGACCCCCTCTGGGACCATTTCAATTCTTTTTCGCTTTTCACAATAATTTTTTTTAAAAGATAGAATTCTCCACAACACAACTCCCTTCCCAAACTAAATTGGGATTTCTGCAGATCGATTGATATCTGGCGTCCGTCAAGGTCCCATAACTCAGTTGGTTAGAGTGTGGTGCTAATAACGCCAAAGTCGAGGGTTCGACCCCCTCTGGGACCACTATCGTTTAACTGTTTAACTGTTTCTTTTTTTTATTTTTATTTTTTCACCTCTCTAAGCGGAAGTTGAATTAGGATGATGGATAATATCGTGAATGCTGTGAGGTATATTCTTTGGAATTCTTCTATATATAAATATATAAATTTGGGCAATTACTACAAATAATGCTACCCCTGTAGCAGAGACTACATTCCTAAGGAATAGTATAATGTCTTAGAAGTAAGAGTAGTTTTACAATGATATTCTATATCTGCAAGCAGGAATCAAGAGGCTTTGATGGCTAGACTTCTAGTTACTAGGTGTGGGTGCCAAAGTTCGGAGTCGTAGAAAGCCTTCGAACCTACTGCGTACTTTCCTGACGGTCCTGACTCAGAATATGCATTAACTCTCAATTAGGACCCGATCAAGTTTAGGTGAACCTCGAGATGTTGATGCTTTCACAGGGGATCCAGTTATTAGATGTCCCAATGAAAGGTGTACATTAAGTGTATAAGGGAAGACGACATCGTAGGGATGTAGACGCCATAGACCTAGAGGACAGCCTCGAGAAGACGGTTCCAAGCTTAGTAGTCTCGTTAGGCGCAACAGACACCGAAGGACCTTCATACGACGAGACTACTTCAATTATCATTTCGACCATCGATTCTAATTTCATGATCGATATCCGTCTAGAGATGGTTCAGCTCTCGTAGCTTTCATATTCTGCTGGTTTATGACAATTTGGCAGCAGGAGAAAAGGAAAGAAGTCAAATAATAATGGGATCAACTAGCATGTAACTGCTAGACCCATCTTTAGTAATTGTCGCGTAACTGGATCTCACCATTGACAGCCGTGGTATCGCGAAAAAAAAAAAAAAAAAAAAAAAAAAAAAAAGGTCAGTTTTTTAAGTGACCTCCCGATTTACTTCGTACTCAACGGCGGCACATGAATGGGGCATGCATGCAGGAATCCGCCGACAACGCGGAACGGAGGAGTCCGAGAGTGAGGTAACAGGTGATCCCGATTCCGAAGAACGACCGGAGGGTCTATAAATTCCCGAGTGCTCGGTTCGCCCACCGAGGGAGCGGCCGAGATAAGACATAGGAAAGCTGCAAGGACTGCGTAAGGAGGTATATATTACGCCTTTTTGCCCCAAAGCTAGGGAGTGGAGGAGTTGCCTTGGTCACCCGGCCTCAAGGCTGGACATCGGGAGTCCGAGGTGAATAGTCCGCCCACATTCAAGCAAGGAATAAAGTCATTAACGGCAATAACCGTGAATGGTGAGTATGTGGTATACAATATTGTAATACGAGAGAAAATACAATGGGTGGCAATAGTAAAGACAAGAGCTTTCCAATATCCTTGATATTGGGCAATCGGAGCGATACCTCAATACTAGCAATGCATAGATGCAAGAGCATAGCTAATATTATAGCTCCAAGCATTCACAGGTTCCTTAGTGCATATACATTGTTTTCCTATTCACTATATCACCCACTTTCTCCTCCACCCACCCTCTCCATCTTGCCATTTTTTTCCAACCCACACTATAGCCACCAAAAGCCATAGTAAGTGAATGCATTCTCCTTGCTCATAGATTCACCCCAGGGCCTGCTGTTCACCTTCTGTCCTTGCAAGGATAAGAATGCCTTGTTCCACCAGCCCCTTGCATAGCATCCACTGGATTCTCTTGGTGCGGGACGAGCAGTAAGAGCTTTTTTGTCCACATTCCTTATCATCTTGCTTATGAGCAGCTCAAGGCTTTCAGCAAGACACAAAACTCATTACTGACTCAATCTCAGATAAGCAAGCAAGAAGTAACTCACAAACTTCCATCATCCATACCTTCATCAAAGCCCTGTTGAGACGCGTGAAACGCGTTCTTCCTTTTCAAGGAAAAGGTATTCTTTTCACTGCGAACCTTGCACCATATAGGCATAGGGGGTTGACTAAACTTCTTTTTTCGTCGAATCAGATCTCATCCTAATTGTTGATTTTGCATCTGCAACCTCTTGTCACCTCGAAATCCCTTTCCAACCAAGAAGCTATGGCAAAAAGTTCCAAGAAGAATGCCACCGAAAATGGCACATCCTCATCTGGATCACAAGCCAAACCACAAGTGAAGACTCCCAAGCAGCGACCAGCAACCCGTACTATTGTTCGCTGGAATGGTATGAACTTCCCCTTTCTGAATCCTCTTGCGCCAACGAACAAAGCTAACAAAATTCCTAGACGAACTTGATAAGCAATTGCTTCTCTCAATCCAATATGCCTGTAATGCAGCTGGAATCAAAATTCCATGGGGGAACGTAGCCACGCTCATGGGCAACAACATTACCGAAGGAGCTATTGTTCAGCACCTCGCAAAATTGCGCGCACGCATGGAAGAAGAAGGTATCCGTGTCCCACCTCCTCTTCGTCGAGGAGGTTTGGGGGCCGCAAAGAAGAAAGGCTCTTCGAAAGCCAGCACCACAAAAGCAACTTCCCCGGATGATGATGCGACTAAATCCCAGGAGCCAGAAATGAAAGTATATCCAAACAAGGAGCGCCAGAAAAGCGATGTTACTTCCACCAGGAACAGCGTGGATTCCTCTCCCAGCTCTGTAGGGGAGATTGGTCAACCTCACCCAAGTGATGATTCCATTGCTGCTGGGGCAAGTTTTCTGGAGTTTGCGGGAATTGACAAAACTGCTGGCAGCGCCAATAATGTGGTAGCTGGAAGGAAAAGAAAGACTCTGGATTCCAGCATAGTTACACTCCGCATTTCACCATGGCGTTTAGAAAAACTTCTCATGAAGGAGAGCAGAGTGATTGACAAGCACAGGGCTGGGCAACAGGAAGCTCAAGCCTCTTTAGGACAAGATGAAACTGTTGCCGACAGCGATGAAACTTATCAAGACATGCCTTGTACCCAGCAAATGCTTCTAATGGAAACAGATGCAATGGATACAGAGAGTTTCTTGCAGATTGGAGCCCAACATTTCGAAATCCCTACGGAATGTACATGCACCCAGGATTCCGTCGGAGTATCTACTCAGCCTCTTCAGACAAACGACGATTTGCTTCAGTTCTATAACTCAGGATATTATAACACGGCATTCTCAGACATGTATCTCCCCGGTCTGACTAACCGGCCGCTCTCGACGGTCCAGAATCCAGGATTGGGGTCCCCTCAGAATGATTCGTTTAGCTGGTTGATGGATTCGTCAGCCCCCAACAATAGACTCCTAGAAACGGAAGATAACTTTGACGTCGCAGAGTTCATTAGTCCCGAATACTTGACCCAATGAGTCATCATTGATTCCGGTAGCAAATGGAAAGGAAGATAAATTCAAATTCCAAAAAGAAGAAGTTGAAGAAAGGTATTGGGCGACGAGACAAACGCAATTCTTCGATGGCGAACCCCTTGGTTCTTGAAAAACCTACTTCCTTCATAAAGTATCAATTAGCCCTGTATCTCTTATGCGAGTCTTTCAAATTCTTTTCTGTTTTCACGTTATGGAGTGAGTTTACCTAGGACAGCATTTGCTATGAGCAGCCTTTGGAACATATCACCCTATTATCATCTCTCTGCTTCTTACTACACCGCGTATCTATCAAAAGCATGGGTTGGTTAAACGGTTGCGGACAAAGAGAGTTGCATACAGAGGGCATTGGTTAGCATGAGGAAGATTGCATAGCAAAAGTCCAGCTCAGTTTCTCTTGCACGTCTCACTGCAGTTGACTGTAGTCTCGATTGTCTTTATGCCCAGGTTTAGAATTCAACTGCACAGAGTCTTCAAGTTGCTTGCCCGCAGGTTCATGTAAACTCGTAGCTCGCTGCGAAAGCTCCGATTGGAAAAGGGATTCAGAGCCAAAGTAAATTAAAACATCAAACATTAGATAGATTGTGTATTCCCAGCTGTGAATCAGCTTTCGCCCTTCATTCTCCTGTCCTCATCTTCATCCTGAGGCCGGTTGTCCCCAAATGTAGGCGAGGAGTGATGTGATGTTGGCCCACACGTGTTTGCCCAAACCAGAAAGAAGAGTCACATGACACTGGAGCTTATTAGATATCATGTGACCACCCTATTTTGGAAGCTCCCAACCCTGGGAAAGGCGGATTACCTAAGCCTATCCGAGTTAGCGCGAAACCGCCAAGAACATGGAGAAGTTGCTCGAATCTCTCCCCAATTTTTTTTTTTTTCCCGCAGCCAATCCTCAAAACCTCTTCTTCCCTCCCTTCTCCACGCCAGTTCTTGTAATTGTATCCTATCCACGCTTCGTATTGTCTTATATTATCGGAGTTTAGGACAATTGGGGCTGATTCCGTCGTTTCCATATCTTAATCGTTACTCATTCAAGATGCATAGAGCTCTCTCAGCTTCCTCAAGGGCTTCGGTCCTTTCTTCCGCTGCTTCCACCCGCGGACAGCTATCTCATTTCAGACCTGCCTTGTCCTCCGGGCTGAACCTCCAGCAGCAAAGATATGCTCACAAGGTCAGCTTTGCTCCTGCTTTTGTTTTTATCATTCGTCGGAAAAAGTCCTTACTGGTTTGACTCTAACCGATCATTGTTTATAGGAACTCAAATTCGGCGTTGAAGGACGTGCAGCCCTCCTCAAGGGTGTCGACACGCTCGCCAAAGCTGTTACCACCACATTGGGTCCCAAGGGAAGGAATGTTTTGATTGAGTCTTCATACGGCTCCCCAAAAATTACTAAAGGTATGCCGTCAATTTGCGCGATACTCTCACTTACCGCGGATAGCTAACTTCCAAATATAGACGGTGTCACGGTTGCCAAAGCTATCTCATTGCAAGACAAATTCGAGAATCTCGGCGCCCGTCTTCTCCAAGACGTTGCTTCCAAGACAAACGAAATTGCTGGTGATGGAACGACAACGGCGACCGTGCTTGCACGTGCTATCTTTTCCGAGACCGTCAAGAATGTTGCTGCTGGCTGCAACCCAATGGACTTGAGAAGAGGCATTCAGGCCGCCGTTGACTCCGTCGTCGAATATCTTCAAGCAAATAAGAGAGAGATCACCACCAGCGAAGAGATTGCGCAGGTGGCTACGATCTCTGCTAACGGGGACACCCATATCGGAAAGTTGATCTCCAACGCAATGGAAAGAGTTGGAAAGGAAGGTGTGATTACGGTTAAGGACGGAAAGACCATTGAAGACGAGCTTGAGGTTACCGAGGGCATGCGATTTGACCGCGGCTATGTTTCCCCTTACTTTATCACCGATACCAAAACTCAGAAGGTTGAGTTTGAAAAGCCTCTTATTCTCCTCTCTGAGAAGAAGATCTCTGCCGTCCAGGATATTATCCCCGCCCTTGAGGCCTCTACCACCCTCCGCCGACCGCTAGTTATCATTGCTGAGGATATTGAGGGCGAGGCTCTCGCAGTCTGCATTCTCAATAAACTGCGTGGCCAACTTCAAGTCGCTGCCGTCAAGGCTCCTGGCTTCGGTGATAACCGCAAGAGCATCCTTGGTGACATTGGTATCTTGACCAACTCTACCGTGTTCACAGATGAGCTTGATATGAAGCTTGACAAGGCTACCCCAGATATGCTCGGCTCCACGGGCTCCATCACCATCACCAAGGAGGACACTATTATCCTGAACGGTGAGGGCAGCAAGGATGCCATTGCTCAGAGGTGCGAGCAAATTAGAAGCATCATTGCTGATCCTGCCACCTCCGAATACGAGAAGGAGAAGCTTCAGGAGCGTCTAGCTAAACTCTCTGGTGGTGTTGCTGTCATCAAGGTCGGCGGTGCTTCTGAAGTTGAAGTTGGAGAGAAGAAGGACCGTGTTGTTGATGCCCTGAACGCTACCCGCGCTGCTGTTGAGGAGGGTATTCTCCCTGGCGGAGGTACCGCTTTGCTCAAGGCTTCCGCCAATGGTTTGAAAGACGTCAAGCCAGCCAACTTTGACCAGCAGCTGGGTGTCAGCATTGTTAAGAGTGCCATCCAGAGACCTGCTCGTACTATTGTTGAGAATGCTGGGTTGGAGGGTAGCGTCATTGTGGGCAAGCTTACCGATGAATTTGCGGGAGATTTCAACAGAGGCTTCGATAGCGCCAAGGGAGAGTACGTTGATATGATTGGGGCTGGAATTGTCGACCCATTGAAGGTTGTTCGCACCGCTCTCGTCGATGCCAGTGGTGTTGCATCCCTACTCGGTACCACCGAGGTCGCAATCGTTGAAGCTCCTGAGGAGAAGGCGCCTGCTGCTGCTGGTATGGGCGGCATGGGCGGCATGGGAGGAATGGGCGGTATGTACTAAGAGGCTCACAGATTTACGGTAAACGTGCATTTTTTTTTTCCGCATTGGATGTTTTAAAATACTAATTTAGCTCCTCCCTTCTTGCCTATGTGTTTATATCTCTATATCATTTTTCTGCGTCCAGTTCTTTTTCCTCAATTCCGAATCTATTCCCCGGAATTTCGTCGTGCCTTCAAGCGACCTGACCGCTCGGGGGTACCGCAATTTCCGGTGGAACGAACCACCCCACTCCATGACCAACCATTCACAAGTCCCACATCACTTCCGTGTCCCAAAATTCCCCTTTTCTCAGTTCTGGCATAGGCAAAATATTTGGGAAGGAAGGATGCCACTGCGAGAAAGGTCTGCGTTAAGTACCTTGTACCCTACTTCGTTGGAGTTTAGTGTGAGGATTTGTTTTATATATCTTTGAACGGCGTAGGAGGAGAAGGAAGTGGAAGAAGTAGTGGTCTCCGAAGGGCTCTCTGAATGAAATAAAGCAATGTACTGTAAATTATCAGCTCCGGGTTATGAAATATATTTCTCAATTTTCTAATCTACGACCCCTAGGAGAGCGCTGGACGTTAGACAGGGCTGGGAGAAACCCATGCCCACGCGATCAAGTCTCACACTGATAAACAGCGAGAAAAGACGCCAGGAGCTTGAATCTTGGAGATACGAAGCATTTGGCCCAAAATAGCTGGCTTGGTAGCCTTCTAGGTGCTTTCTCTTTGAAGCTGGTATCGCAATAAGGGAGCAAATTGGCCGCGCAATGTCACCCAAGTATCATAAATTGTATGAAGGGAGGTGATGACCTCACTTGGATTCCAAGGCTTGTCGAAATGTTGGCTGCCTGGATTAAAGTGGTGCCTGGTTGAATACTCGTGGACAGGCCGCGGATAGTCAGCAATGAATGTCTGGCGTGCATCTGGAGTACATTCCATCCATACGTCGTCCCGGCGACCGAAGTTCTCTTTCCCAAGCAGAGAAACTCCCGAGTGCGTAACGTCCAGTTGCCCCCCACCAAACCTTACGACTCAGCCCCGCTATTTTTTATTGGGTTGCCTCATGAACTACTCCGTACTTCAACTTATTTAGACCAATATCTTCCATCAAACACAACAGATCCTCTTCGCACATCATCACCTCTCCTGCGGTTTTCTTCGTTTGATCAGGTAAGTCGATCTGTCGCTGATACTCTCCTCTCGGTGTCTTGAGTGCTCGGTACCCCGCTGAAGAGCTTGGCCACCCGCAAGATTATCAGCCCCTGTCCTCCCAAGTCCTGAACCGCACCCGATATTATCCAGTGGACTCCGTGCTGACCTCTGGGTTCATCGACTCAGCAGCTTCCTCAGTATTGTTTCATTAGAAATTCGATTAAGAATTATCACACATCATGTCGGTAAGTATATACAATCGCGTTCCTTTGGGTCTAGTGTCAAGCGCTCGTCGGCTAATGCATCCTCCTATAGGTCGATTCGGGGTAAGTTTACAGGTTCTACATATTCTTACGGTTGCCGCCGGCTGAATAAGTCGAAAAAAGGAATGATTACTTGCTGCATTGCGCTGACCATGGCTGCATGAGTCCTACAGTGTCTCCATAAACCCAGATTGCATCAGTGCTTTCAACGAACTGCGGCTCGGTCGAGGAAAGACAAAGTTCATCATCTTTAAGATCGCTGATAACCGACGGGAAATTGTTGTGGAGGAGGCCTCAAAGGAGCCAGACTACGAGATTTTCCGTGAGAAGCTCGAGGGCGCGAAAGATTCGAAAGGAAACCCGGCCCCAAGATACGCTGTTTACGATGTAGAATTTGAGCTTGAAGGGGGAGAGGGCAAGCGGTATGTTCGCTCCCGGTTTGACATTGAGAACGCTACCTATTAATCTCACTGGCTCTTTTCTCTAGAAGTAAAATTGTCTTCATCTCATGGGTGCCCAGTGAAACGCCAACATTCGTAAGTATATCCTACTATAATATACTTGGTGGACGCCTTGCTGATATAGAATCAAGTGGTCAATGCTTTACGCGACTAGCCGACAAACTTTGAAAAACGCCCTTAACCCGCACACAAGCATCCACGCAGACGACAAGGCCGAGCTTGAATGGAAGAACGTGCTCACCGAGGCGAGCGGCGGCATGGCTACCAAATAGGCAAGCCCGGTGTCGAAAGGTAGATACTACTATTAGGAATAGGCTTGCTGTTCGTATCGGCTGGACAAGGCTTTAAGCATTGCGTGAATTGGTTGATGGTGCTGGGATTGATTGGGCTCTTCAGCGGCGTTGTCATTGCCAGCGGCTGTGATTTGAATCAACTGAATCACATTTCAAACATACCGCAGATATTAGTTCCAAGTTGAAGACTTACAAATAGCTCAGAACTTCTCAATATTCGTCGGAATGTGGAATGTTATTAATTAATATTTTGGTCTCTCTGCTGATCGATTACTCCAATAATAAATCGTTGCGTTTTTCATAGCACTACTGAAATCAAGGTTGGCCTCCCGTAGAATTCCGCAACAGGGCATCCCATTACGACGTCCCAACCCACTAGGGTTCTAGGCACAAACCAAGCTTTACCGTGAAGGAATCTTAGCATACATTTCAGAACAAACATCACTAGCATTACTCGGGCTCTCTGGTAAATCACATTCCTGGTCAGCAATTCCATTAGGTATGGATATATGTACGGAGTACGGAGTACGTATTGTTGCAGGCCTGGCAATGTTGGCGGCGTTCCGGAACAAAACCAACTGGCCAATCATTGGGCCAGTATTAGCTGGTGGGCTTAGTCATCTCGGAAGCCTTCCACAGAAAGACTGCATCAAGACAAGAGAACTCACACCACCAAACTTCCAATTGACTTCTAATGCGGTGACCGTCCTTCGATCCCAGGAGCACAACACCTGTAAATAACTTCATTTGCGCCAATTCTCCCTTTCTCCTCTCCGTGTCTGCCAGTCCTCCGTCGACATGTATTTTAGAGCCGCCTCCAGGTCCATTGCGGCCTCTGCCCGTGGCGCTGGATCCGTACGATCCTCTCCTTCCTGCCTTTACGCCCGCGTTTCTCAGACCGCCCAAGCCGCCGGCATAACGCAGCAACAGACCCGCGCTGCCTCGTCTTCTGAGCACGCCATTGCCAACCCTACCCTTGCCGGAATCGAGAAGCGATGGGAAGCCATGCCTCCACAGGAACAGGCAGAGTTGTGGATGCAATTGAGAGATCGGATGAAGGTGGACTGGCATGAGATGACTCTGCAAGAGAAGAAGGCGGGTATGTGGCTTCTACATCACCCGGCTCTTTATCGAATTGGCCGGGATTTCTTTTACCGTCCCTAGTAACAGCACATTTGAGACCAACTGCGGTTTCCACCCGTCGTGCCCAATCGCCCGTCGTTGGCATGAGGCATTGGTTTTGGCTTTGGCATAGCTGATATTTGAAATAGCGTACTGGATCGCTTTCGGACCCCATGGTCCGCGTGCCGAAACCCCCAAGGGCGAGGGAATGAAGGTCTTCATTCAAGTCGCCAAGTACATGCTTATTTCATTTGGTGTCTTCTATGCCATTCGCATGGCTGCTGGCCCTGCTCCCAAGACCATGAGCAAGGAGTGGCAGGAAGCTACTAACGAATATGCCCTGGTACGTAATATTCTTTGCTTGTTTTTGTTGATTAGGCTACTAATGCCTGATGCACCCAACAGAAAGAGAAATTGGAACCTATCACCGGCATTAGCAGTGCAGGATACCAGGGCAAGGGCTTTATTCAGAGTCCACCAGCCTCCAAGCAATAGAGAACTCAACCTTGCATGTGAAGGGCATGCCTCCACGATCGCTCGAAGACAGGGATGGGAAGAGACGTGGAGGATGTATGTCAAAGATTTGCGTGATGGGACACATCATTGCATGCAATTTCTCAGTGCGTGTATTTACTGCTGTTATGCAACCTCCAAGACCTTTTCTTTGTCCAGTTCAGGAACCATGTATTAATCAATGGGAAACATTGTGTACTTTTAAGAAATTTCCACATCCAGCGGGCTGACCTCCCAGACCAACCTTTAGAGGTCGCCCCATATTCTGCAACACTTGACCCTGTTGTTTCCCTGGTTCCGAATCTTCCCTCTTTGCGATTCGCATTTCCCTTACCTACCAAAGCCTTGGGTTCCTTTTCTCTCATTTCTTTGGTTTTAACCTGTACATGTATGAAATAGGATAAAATCGCATTTGAATTTGAGTTTAAACTTAAGGAGCTTCATCCCACGATGGCCTATCGGGCTATGTGGAAAGGTAATACGTTAACTTTGGTGCAGACTGCCAGAGCAATGAGCAATGGTCAAAGTATGTGTGCAAAAAGTAGCTCAAAAGGTGGCAAATAATTTGCAGAAATACATGATCCCGAGGTTATATATAGTTGGTGGATAAATAGTCGTGAAAAATGGACTTTTCTACGTATCAATATTTCCGGGATGATGGCCAACGATGACGTCCAGGTCCAGTGACACGGCCCAGAATCGGCACGACGTGCAACAAACAGTGGGAACAACAATTGAGCTTCGATACCTGCGTTGAACCTTCAAATGGGACTTCCATTACTTTTCCCAATTATATCTACATCAAATTTGTAGTTTTACGAGCAATATTTTCAATCCAGTTTATCTCAATGCTGTGGAGGGTCTGAAGATCTAGCTACATAGACGAACCCCCCGACGAGCAACCTAGGTCCAACGTCAGTCAATCGATCAGCCATGGCCAATGAAACAAGCAAGACCATAGATGGAACAGGTCAGCGATGTCACTTGGATTTCTAAATCTGTCTCATTGTTTGTTGTTTGTGGTTTAGGTTGTCGGCTGTCAACTTACATAGCAAGGTGTAGGGGTTATCGATCTAGATCCGTACCTACGACCCTATGAAGACGCGCTAAAGAACAGGTACAAGCGTACAACAGAGTGTATTGAGAAGATAAATAGGCTGGAGGGTGGACTTGATAGGTTTAGCAAAGTATAGAATGACTTTCGCCTTAATTCGCTCTATACTGTCTTGAACGCTTACTGATATGCCATCGGACTAGGGATATGAGAGACTCGGGCTGAATGTGCAAAGCAATGGTGATATAGTCTACCGGGAATGGGCGCCAAATGCTACTGATGCTCATCTCATTGGGGATTTCAGTACGTGACAAATGCATCTCATGCTTCGTCTCAAATTAAACTCATGTTTCCTAGATAACTGGAATCGTACGGCGACGCCGATGAAGAAAGATGCCTTTGGGGTGTGGGAGGTCACCGTCCCCGCGCGCAATGGAGTGCCGGCAATACCACATGAAAGCAAAATTAAGGTAAGTGATAAAGGTATCGTTGGGCTTAGTTTTGAAGAATGGAGCCAGATTCACAGGTTCGCCTACTAGATCACGATGATGACCCCTGACGGGGAGCATATTGACCGCATCCCAGCATGGATCAAGAGAGTCGTCCAGGACCTTGATGTCTCACCTGTCTACGAAGGGCTATTTTGGAACCCTCCTGATGAAGACAAATACCAATTTAAGAATCCCCGGCTTAAGAAACCGGAGAGCTTGAGAATATATGAGGCTCATGTCGGTATATCTTCACCAGAACCGGCCGTTGCAACCTACAAGAACTTCACGGAGAAGATGTTGCCGCGTATTAAATACCTTGGCTATAATGCGATTCAGCTGATGGCAATCATGGAGCATGCATATTATGCTAGCTTTGGATACCAGGTCAACAACTTCTTTGCCGCAAGTAGTCGATACGGGAATCCCGAAGATTTGAAAGAGCTTATAGATACTGCCCATGAACTGGGATTAGTCGTTCTTCTCGACGTGGTTCACAGCCATGCGTCAAAAAATGTCCTAGATGGGTTGAATATGTTTGATGGGACCGATCACCTCTATTTTCATTCTGGACCGAAAGGGAACCATGATCTTTGGGACAGCCGTCTCTTCAACTATGGGCATCATGAAGTTCTTCGATTCCTCTTAAGCAATTTGCGCTTCTGGATGGAAGAATATCAATTCGATGGCTTCCGCTTTGACGGTGTCACAAGTATGCTCTATACACATCATGGGATTGGAACGTAAGGGATACTATCGAATTGCTTTAGCTTGTTTTGTAAAAGTCTAACGACACTGCACCTAGTGGATTCTCTGGTGGTTACCATGAATATTTCGGGCCGGCCGTCGACGAAGACGGCTTAACATATCTCATGCTGGCAAACGAAATGCTCCACCAACTCTACCCGAACTGCATCACGGTGGCAGAGGATGTATCAGGAATGCCGGCGCTGTGTTTGCCATTTTCCCTCGGAGGTGTTGGGTTTGACTACCGGCTGGCGATGGCAATTCCTGACATGTACATCAAGCTTCTGAAGGAGAAACGAGATGAAGAGTGGGATATGGGCAATCTCGCTTTTACTCTGACAAATCGCCGCCACGGAGAAAAAACAATAGCATACGCTGAAAGCCACGACCAGGCGTAAGTTGCCCCTTACCGGACAGGGGAAGCACTTTGTGGACTAACGCTTCATACATAGGCTGGTGGGTGATAAGACGCTGATGATGTGGCTTTGCGACAAGGAAATGTACACAAATATGTCAGTATTAACAGAGTACACGCCTATAATTGAGCGCGGCATGAGTCTTCACAAAATGATTCGCCTGCTCACACACAGCCTCGGAGGCGAAGGGTATCTGAATTTTGAAGGAAACGAGTTTGGCCATCCTGAATGGCTTGACTTTCCCCGTGCTGGAAATAACAATAGCTTCTGGTATGCTCGGAGGTTATTGAACCTGACCGAGGATAGTCTTCTGCGTTACAAATTTCTCAACGAGTTCGATCGCAAGATGCAGTTGACCGAAGAGAAATATGGATGGCTCCATGCACCGCAAGCATATATTAGCCTCAAACACGAGGAGGATAAAGTCATTGTGTTCGAGCGGGCAGGGTTGCTATGGGTGTTCAACTTCAATCCAACCAAAAGCTTTGCGGACTATCGAGTCGGGGTCGAACAGCCAGGCACATATCGGATCGTTATCGACACCGATGATTGCGAGTTTGGCGGGTTCAACCGCAACGCGAAGGATACAAGATTCTTCACCACTGGCGAGGCGTGGAATGGACGCAAGAACTATGTGCAAGTGTACATCCCTTCGCGGACCGCAGTGGTAAGTATTTTGATATATTATTTTTGCTGTTTATTTCAACATGATCTAATTTGAGCGATTAAAGGTCCTTGCACTTGAAAGCTCTCTTTAGAGCAGAGCTTTCGTATCCTCACAGCCTCCGTTGACGTGTTGACCGAGGTCTGAAATAAAAGGGATTTTATGAGCTTTTTTATTTTCTAGTATTTATAAATAGTACAGGCCTTGTGGTCGGTGGGAAGGGAAGGGCACAGTGGTGATTGTTGTCGTAGGTGCTGTTTGTTGCCGGGGGGGCGATCAAGAAGTGTGAGGAAAATTATATTGCAGTTTCTCGGGTGGAGCGCCTCGGATTTTGTTGCTGTTGTTGTCTCCCAATTTCGGACCACGAATACCCTTTGGAATTTGGGGTTGATGTTCTTAGTGCCCTGTTTCCTGTATTTCATTGTATTGTTATTTCCACGGTTCGTACAGGCCATAAGCGACATCCTCGGCAAAGTTCTGCAGACAAGCAGGTTTGAAGGCGCAGGTTATGGTAACAACGTCACATTAATACGTGAAATTCAAGTTCAGTACACTTAGCTGTATCTTAACCGCAACCAACACCCGAATTGAGCACAGCTTTCTCTCGCTTTCTCTCAACCTCACCTCTTCCTTTCCCTTCAACAATCCCCCTTCTCCTTCACAACCGCCATCATGTTTAAGAGGTAAGCAGTAGGCTCAATTGACTACGGAGAACATTATAATGCCATAGATTCTCTTTGCTAATTCCAATTCCTCTCTCTAGCGGCGTTGCCCGGACCTTCGGAAGGTCTGCTTTCGCACGACCTGCCTCCACAATCCTTTCATCCACTAGATCTGCCGTTGGCAACAATGCTCTGAGAGCTCTCTCTGCCAGATATGCCAGCACTGAAGCCGGCAAGACTGGCAAGATTCATCAAGTCATTGGTGCCGTCGTCGACGGTACGTCATGCCCCCAATTTTGCCGTGGAAAAAATCTTTTCATCGATCTCGATGCGACCCTCGATCGGAAAATTCTGGACATTTTCCATTGCAATGTGGTCAGCGGCATTGTACCTTCAGGACACTGATGAGATCTATAGTGAAATTCGACACTGAACAACTTCCCGCAATTCTCAACGCCCTCGAAACAGAGAACGGTGGTCAGAGACTTGTTTTGGAAGTCGCGGTATGTTACTTGGCCGAAACAACTCAGACAGCCTTGCAACGCAACTTGCTGACAGCACTATCTAGCAACATTTGGGTGAAAATGTCGTGAGAACAATTGCTATGGACGGTAAATTTTACTCCGGACCTTCAATTTCCCTCCGCGTCGGAGTGTCTAATATGTGACTTTAGGTACCGAGGGTCTCGTCCGTGGCGCTAAGGCTGTCGATACTGGTGCCCCAATCCAAATTCCCGTCGGCCCTGGCACTCTCGGTCGTATCATGAACGTCACCGGTGACCCAATTGATGAGCGTGGCCCTATCAAGGGTGTCAAGTTGGCTCCCATCCACGCTGAGGCGCCAGAGTTCGTCGAGCAATCTACAACCGCCGAAATTCTCGTCACTGGTATCAAGGTCGTCGACTTGCTTGCTCCATATGCCCGTGGTGGAAAGATTGGTCTTTTCGGTGGTGCTGGTGTCGGCAAGACTGTGTTCATTCAGGAATTGATTGTAAGTTCTGTTATCAACTAAAGCCGACAGCGGTTGCTAATATGCTCTAGAACAACATTGCTAAGGCTCACGGTGGTTACTCCGTGTTCACTGGTGTCGGTGAGCGTACCCGTGAGGGTAACGATTTGTACCATGAAATGCAAGAGACCCGTGTCATTCAACTCGACGGAGAGTCCAAGGTCGCTCTTGTCTTCGGTCAAATGAACGAGCCCCCTGGTGCCCGTGCCCGTGTTGCCCTTACTGGTTTGACCATTGCTGAATACTTCCGTGACGAGGAAGGCCAAGACGGTAGGCTTCATGCTTCTATCGCTAGGGGCGTGTGATACAGGAGGCTAATCGCTTTTCTAGTGCTTCTCTTTATTGACAATATTTTCCGTTTCACTCAAGCTGGTTCTGAAGTGTCTGCCTTGCTCGGTCGTATTCCTTCCGCTGTCGGTTACCAACCTACTCTCGCCGTCGACATGGGTGTTATGCAGGAACGTATCACCACCACCACCAAGGGATCCATTACTTCAGTGCAGGCCGTCTATGTCCCCGCTGATGACTTGACTGATCCTGCTCCTGCCACTACCTTCGCCCATTTGGACGCCACTACTGTCTTGTCTCGTGGTATCTCTGAATTGGGTATCTATCCTGCAGTCGACCCTCTCGACTCTAAATCCCGCATGCTTGACCCCCGTATCGTCGGTGATGAGCACTACCAGGTCGCTACTCGCGTGCAGCAAATGATTCAGGAGTACAAGTCCCTCCAGGATATCATTGCTATTTTGGGTATGGACGAATTGTCTGAAGCCGATAAGCTCACTGTCGAGCGTGCTCGTAAACTCCAGCGTTTCCTCAGCCAGCCTTTCGCTGTCGCCCAGGTCTTCACTGGTATTGAGGGTAAGCTCGTCGATTTGAAGGATACCATCCGAAGCTTCAAGGCCATCATAAACGGCGAGGGTGATGACCTTCCAGAGGGTAAGTTAACTCCAATTATCTATTTATCCTTGAGCTTTCGATGGTATTGACATGTTTTACAGCTGCTTTCTACATGGTCGGTGACTTCGAATCTGCTCGCGCGAAGGGAGAGAAGATCTTGGCTGAACTCGAGAAATCTTCATAAGTGCTAACCATGTAGATATAAAATCATGTGCCATTGCCTCTTGGGGTTGTCCCCGCGTGTTATTTTAATCTGAGCTTCATCTGTTCCTTTTTGTATATGTGTCAGTACACCGGGTGCTCCGCTTTCATTTCATTTGTAAACGAATCAAGAGATCATGTTTCCTCGTCCACTCCACGGCGTATTCTTTTGTTGCCATTTCCGAGGCTGATGAGGGTGAATTCCCGGAGATTGACATGGACTGTACGGAGTACAGTACAATGGAACTGAACTTAGCTGTCAGCCTTACGCACGATCAAGGCACGCCTTCATACTCAGAACATACCTAACTTTACGTAAAAGATTTGGAATTCCCTCCTTGTTGAGTGTTTTGACAATTTCGAGCATGGCTTGGTGAGATGATTACGTGTTTTGCTATCGTAGGTCCAAGTAGAAAAGCTGAGGAGATGCTCCGTACATAAAGTAGCATTTTAGCTCGAAGCAGAGTCTCGCCGAAATGAACGTTTCTGGTTACTCCGTCTGCTGCATGGCAGTCGATCCTTTAGAGGCTTAGAAGTTGCGCAAAAACGGGCCGTATCTGATCGGCACAGCCTCCTGACTGGAACCCGAACCTTACTCGGGGCTATCATCTGATTCGAGCAACTTTGAAGAGCTGAAAGTGGAGATCACAAGGCCATGGACGAGGCTGGTGAGACGCTTCCTTTTCTCTCTTTCCTGAGTGGACGTGAATTTTTTTTTTTTTAATGTGCAAAGATGAATCGTCCAGAGGTGCCAAATAGTCCCATGCAGGGTTCAGCAGGGCTCCGCGCTATACGAGATCTTGCCGACTTGAGATAGCGATTTTGTCGATGCCATGGCGAGCAGGCCGAAAAGATGATGCCTTCAAAAGCCGTAATAAAGCAGCTCCCGCCGGCTGATATCGGGATGATGGTTTGCAAGTCCTCGCTCTGTCGATATCTTTGTTGATTGCGTGGCATTGATTTGATTATCGTTGAACCTCGATACTGCCTACGATGAAAACATTTATACATATTACTGCATTTTCGCTTTCATTCCTAGGAGCAGTGCATGCGGTGCCCAGTCGCTCCCACTGTCGCTGTACTCCTTCGGACGGGTGCTGGCCCTCGGCAGCGAGATGGCAAGCTCTGAACGAATCCATTGATGGAAATCTCGTTGCGCTCAAGCCCGTCGGGAACGTATGCCATGACCCGACTTTCGACGAAAACGCGTGCGCAAAAATAACGGCAATGCAACAAGATTCAGGGTGGCGATCCCAAGAGCCCGGTGCAGTACAGTATATAAACTGGGAGACATGGCCGGAAAAGGAGGAAAAGTGCTACATTGACATGGATCGAAAGACTCCATGTGGTCAGGGCCAGATCTCAGAGTACTCCGCTGTGGTCCAGACGCCCAATCATGTTCAGAACGCCGTGCGGTTTGCTGCTACGCATAATCTTCGACTTGCGGTGAAGAACACCGGGCATTGTTTCCTTGGACGTTCGGTGGCACCCGAGTCCCTCCAAATATTTACCCACCAGATGAAGGACATTAAATTCACGGATGAGTTTGTGCCCAAGGGCAAAAGGGATCGGCGGGCTGTTGGGTCTGCAGTCACAATTGGCGCTGGCGTGCAGCTTTCGGAATTGTATAAGGCGACAACAAAGGAAAACAAAGTTGTGGTTGCGGGCTTCGCTCACACTGTGGGAGCCGCTGGTGGGTATATCCAGGGCGGCGGACATTCAGCTTTGGGGCCGTGGAAAGGAATGGCTGTGGATAATGTGCTTGAATTCAACGTGGTGACAGCAAAGGCAAGTAATTCTCAAACGGGATGCAGTGCGTTAGGGTACGGTTCGCTAACATTAGGAGATGGGAATAGGGGGAACACATCACAGCCAACGACTATCAGAACCAGGACTTATTTTGGGCTCTCAGGGGTGGAGGAGGCGGTACTTTTGGCGTGGTGACCGACGTGACTCTGAGAACATTTACAGATGCACCCCTTGTTTCTGCGACTTTGAATATAACTCAGTTGGGTAACGCGAATGATTCGTATTGGGATGGAATAGAAAGGCTCCATGCTCGCCTCCCTGCTTTGAGCGATGAGGGAGGCTCTGGTTATTATTTCATGGTCCCGAATGTTCAGGTCCCCGGGATTGGACAGGCTGCCGGCGCGGGCGCTATCTTTTTCTTCGCAAATAATGATGATACCGCCAAAATCGACGAGGCGTTTTCACCGCTATTGTCATCCCTAGGCCATATACCGGGCCTCGAAGTGAGCTATGCATCTGAGCAGCTCCCCGGATCAAAATATGTCCTGGAGGGGCTAGTCGATGGGTCAGACCAGACGGGAGTTGCAGCCACCCTCGGATCAAGGCTGGTATCTCGCAAGTTTCTCGAAGGCCAAACCGGGCCTTCTGAGCTGGTGTCTGTGCTGAAGAAGCTAAAACATGACTCTGGCGCCCAAATACTCGGCAATTTCGTCGCCGGAGGCCAGGTTGCTAAGAACAAAGACGTGAAAGTTTCTCTCAATCCTGCCTGGAGGCGGGCGCTTGTGCACCTGATTTTCGTCCGTGGCTGGGACAAGAAAACCACTTTTGCGGAGCAGCGTGCTATTCAATCCAACGTGACGAACGTCGAAGTTCCGATGTTCAAGAAACTAGAACCAGACATGGGTGCGTACACCAATGAAGCAGACCCGTACGAAAAGGATTTCCAGGAGAGCTTCTGGGGCGAGAATTATCCGCGACTATATGAGCTGAAGAAGAAATGGGACCCGAAAGGTCTTTTCATTGTTCGCTCGGGTGTAGGAAGCGAGGACTGGGACAAGTACGGATTTTGCCGGGTGCGAGGGCATAACTGAAAGAGTAAAACCATTCAGCCTGATTGCGTTAAACTTGGATGTCAACGCGGGCTTTGTCATTTTGGCTTGCATATCAAGCCCCCTTCCTTTCAGAAAATGTGCATTGCTTTAATAGACCGGATAACTTCATTTAATCAATAAGAGCTCAAATAGTGACCAAGTTCGGCCTGCTGGCCCATTCTCAGCCATCTACTCCGTGCCCCATGCCCGTAGTTAACGATCCCCCAGCCATTCTGCATGCTCAGATCGTGCCGAAGCCTGCGCGGTTGATCTGCCTTGCTTTCGTGATAGCGCTCCGATCACGTGCGTGTCCGCTCTGGAGTGCGGGGAAATGGCATCACCGGGCTGGGACTTACCCCAACTCCGAGTTGACTGGTCTGGTGCTGCAACTCGCCGCCGGTTGCAATTGTCAATTGCTCTTCATTGGAATGCCATAGAGGCCTGCGTGAGACTCGCGCACCGCTAATTGCTTGCTAGACTCTTTGTTCTACTTGATGAAGTTACTCTTCCCATTCAACGCTCCACTCGCGCCATCGGACATGAGTCTGACTGCGATCACCTCAACTTCCCGCAAAGCCCGTTCTTCGTACCTCGCCCTCTACTCAGTCAGACGCAGGATATCAACAAGCTCTTCTCGGTCCTCTCAGTTCCACCGCTCTGATTTTACGGGACAACCGTTTACCGGCAGCTATGAGACGGGGCTCCCCACCTCTGGCCCGCTGGGCTCCGCGCCATCCTTTGGCGCTCCACGGTTGACCCCCAAGATGCTAAAGCAGCATTTGGATCAGTTTGTTGTTGGCCAGGATAGAGCTAAAAAGGTTCTAAGCGTCGCCGTCTACAATCATTACCAAAGAGTCCAGGAGCTGCAGAGAAGAGCTGAAGAGCACGAGGCGTTCCTGGCACGACAGGCGAGGAGGGAAGCTGTAGAAGGCCACCCTCTGGAGTGTGCGTGGTTTCATGTGTTTTAATCTGCCATTATTTTCCCTGTCTTGTAGTACCACTTGATTGCTGTTAATGTGCTAATGGGTTTCGGTTTACAGCTGAATTCCCAGGTCAGCAGCGGACCATTTCTCTCCCGCCTTGTGAATATAGTGATGACCTTTCACCGCCAGGGACTGATAGTCTCGTTGATACAACTCCTCTCATGCTGGAAAAATCCAACATCTTGTTATTAGGACCGTCAGGGGTTGGCAAAACTCTCATGGCGAAGACACTAGCACGTGTGCTCTCGGTACCTTTCAGCATGTCTGACTGCACACCATTCACCCAGGCTGGCTATATTGGAGAAGATGCAGATGTCTGTGTGCATCGATTGCTGGCTGCTGCAAACTATGATGTGGCACAAGCAGAGCATGGCATCATTTGCCTTGACGAAGTGGATAAAATTGCTACTGCGAAAGTCAGTCATGGTAAAGATGTCAGCGGAGAAGGCGTGCAACAAGCTCTCTTGAAGATTATCGAGGGAACTACAGTTCAGGTTCAAGCTAAGCCAGAGAAAAACGCGCCTCGCCATGGAGGATCCCCGACCAACTTTCCTGGTACTAGTCTCGGAGGCTCATCGTTCTCTTCATCAACTCAAGGGCCATCTGGAAAAGCTGAGGTTTATAATGTCCGAACGGATAATATCCTCTTTATCTTCTCCGGAGCATTTGTAGGGCTTCAGAAGATCGTTATGGATCGTATATCACGCGGGTCAATGGGATTTGGCCAGCCTGTTCGTTCTTCCGCGAATCCTTTCAGCTCGCATAACTGGTCCCAGTCACACAACGCACCAATACCTATCCGTCCAGGTTCCGAGGAAGAAGCTCTCTACAAGAAGCATCTCCCCTTTTTTACACCTTCCCAGACCCCTTCGGTTGCTGGCACCGAAGAAGAGCCACAATATTTCAACCCCCTTGACCTTCTGACCCCTCCTGACTTACAGTCATATGGCTTCATTCCTGAGCTTGTCGGTCGTATTCCTATAACCACCGCTCTATCCCCCCTATCCCAAAATCTTCTGCTACGTATCCTCACAGAGCCACGGAATTCCCTAGTAAACCAATACACTACTTTATTCGCCCTGTCTGGGATCGAGCTGCGTTTCACCACGGCCGCGCTACACAAAATTGCAGCCAACGCCTTCGCAGTATCTACCGGAGCTCGTGCTCTACGCACGGAAATGGAGACAATCCTTGGCGACGCCATGTTCGAAGCTCCGGGGTCAAGCGTGAAGTTTGTCCTTGTCACGGAAGCCGTCGCTGCCCGGAAGGAGAAAGCTGTGTATCTCGCCCGTGGCCAGGGAGGCAAATTCCACGCTATGATCGCAGCGGAAGAAAGCGCATGGGAAGAGAAAGCGAAGAAGGAGAAGCTCGAGCGGGAAAGAAAAGACCAAGCAAATAGCTTTGAGGAATGGAGACGGAGCTCTGCTGTTGGAGGGTTCTCATGATGGGTCTCTTTTTTTGCCATGGTTTTGATTTGTGATATTTATGTGTAATGGGCATTACTTTTTGGTACTATCAGTGTTTAAGGGATAGTTATGTTGGGAGTTTCAGCATCAGGGCTGCATCAGGCGCTAATATTTTTATTTTCTTTTCTGCGAGCAGCCATATATTTCTTCTGTATAGCAGGCATAAGAACTTAGCCATTCGTAGTTCTGTGAATAGTGCACTTTGACAGCATGGCATGCTATGTTGCCTGTTTGGTTCAGTTTATGGGAAATGTAATAATATTTAGACCTAGGTGAACCACAAAGGTATGCTGTCAGGGGAAGTTGCATCAAAATACACTCAATCGTATAGCTCCAAAAACCCATCGAGCGACAACTAGAATACAATACTGAACCAAAAACAGATTCATAGAAGCTCCCTATAGCGCGAGAGTGAACCACAAGAAGCACTTTAAGCCAGCAATAGATTTGGCATGTTGTTACAAAGCAGAGGATGGGAGAGGCAGTTTTACTAACGTGAGGAATGGTCAGTCTTAGATGACTGTTTTTTGCTCTCATTGTTGATATATTGACGGGAAAATCCTTGAGTGTCTATGTGTTCAAGCTGGGTATGGCAATTTTGTTAGTACACGTTGCTGATGGATATGAAAGACAACACGGCTGGAGAGCTTACATGTTGCCACTTTTTCCACTTTGCCAATGGCTTGTGGTGCGACAGGACGATGAACCTCCTGTATTTATCGCAGTTGCATATCGCCCAGCCTGCGAAGTATTCGACTAAATGGTCCATATTGCGTTCTTCTTGACTCAATCCCTTTGGAATATTTTCATGCGCATCTTCTTTGCGAGAACCGTAGTCTGGAATGAAACTGGGCGAAATAAACGGATGATGCTGGCCCTCGTCATCGGTTTCTCCATCGAGGGAGTCTGGACTGCCGTCGCCATTGTACCAATTGTAATGGCCTTCTGGATATTCGGGAATCATGTACTCGATGATGCAATATATTTGATACATCCTGTGGACAATACCCTTGTTAGCTGAAACCGGTTCATGTTTATTGATGAGGAGATAGAGAGAGATGATGGGAACCAACTTATCATCGGGCCATTTATCAAAAATGTTCGACAGCCATCCTAGTATGTTGGGTCGGAAGAACATCTTCCAAGTCCCAGGGTACTTCTTCTCAGAATGTGAGCGGAACCATTTCATAGCATTTAAAGCAGCTTCGGTCTCATGAATCATGTAGTCCTCTGTCATGAGAATCACACTTCCGTGGGGGAACAGTCGTTGTAGATGGGTGGTGGATCCAATGTGCTTTACTGGACTGGCAAGGCTAATGTTGAAAACATTGACATATCTGCGTAAGAGCTTATGGAGGCCAGGCATGAACTCATACCAGATATAGGATTGGTGGAACTATAAATCTATTAATAGACGAGACGACGAGAAGCATTTCATATGACCACTTACCAGGACAGTTCCAGAAGTTACTGTTTCAGCAAAACGTTCCCAATCTCCCTTGAGCCTATTTGAGAAGATAGCATTTGTATACTTTCTTAAAAACTTTAGGACAAGCTGGAACTCTTCCTCTGCCTCTGGTGGAAAATAAAGATAGAATGCGCGAGCCGAGCCATCTTTTTTTGGGGCGTTGACGAGGCTTAGTTCTTCGAAAGTTATGCTCCACCGCTCACGGAAGATAGACACAATGTCCTTATTGCCCAAGTCTTTTGGAATAGAGGCTAGAACTGCCACGCTCTTCGAGGTTGTAGAAACAGGATCATCAATCACGATCGGATTCTGAGGGGCAGTCGTCGCCGTGCTTTGAGAAGGGGGCATTTGGGGCTCCGCTACGGATGGGCTTGTTAATTGACGACGAACCGTGCTGACGGTAGGAAGATAGCTTCTGGCAACGATTCTGAGACTTGAATTGGGGGGAAATTCCATATCTCGATCGAAAAAATTCCAACTTGTAGAGCTGGATGCGTAAGCGATGAATGCTGTTTGAACGTGCTCAGCTGGATGGTGCCAGATGGCTGCTAAATCATTTTGGCGTAGGTAATTAGCCATTGCTGTCACCTCTTTGGCCGTATCTTCATAACCAACAACCCAAGCGTTTGCATATTTTACATTTGTTCTCTGCTCGATTAGTTATTAGTATGTGACAGAAATATATTTGGCAAACAAGGAACAAAATCCAAAGTCTACTTCACGTACACGATCACACAACATCTCATACTCTTTGCTGGTGCAGACATCATTAAAATTAATGTCGATGGTGCCTGACTTCAAATTGAGAAGTTGACCTTTACTTGTCGGATTCAATCCACAAATTCGCACGTCACCAATCACCTTGTCCACAGCTCCAAACTTTAGTTTCACAAGAACTTCACCGGGATTCCAAAAGCGACGCGTGGATGCGCGATGACTAAGGCGGGGTGTGAACTCCTGGGTTTTCTCCTTATCATGAGGAGAGATGGTGGAATTTGGCCACAAAGGACGCTGGTCTGATGAGGTCTGTCGGGTTTGGTGATCATCGAAATGCTCTTGTGGGTTCTGCGGATTAGTTCGAGAATTCGTAGGCAACAGGTCGGCGTCTTCTTGATCCACGAACAGACTGTAAGATGTTCCATGATCCCTCGAAATAGGCGATTCTTGAGGATTCGACATTTTCGGCGAATGCAGCCAATCCTGAGGTCTTCGAAGCTCCAGCTGTGATACGTCTGGAGCCCTTTCGCGCCGGAGTGCTTTTTCCCATCTTCTCTGCGTGGAAAGTTTACTAAACAATTCACCCTTTCGTTTCGAAGAAATTCTGTCTAGGATGGATTTCCTCACTTTTTGGCCTCCAAAAAGATGTGAAATGTGGTCCGTTCTGGGAGGCAAGGCAGGAGCCGTGGAGGAAGTATTTACGCTCAATTTAGGCTGTCGGGGCCTGTCCTGGCGATTGGATGACGACGAGGAGAAGTCCTGACTACTTCTATTCGTATGGTGGGGCAACGAGGGAGTTGGATGGGATGGTCTGGTCGGTATTATGGGCTCAGTGACTGACGGCAGATTCACCAGGTTGTGAAAGGACGATCGTTGCCCTGCAGAGTCCGAGCGCGTAGGCGGAGCAGGTGTTTTAAATTTCTTCTTTTCTTTGGTCGGACTTGCCTTGCGTTTCTTCTTCATGAGTGGTTCGTCCTCAGAGGTACTATTTTGTTCATGTTCGACCAGATCATCGGGGACTACAAAGTCGGAGATATCTGAATGGCCAGGGTCACTGCTCGCAGGTGGGCGTCTGCCCGAATACCCAAGTCGCTTCCGTTTTTCTCTCCGCCTTGCTTTTCTTTTTGCTGTAGCGGCTTCAAGTAGGAGCCATTTTTGTTCCAATGCTTCGACGTCAAATGCCGAGTCCTCGCCACGCCTGATAGCCTCTTGCTTTACAGCCCAATCTTCAAGAGTTTGAGGATTGAGAAACATATCCTCAGTTTCCCAAGTGGACCTTTCCATGGGATAGCCTGCCCATTTGACAAGGTACATTTCTTTTCCATGGTAGACCCTTTGGGCCAAGATACACTCCACTTCATATTCATCCTGAGGCTCGCTTGGCACAGTGGATGTGAGTGAAATCTCATCGTCACTGAGATCAGTGTTTTCTGGCATTTTGAAGATGATGGACAAAAGAGCACAAAGTGGGTATTAAAACAAAACACTCTTCTTGTGGAGAGGGGGCTTTTTCTAATTTTAGGGTTAGCATGAAATATAGTTAAGTTGAAGATGCGACGAAAGGGTAAAAGAGAGAGGGGGGAGAGACAGGGAGATGAGACGAGACTGGTGAACGCAGCAGGAAAATTTAGTTCATGGTTAGAGCACCCATGAACGTCATGGTATAAATTAAATGAAGGAATTAGCCAGCGACAATGCGCTATTCTATCAAACATCACTTTGACTGGCACTGTAAAAAATTGTCTCCAAGGGCAGAGACCAGCAGGGAAGGCCTTACAAATTCAAACAGGCTGCTGTGCCAGTGGATGAGCAGAGCGAAATAGGTCATGTAAATCCCGAGCATCCTTATTCAGTTGGCATCTCAGTGCTTCATGACAGCCGGTTAAGAGCAGGTTGAGCTGGCAATCGGTCGAGACATCGCCGGCAGAATCCACGCCAAGCGCCCTTTGGACTCCCAGGTCACATGCCTTTCCTGCTGGCCGCTGAACAGACAGCCCCCAGCCAGCTCCCCAACGTCAAACCATGGGAGTCACAGCGGAGTAAGCAGGCGGCTTAAGGGAGTTGAGAGTTTCCAGGCGGGCGGCTAACCAGCTATGAGAAAGTACGGAGTAGATAATTATGGGCTATCTCGGAGCGCAGCTGTGTAAATGAAGGTTGGCTTCCATGGTCTGGGCAGTTCGACTTCGGCACTTATAAAACATTTCTCCGCAGTGTAAGACGCTCGCTCCAAGCTGCTGCTTAGCGTGTACACCGTACCGGTACTTCATGTTATTAGTAAATAGACTAGAAAAGGAGGTACCACTACAAACGGCCCCTGTCCAGCCAGACGGTCTGCGAGAGAGCGACATCTCAAACACACGGTCCAGCTTGGTTAATTTATTTTTATCCTGTTGCCTTTTCACAACAAACTCACATCTCCTTGTTCAAGTCAGGCCACAGGGTTCTCCGTTTCTCTTTTACAACTGCATTTCGACTTCCGGTGTCAATTTTTAGGCGCCTTACTCAGAGCTCCCGCTTCACAACTTCCTCCCTTTACCGCTTTCAACCTCCGTCGTCCTCCACGATCACAAGACGCAGCCTGCCATCATGGCCAACGACGAATATGATGTATGTCTGACAGCCTTCTTGCAGTGTATGGTGATGTGTCGCTGATGCTAACATTGCCGGCTTGTAGTTTCTTTTCAAGGGTACGTCTTACACCCCTCGTCCAGCCATGTCCAACCCCATCCTTCGCGCACGTTCAATAAGATTATCAACGACTAATCCTTGGTTTCCTTTTAAATAGTGGTCTTGATCGGTGACTCCGGTGTTGGCAAATCCAATTTACTAAGCCGTTTCACACGCAACGAATTTAACCTTGACTCCAAGTCTACTATCGGCGTCGAGTTCGCGACCCGATCCATCCAAGTGGATTCCAAGACTATTAAATCCCAGATCTGGGATACTGCAGGCCAAGAGAGATACAGAGCTATTACTTCCGCTTACTATCGTGGTGCTGTTGGTGCACTTCTTGTCTATGATATCAGCAAGCATCAGACTTACGAGAATGTCACGCGGTGGCTGAAAGAACTTCGAGATCATGCAGACTCTAACATCGTCATTATGCTTGTTGGCAACAAGAGTGATCTAAGACATCTGCGGGCGGTCCCCACAGAGGAAGCCAAGCAGTTTGCAAGTATGATATTCCTCGTCTTTCTATCTTCGGTGTATTCTACCACTAACATTAAACTCTACCAGGTGACAACAACCTCTCGTTCATTGAGACTTCTGCTCTCGATGCGAGCAACGTCGAGCTTGCTTTCCAAAACATTCTCACTGGTATACACATCTCTCCCACTGTCTCTGCTGGATTCTACTGACAACCGTAGAAATCTTCCGCATTGTTTCTAGCAAGGCCTTAGATAGCGGTGACTCCGCTCAGAACCCTCTTTCCGACCGAAAAGTCGTCGAAATCACCAAAACACAAGATCCAGAGTCTAAGCAGGGGTGCTGTTAGGTTTAAAGTATGGCGATAATGACTCAACGGGCATAGAATTTCATTCTACTGTTTTCTCTCCCAAGGCCACCCCAATTGTTCCGATCTCTTCTGATGATAGGGAAATAATGAGTTCTGTTTATTCTTTTGCACATCCTTTTTTCCTTGGCTTGAATGAGTAGATGCATATCTGAGCCCCCATGTTATCCTTCCTTTGATCCACTCCAATTTCCTTGCGATGATCAAGCACGGTATTTAGGTGGTAGTCCATGAAAGCAAGAAAAGGATATTGATGTTGTTATGAACAATGAGGGTGGTTTAGGCAGAGATTCTCTTTTCATGACTGGGAGTGGGGGGTTTTGACCGGTTTTCCTTTTTTTTTACATTTTTCTCTGTTCTTTGCCCATTCAAGTCTCTTGTCCACTGACTTGTTTACTCTTTTTTTTTCTCTTCGTATTATCTTCTTTGAATTGGGAACTGGGTCACTGTTACACCGTACCTTTTAAACCAATAATTAGCTAGTGCTATTTTTGTGCCTTCTTTTACATCTACTCAGCAGCTTCTCCAATACATAATATACAGCATTCCCCTTTTGCACAATGACATAATGACTCGAACGGTCTGATCTACGGTGTACGGAGAAAGCTTGGAATTTATAGGAGTAAGAGTTCCGCCACTTCGACCAGGCTCTCAGCGAGGTAGCCATCCCGGTCGTTAATGGTCCACACACCCGAATTACAACTGATAGCCATGGTGAAGTATAATGAGCACATAAGGCAGTGTCACTATAATCAACCGGGCAATAGGCACGCTTTAAGTGGAGGAAACAAGAAAGACATCACCAGAATTTATTCATCTGAACCGAAATGACACTTAAGCTCAGGTTTACCCAGTCCTTGCAATCCCTAATTCCCCGTCACTAATAGCCTCTCGAAATGAGAGTATGTCCTCTCCACGCTCATTGACCACCCACTCTAGCGTCTGCGCAAATGTCTCTCCGTTGTTTTCAAACCACTCCCCCATGGACTTAATATATCTTTCCACATGCTCCTTTAACAATGTGTTCTCCCGTAACCACAGGACCTGACTTGGATCCAACTTCAGCATGTCCTCAACCACGTAATAGTGTGGTATTTCATCACCCCAACCTTCAAGACCGGGCTCATGGTATAGATCGGACCGAAATTTAGTAGTGTATTTGTTTGGTGGAGATGTGTGGTGACAAAATGGTCCGTTGTCATCACTAGGACCGCTATGGGATGAGCGGGAGCTGAAGCAAAACGTATCAAAGCTATTATGGTTGCTGCTGCTCGTGATAAAGTCTGTTGTAGGTGGAGGGTAGTTGAGATGTATATTAAACAACAATGAGTTTTTAGCGTCCGGATAACGCTTGTGAAACTTGCGCTGGATAGTCCCATTACTCGGACATATATGATTTTGAACGACGTCGCGAATGACCAGTCGAACGTCTTCCATTTCCGCCAATTCACTGGTCGACCAATTGTGGAGCAGCTCAGCACGCTCTCGTACAATGACCGGAACAACCCGCGAAGTACGTGGGAACGAAGGACTATGAAACGCCCGCGAGTAAAGCCAAAGCCGGTATATAGCGCGTCGGAGACGGAAACGCTCTATATCGGTTAAAAGTCGCCGATTCTCATAGTCGGCTTTCCATTTTTTGATAGGATATATTTCCTCCCAGCGTCTTGCTACCCTTCCAACTTGGACAATTTGCTCCAGTAAGTTAGTTGACATTGGTGCTTGACGGACTTTATGCGCAGGTTGGCTTGCATTTTGCGTAACAAGTTGAACAATTTCGTGTAAGGGGCCATATTCGGCTTCAGCGGCGTTGGCTAGGACAGGTAGTTTTTGCGAACCGATGAAAATTCTATGAAATCGGTGGCATGTTTGGGACAAGTTGAGAACATCGGCGATGGAATCGCAGGAGTAGAACACGTGGAGCACGAGCTCAGTGGCTAAGAATTTGAAGAACATTGTGGAAGGTCTATATAGAGGCCGTTAGCTAGAATGATACTGCAATGCCCGAAAGCTTCCCATACCACTACTGTATATACACAAACTCCGCGGGTCTCGTTCTATCGCGTTCAGTTAAATAGCTCTCTACAGCAGAGCAAATCGGAAGTTGGCTTCTTTGATAACAACAAATTAAGTCGCAGGTACGCCGGACGGTTCTTAGGAAGGAATACAGAGGTGTTGCAAGGCAATATCGCGAATGCAAGTCCTCCGTAAAACAGACAGGTGATGTGATTAGCTGCTAGCGACCCCGCTGCTGGGGGGTTCATAGAAAATAGTCACATCTTTGTGCAATTTGCTGACCGAGGTCAAGTTGGGGTCGTGAAGAGAAGACAGGCAAAAAAGGCCTGGACGATAGTCACTTGCCTCCATGGTTGCTGGCTCGAGGCAAAGGGAAGAAGAAGCTGGAGTTGAGTGCAGAATAAGGGGCGAATCTGGGGGGATCGCAGCGAGTCGCTGACATAAGCAGGTATGGGAGGATATTCGACTTGGCATCAGAACAACACCGACAAGCATGGAGGAGAGAGATGAAGTGGTATATGGAAGGGAAAGCAGAGAATACGATATGGCGACCAAAGACCAGGTCAATAAATTTTGCCCTAGGAGGGCTGAATATCATAGAAGAAGAATTGCCCGTAAATACACCTACCGGAATAATACATTACTCCCACCACCAGACTAGGAAATAGAAAATATCATGAACGAGTTCATGCAAAAAGCACATGCGGATCAAGCTCATCCTTTTTCCTATTTGCCTCGCCCTCAGCGCCCAATCCCAATCCAGCATTCTTCACCGTCCTATCCATCTGCCCCGCACGTCTCGAAGCATACCTAGCGGCTTTCTTCACCCTGATCTCCCGCCGTACCTGGCTCGGGCTCACATATTCGCGATTCTCGTAGATGACGGGGCCACCAAAACTGCCCTCAAGGATCACAATCGGCGTAAGAACAAATCGCGGACCAATCTCAACCAGAGAAACATTTGGTAGCCCATCTTTCCCCCGCCTATACCTCCTTTTATTGGCAGCTTCCTCTTCACCATCCTTCTCCGTCTTACCATCCGTCTCCCGGATCTCAAAGACTCGGATCCATATCTTCCCGTCAACCCAGCAAACACCGATCACCCGATCAATAAACGGCTTCATTCCCTTCACCCCACGTTTAGGCACAGAAAACACCCCTCTAAGCATTTCCCGAACAAGCCCTCTCCATTCGTTTCCGGTCTTCATAACCTCTTCATCACCAAACGATTGATCAAAAACAACCACGCCCCTGCCACCTTTTAAGCAATTTCCGGCGAACCCCGTGCCTAATTCACCCATTGTATGTAAATTGGTTACGGAGAATTTTATCGTGGGCCCATTCGGCGGCCGTGAGAGCCACAGATAAAGGTCCTGTCCGCGTTTTCGCGCCTCAAGGAAGAAAATGACATTGCACGAGTGAAGATCGGCGAGGGAATTGAGGAGGAAGTTATATCCGGTTGTTTTCTTCTTGGTATCGAGTTTGCTTTCTTTGTGGGTATGTGGAAGGAGAGCCGCGAGATCGGCAAGGAGATGACGATGTCTAAAAGTTTTTAACAGTTAGAACGTTTGATAAAAATGATTTTCGGGAGCGCGTATGCAGTGCGCAATCTTCTCTCCCTCCCCCCTCCAAATCACTCACCTATGCGTTACACCTCTAGACGTGAGCATTAAAACTCTAGTTTTGGGCATATACCCGGATGAATTTGATCTGTCGTTGGAATTTGTATTTATCTCGCCGTTCGTATCATGATTCTCAACTGACTGCTCGTCCGATTCGCCATCGCTACTCTCGTCACTGAGCCTCTCCTCTAGCTCCATCTCCACGTCCTCATCGTGTTCATCTTCTTTTAGGCTGGGTTTCCGTTTCTTCGAGACGGACTTATACACGGACGCCATTTCCGCCTTCTTTTTGTTCACGTTAGCCTGGCTTGCGCAGGGATGTCTTCCAACAATGGTTATATATTTGCGACTCACTCGGCGGCCATAAAAAATATTAGTCTGGCAGAATCTTTTTTGGGAGAAGCTTCAGACTTCACCGCCCTCTAGGATTTATGAATAATAAAGTTCTGATACCCGACTATCCAATCACAAGCGCGATCGCCATATGTACGGATTCCAGATTACATGCGGTTTACGGAGTAGAGGCTCAAGCGAATCTTCATTAAGCCCGTGGATATCATCGCTCACATGCATTGCTACGTATCTTCTTTGCAAGTCCCAATGGCCGTGATATATTAGTTACTCTTGAAATAAGAAACCCCCCAAATAAACATCATCCACCATGACCATAATTATCATAAAAAAAACAGCACATATAAAAGAAAACTAAATAAAAAATGCCAATAATCATCTGCCCCATCCTCCAGAATATCCTCCACTATCTGCTCTGTAATGCTGCGCCTGGGGCTGTGGCTGGTGCTGGTGCTGCTGAGGCGGCGTATAACGCGCATGAACCGGGTATCCTCCTTGAGGCTCTGGCTGGCTCCTATCATAATCCCATGGAGGACCACTTCCCTGGCTGGGTTGTCTCTGGCCACTTCTCGGGGCATACTGGTCATACTGGGAATATCCTCCCTGGTTGGGTGCCGTATTCTGGGTATATCCACCTCCTGCCGGCACTTGATAGGCCTGGCCTGGGGGTGTACGGCTATTGTACCCACTTTGCATCCCCGCTTGCTGGCGACGGCGCTCTGCATCGCTATAGCGGGTTGGAAAGAGGGGAGCCGCATTTGGATCCGGGTGGATTACGGTAATGCCATTGTCCTTTGGCTGAGAGCCTGGTGCGATCCTAGACGGAAACTGGCCTGGTGGAACAGGAATAGGGCCTTTCTGGTAATATGGATCCGGCTGCTGATGCGGCTGGGTGGGATAAGGCATCATCCCTTGCTGCGCTGGGGGTGTCTGTCCAGGAAAGTATTGGTACTGGGCACCGGGCTCCATTGGGGCACTACTTATTGGCTGGACCATTGCAGGCTGGCTTTCTCCGTGGGATTGGGCCATTGGGGCTGTACCAGGAATACTAGATGGAATGGGCGCTCCTTGGGGTATCTGGCCATGATCCGGGGTGGCATAAGCTGGGGCTTGACTCTGCTGGGGTGTAAAAGATGTGCCTGCACCTGTGTTTTCATTTTGCAGTTGCGATGTCTCTTGTCCCATGGTGACATCTTGGACTTGATTTGATGTACCTTGGACCTGACTATACGATGGAGGACACGTGTATTGGTTGGGGGTATTCTGCGGGCAAAGAAAAGTACCGGACGTGTTAGACTTTGGCGCTCAGTTCGAAACGTAACAAACTCCAGGAAAACAATTAGTCATACGTACGGTCTGTTGAACATCGACCATTTCATCATTGTTGGTTCGGCTGGCTAGATCAGATGCAACCTGTCCGAGGATGCCCTGGCTGGACGGACGAGAGGACTGCATTTGATCACTCATTGTGGGTGTGCCACTGAGAGTTGGAGTGCGTTGCGATCCGGGGGTTGAAACCTGTTGATACGGTGAAGGCTGCATACTTCCAAATGAATTGTTCTAGCAAAGATGTTGTCAGTTTTAAGCGTAAAAAGTAATTTCAGCGCAGCTTTCACGTACAGAGAAGCTGCCGCTACCCGGCCATTTTCCGCTTCTCAGTTCTTGAAACTCTCTTGAAGCCGCTTCAGTCTCGGAGGGCGCCAGGCTTGCCGCGCGTGGGGCATGGTATGGACCGGGACTTGCAATAGAGTGAGGGGTAGAAGACGGCGTGGGAATAAAAGGCTCAGTGGGAACTTCCCATTGTGACTTTCCTGTGGCAGGCTGCACGAAGTACCATTTTCGAAGAGTTCCCTCCCATTGTGCGAGCCTAAACCATAGTGTTATCAATAAATCCAAAAAGAACTATCGGGTGAGCAAAATGCATACCATCCTTCTGGCAGTGGTGGCGGAGATGTGGACGGTCCACCGACGTCTGCTGGGCTTCGTACCCTCGATGATTGCGGATTCATGTTTGCAACAAAAAAAAAAAAAAAAAAGAAGATCGAGATGAACGCCGTTTCCGGGACGCTGTGATCAACGAGAAAGACGATTGCTTAGATGATAATCGTACACTCGTAAACGTGAACCCTTTGATAGTATTAAAGATTATTGTATGTCGTCTGGGACCGGCAGAGAGGGAGGACGATGTTCCCTGCAGGAAGAGCAAACAGTGAAATTACCACCAGCGAAGATGGGAGACGCTGAACGAGATTGTGAAAAAGCAAACAAAAATAAAAAAAAAAAAAAGGAAGAAAAGGCCGGACAGATGAGACGGCGGCCACCCAGATGGATCAAGAGCGATCGCCAATTAGCAGGACTGCGACGGCGGCATCGTGAAGGTGGTGAGCGATGTGATTAGTCCACGAGTCCGCCTTGTATTCGAGATCTGATGTAAATAGCCACTCTTTCACGTTCCGCGTGGGCGTCTTAAATAGCGTCGAGGCCGAGAGAAGCACAATCACTTCGAGAATCGTGGGTCTCGTCGGTTTGGTTGTTGAATATATTTGGGGGGGGAAGGATGTGTGGTGCTGCGTGACCAAGACGCGAATCACGCCGAACTGTAGCACCAACTGGCTTGTCGAGCAAGGGACTGGTTGGGCCTAGACTGTCAAAAGGTTCCCCTGTCCCCAGTTTGTATCTCCGTCCACGGAATGGAGGAGGCCCAAGTCTTGTGCCCGATGAAAGCTTAGTACCTAATGAAAGGTTGAGGTAATTGGCTGAAAATGTAGCAATTCACATTAGCCGACCTCAATCCAGTTGGACAAACACAGCTCCAACTCGACACAGGAGATAGAAATGCAAGTGTGTACGGAGTACTCCGTACAGAGTGTATTGTACGTATGTGCATATCAGCTTCCATCCCGGGTGGAATCACAAGATTGATCTCAGAATCTCCTTTTCCATCCCAAGATTGCTTGAAGCTACTGGTAACCATGTATCCCTATGAAATCGGGGACCCAAGGGACTTTGGAGCCATCCATGCCCAAGTTTACTGGACATGCCCTCGGTGAACCCAACTAAAGCTTTGTTGCACTGAGGCTGGGACGGAAGACAATTATAGGAATACATACGTCTATGATAATTGATGGCGTCCAACCCTTTCACAAAGGTGAGCCAAAGAATTTACAACTAATTGCTGAATAAATAAGAGATTATGCATTAGGTGCCGTTATGATGCGGAAAGCTTGGATTCATCAATTGCCAGATTTTAAATATTACAACGCAAATATGCCCAAGGAGAAGGGGCACCAGTTTCATAATACCATCCATCTCCACCATGCCATATAACTCCCAAATTGCTCTGTCCGTCCACGCAAGTCCTTTACAACTTGTAAATCTTGTAGGACAGCGCCTGACCATACGCCATTGGATGCACCAGGTCGCCAGAGAATGAAGTAAAGCGCTGATGTCCTCCAGGGAATTCACTACTCTTGGAGAACAGTCACAACGTAGGGTGGAAGTATTTAAATACAGGCCTCAACAAAGAAAGGATCACCAAGGTTTGAGTCAAAGGAAACGCCCATGAGAGCAGACTTTAGCTTTCAGGAGAAATTACACCCACTGTTTGGGCGCTACCAGGCATAGCTGGTGTCAAACTCTGGGTCAACGCCATTCCAGTCAGAATCACCGCTGTCTTCATCGGCAAGATTTTCCGCTGCTTGAGGAATTGAAACAGGCCGCAGATTGTCAATGCGGACCTTCACCACATCACACATACCGTGCACTGGGCCACCCTGGGTCTGCTTCGCTGAAGACTCGAAACCTCCATTTGCCGGTTCTTTTCCCTTTCCTACTGAGACAGATTCGCTTTGCATATCGTCAGTTAATGCGATCCGTTGGGCAATGCGCCTGCTTCGTCTTTGCGGAATAGCTTCAAAAGACTGTTTTCTTGTGTCGTTGCTATCGCTAGAAGAGCTTCCAGCCTGAGAGGTACGTGTTGGCTTTAGGATGGTTGGCCAAGTGCTCGGCGGAGGGGACTTTCTTAAGAACGTCCGTTCGAGAGTCCCCATCCAATGTTCGCGAAACTTTGCCCGGTCACGCCAGCTGATTTTTATAATTGCGGTAATTATGAGGGTCCTCAAGTCTTGAAGCTGATGAGCAGATTCAACGAGAGAATTGAAAAGAATTTCTGCGGTCTGTATTTCCCACCTGCACAAATGCTGCAATTCCAAATACTGCAAAGTTGGCGGCCATGATGGAGGATCATAATCCAATAATAAATTGTCGAAAGGATTAACATCACCCGCTAAGCGTCTTTCTCTCGATAAGTTGAAATCCATGATGAACACCTGCAAATACGGGCACAACTCTGCCAAGCGAGTGGTAAAAGACATATTGAGGCAATAATTTTGAGTCAAAACCAGCTCACGTAGATGGTACCCGTGATTTGATAAGAATTTTTCGACGATGAACGAGTCCACATTGTCACAATCGATGACCGATAGTGAAGTCAGAGCCATTGAGAGAAATGGTAACAAGTCAGCCGCAAAGTCACAAGACTTGAATTCTAGTCTTTCGAGGTAAGGCAAGAGAGAGAGAGCGGTGACTAGCTCCTCCGCTTGAACGGCAGGGTTTTTATAATCTAGTTCACGTGGGGCTCCGCAGTCACAATGCTCTAGTTTGTAAAAGCGTACGCTCCGAAGGGACGTAAACGCCGGGTGGCTATGGACAGACTTGATGGATGGGAAATTAATTTCTCCATTCCATTCCCAGCTATGAAGGCGTAAGTCGCGCAGAGCTTCTGGCTGGGGCATATCGCAGAACAACCAGCGGGGAATGTGCTTTGTTATGTTTTTACTGCGGTCGTATTCCCCCAGACTATACAGTCGCAAATGTCTAAGCCGTGGCGTGAACTTAAGAAGGGAGTATAACAATACCGGCTTCGCGCGGTAGATGTCCATCTCAAGATGTTTCACTTTGTCCCTATAGTTGATAGACATGGAATCCGGGTCCATCTTTAACAGATCCACCAAGCCCTTCAGTTTCCCAGCTGGATGTAGCGGCGGTAAAAAGTATAGAGCCGATAGTGCGGGCTCACAAAAAGCACGACACATACGAGAGAGCCTCAGCAAGCATTTTACGGACTGAGAGGTATCGGCCAAGGGGCTGTCTCTCATGAAAGGGGACAGGTAGAGAAATATACTGAAGAGGACATGGTAAGGAAGGGTGTGCCATGGCGGCTTAACGCCTTCTGGTTCCAATTTGAGCTTTTTCGCCGGCTTGGTGGGAACTGTAGAGTTGAGCGAACGTTTTATCCTAGACAAGGGACGAAGGTTGGGATGTTCCAGCCTTGCCTCTCTCGCAATGATGCGCACAAGGGCTTGAATCTGTCTTTCACGATCATCGTCATTATCATCATCCTCAGGTACGGAGACTTCAACTTCCGAGGGATCCGAGTCTGAGATTTCTCTATAACTGACCACTGCCCCACGCGTTGAGCGAACGGGGCGCTGTGCTTGGTGTTGACGAGCTGGCCGCATTGACCGAAGGGCTGGCGCCATGTCGAGTCAAACGAAAGAAAAGAAAAACCAAGTAGAAACACCATCTACTAGATCACTTGAAACATAGAAAGAGACTTGGGCGATTGAAGGATACAATCCAGATTGAGGATCATCCAAAAGTAATTAGAGGAGCCACCGTTTGAAACAGAGCTTGAGGTTGCAAGGAGAAACAACCCAAGGATCACCTGCGATCACAGATGAACAAAGTACCAAAGAGTAGACCTTAGAGTAGAGGTAGCAGAACTGGTTGAACAAGTCTCTGAGGAAAGTTTGTGATGGCCTCTCAACCAGCAGCAAAAGTGAGCAAAAGGAACGCGAGTAGTCAAGAGGAGGGAAATATTAGCAAGTCATCGATGGCTGCTTAGGTAACCAATTACATAATTTTTGCTTAGTCACCTACATTAACGTAACTAATTCACCCCCGAGCGGCTCACCAAAATACACATACAAATCTCAACTTTTTGCTCTCTTATATCTCAACAACATTGTTGAATATAGACTTTAGAATTTAGATGTAGAGTACTCCGTATATAGACACTTAATAAACAGTCTTATTTATTTAACTCTATTATTTGTGAAGATAATTTGATACATGCTAGTAAAAAGATAATAAAATACTATACCTTAAGAAATAATTATTATATTTAGATAATTCTTATAATTTACAAAGTTTATTATATCTATATAGTATCCTCTTCATTTTATAATGATCAGACATAGACTTGTTAAGATATAAGAGAGCAAAAAGTTGAGATTTGTATGTGTATTTTGGTGAGCCGCTCGGTGGTGTGAGCCGCTCGGGGGTGAATTACTTACATTAACATAATCCACAAGCGAGCGGGACACCAAATCCAAAATATCTTCAATTCCCTAATCAAGCCACTTCAACGCGCAAATATGCCACCAATTCGCAATAAAAATGCAAGAAACTCTATGGAGATAGAGGGAAGACTTGAGCTCGCAATATCTGCTTTTAAAAATGAAGAAATATCCTCAATTCGTGAAGCTGCATGCTTATTTGATGTGCCACGCTCTACTCTTGCCCATCGACTCAAAGGCAGACCTGCACGGGTGAATTTACGCGCAAATTCACATAAATTGACTGAGCCTGAAGAGAATCAGGTAGTTCAATGGATCCTAGACCTAGCTAAACGAGGAATCCCCCCGGGACCGGCATTTGTTGAGAATATGGCTAATCATCTTCTTGCCATACGAGATCCTACCTCTCCTCCCCCGCGTGTTGGCAAGAACTGGGTGTCAAATCTGATTAAACACCGTACGGAGCTCAAATGCCGCTATTCCAGACGCTATAATTACGAGCGAGCAAAATGTGAGGATAGGAAGGTTATTCAGCAGCTGGATATTCAACTCCAAACACCTACTCTCCCAGCTAGCCAATCTAGCAACTCCCAGTCATCCTGGATCCTACAAACACCAACCAACCCCCGGCAGGTGCATAGGCAGGTGGATAAGATCAAGAATCTTATGGGGCAGGGGCTTGAGAGCTCGCCCCAGGGCTTAATGGAAGGATTTGACCAAATTATCAAGGCCTGCGAATATGGAATGGTCAACGCCACTATTGTGAAGAAGCAATATCAGGATATATTTGCTGCAAATGAGAAAGAGAAGCAAAAACGTACAAGATCTAAGCGCCAAATTCAATGTGAAGAAGGTCTAACTAGGGAAGAGATTGCTGAGGCCTCTATTTCATCTGCTCAACCTGTTGAACAGTCAGTCACTCAACTCTCTGAGCCTGCATCACGTTCCCGGGCACCACCAAGGTGTACGAACTGCCATATTTTAGGCCATACAAGAAGAAGCTGCCCTGGTCCTATTGTAATGTAATTTAATCTATTTAGGGGTTGTTGAGCGTAGACATTTCGGGTTAAATTCTAGTTTAGTTGAGATAACTACCTTAATTTAATCTTTCGCTCGCTTGTGGATTACGTTAGCTACTTTACACAGGATTACAGGAAAGCCTCAAATTCCAGCACCAGGTATCAAATCAATCTAGTATTTCTCTGTAATGGGTTCGAGAAGCAGAGACAGCCCTTTTTAAGCTGCGGAAAAAAAAAAAAAAAGGACAAGCAAAATTCCACAGAAGTGCGCTGGTGGACTTTCAGCAGCGCAGCCTGTGCTATTTATGGCTGATACAGACAACCTGGAGGGGCCGATCCTTAGCGGTTAAGGGGCAGATCTTCGACTTTCTTTACCGGCCAAGCGTTCTGTTTCTATTTTTGTCCGCGTCAAGCCCAAAGGACAAGCATCTCGGAGCTGCCCCCTCCCGCCTGTCATTTCAGAATGTGCTTTTGAGACGATCTTTCTTTTATGAGTGTCTCATTATTCAATGTAATTAGCTCCCGATATTCAGTTAAACAGTTTCAAAGAACCCCTGGCCAGAGCGCTATCTTGCTAGTCAATCATCACTACGGGCTTTTTTCTCACATCTCAGCAAAGCTCCGATTGCGCGGAACTGATCCTTCTAAAATTTTCTCTTCTCTCATGACCTGATGACAGAGGCTGCGCATCTTTTCGCCCGGGTTTTAATCTGTGTCAGTTCAAATTCGCCTGCTTGCCATGGAACAGCATCAGTCCGAGAGCACGGCCGGGCTTATGGGTACCACGCCTCCGTCTGGGTCTCTGAGCCAAGGGCCTTTTCGCACCGCGATGTCACCCCCATTATACCGAAGAAGCACACCCGGAAGTCTTCAGCCCTCCCCGAGACTGCCTCGTTCAGAGCTTATCCGGAGGAGTCACTCGGCAGCGTCCATGTCACCCCCTGTCCCGGTCCCGGTGCGGCAAGGCGAGCTTGTACAGTCGATTGAACCACGCACCCTGCCTTCGCGGAACATCACTGATGCGACAATAGACGATGCCTATGTAGATTTCATCTTTTATTGTAACCCCGGAGTGCCGTCAACGACGAATACGTCAGAATTGCGAAGGATGTTCCGATTACCACCTCGGAGCGACGGGAAATGTTTCAGTATTTATACTCTCTGGGAATTGATACAGAAACTCGACCGGAAGGAGATCAAAACCTGGATTCAACTCGCCATTGAACTGGGTGTCGAGCCTCCCTCCGTGGAAAAAAAGCAAAGTACCCAAAAGGTGCAGCAGTACGCTGTGCGCTTAAAGGTCTGAACCATTTCTTTTGTGTTATCAGTTTACATATGGATTCTTCTGCCATGATTCTGATCTCCGACTAGCGCTGGATGCGTGCAATGCACGTGGACGCATTTTTCGACTATTGTATGGGTAATCAACATCCTTATTATACCAACGTCGGGGCTCTACACGATCAAGATGGAGGCTACAGGGACGGCGTTCCAAGAGAGGAAGATCTCACCTTACGAGCATTATATCCCGAATGGAAGCCTAGAAAGGGTCGAAAACGCGCCCTGGCTGAGACCAATAACCCGAAAAGGCCACGTTTAGATACACAAAACCCCAACATTGATAGTAGCGACCCTTATTTGCCCTGGAGTGCTCTTCCGGATGACTTTGAGCAACACGACCACTGGACAGCCAACTCCGCCTTTGGTACCGGAAATCCAGCTGGAGATCAGCGACATAATGTTACACCAGCAGATGGTGCAAGATGGGATTTTCCTGGACCACAACGATCTTCTCCCCTCAGATATCCTCAGTCAGCTGTTACGCCCCGTGGTAGCACCCAGGATGCTTTTTTCGAAAGAGAGCCAAAATCCGCCATCACACCAGATTTTGCAAATAGGATGCATTATAAACGACGCAGAGATCAACCTGTATTGTCTCCGTGGGCTGCATCCCGTAGTATTCAACCAAGTGGTGAGGGAAGTCAACAGCCACTGGAAAGTGCAAGGGACGCTGGAACAGCGGGCACACTTCACACTCAAAATGCTGCAAGGTGCGGTCCTCCTCAAGAAGCAGACTCTGATCCGTCGGTTTTGGCAAGGGTCGGCGTGGAAACCTCCGGTAATACCGTGCAAGATTTAACCAATTCTACTCTTCCCCCGAATTCAACCGGTCCCCGACCCGTAAAACTCCAACTTCAAGTGCCGAAAGGGTCGCCCAGGCCGCCTGTTCGACTCGCAACTCCACAGCTACAAGTGAATGGGGAGTTTCGTCGGCCATCTGCGTCTTTCGAGACGCAGGATTCCGGAGAATCCAATCATCGATATACCAACAACACGCAGAATACATATTTGGGACATACAGATCCCCTCATATCTTGCGACAACTCAACCGCACTGTCCCTCGACAAAGTCTCTCGTATGTTCGCTCTTGAAGTTCAACATGCTAGAATATTAGGGAGTCCGTCTGCCCCTAGCGAAAAGGAGTCTGTCGCAATTACCAACGCAATTATCAAGCAGATCAAATCACAGAGCGCTCCAAATGCCTCATCCCATATGATTGCACTTTACTGCGCGGTCCATTTGGGCCTAGGCCAACAACTTGGTTTAGGTGGCAAAAGGTTTGGCCAGTTGACCATTAAAATCACGCGAGGTGAGAATAGAGAGATAGACACTGCTATACCAACGCCTTACACAGCTCTTGACGGCATTTCCCACGGACAGCCAAGAATGCAATGTGTTCTCAACTATGACTTAATGTTAGCTCCTGGGATCACGACTAAAACAACGATTCATGTCTCCGTTCCATCGCTAGATACCCACGACGGGGGGGATTCTGTCGGCATGGACATACACGAAACGGACAAAGTCCCAAGGGATACTTTACGAGTAGCAATTGACGACTCTGAGGATGACTTGCTTCTGATGGAGACAGGTGTGGATTGGAAACAACGATACCTGAGCTTGAAAAAACAGATTCGGAAACGAGATACTGCTTTGCGACAGTATAAGAAGAAAATACTTGAGGTTGTGATGGATGACATTTAATTATCAGGCTGCTTTCATAGCTGGGAAGGAAGAATTCGAGGAATAAGCGGTGACTCTGTCTTGCATGTTGATCCCATGCACACCTTTTTCCCCTATGTATATTTACAAGCATTTATGTGACATCTCTCAATACCTCTACATACTGATTGAAATGCTTTTGTCTCTTTTAAAGGTTCGCTTCTCATGTCACATGATCATGCGCGGTTTGATTTATCTTTCCTAGAGATGCCAAGATCTTCTCTAAATACAACGTCGAAGGCTTTCTTATCCAATCAGCTACATATCGCCGTGATAGCAAAATGGAATCAGGGCGTTATATAACTTGAGAGAACATTGGACACGAAAAGAAGTGAAGATTCTCGTCGACAGGAAGAAAAGAAGCACCCCATCCCATGCTATCGTTTAAATCAACCTCTGCTAGAAGGCACTTCGCGAATAATTGCGTTTTAAACCTCGGTTTCAATATCCTCTCGCTTCAAAGCAGCAGATTTGGCGGTGTTGATGAAGTCCTGGAGAGACTCATCCTCATCGCTTCCCTTGTCCGCAGCAGGTGCCAAGAAAGGATCATTGTTGGTGCGAAGGCCTGCCTTGGGCTTGCGCTTGACACCATCATTATCCCCGTTGGTTGCGGTTTCGCTGACCTCACCCTCATCACCGCTATCCTCCTCCTTGATTTTTTCTGCAGATTTGGCTTTCTTTGTTGGAGAGGCGGCAGTCGCTGCTTTGCCTCCTCTGCGCTTGCGTGGAGTGGCATTCGCAGATTTCGGCTCCTTTTCTTTCGGAGTTCCTGCCTTGCTGGCCGCGGTCTTGCGAGGCTTTTTGGGCGTAGTATTTTCGGTTGGGGTGCTTGCCTCGTCGTCAGCTGGGCCACGTCCGTTGGGGTTGATTCCGTTAGCTTTCAAAAGACGTTCATATCGCTTGGCACTATGGTATATTGCTTAGAAACTCGATCTGAATGAGCTGAGAAGACTGGGTCCCAGGATGGCTGGCGGTCAAAATGTGGTATGTGGACAAAATACCACGAGCTTCGCAGCACATCCGGGAGCAGAGTGGGTTTGACTTACGCAGCGCCTTTGGTGACGATTTCGCACTCCGTTGCCACTGCTTCGAAGTTAACCTGTTTTATCATTAGTGACAGGAGATCAAAAAGCGCGGGAGTAGGGTAAGAAAGTTCCACATACCTTTCCATTGTTCGAGTGCTTGACACAACTCAGAAGGAAGTTGAGTTGCTCTTCACTGCTGGTGCGAGACATTTTGCCTGATTACAAAGCCTTCAGTGTTAGATTGAATTCAGCTTTTGGTATGCTGGTTGGGTGTATTATGCAAGAAGAAGAGTTGGGTGACTAGGGAAAGGGTGGTACAGAAGAGATCACAGATGTTGGAGAGAGGGAGGATGGTTAAAGAAAAGTGAACAAATAGGAGAAAGAGAAAGGAAAGGAGGAGGCGGATGGAATGCTTTTTTGCCAATTGCCTTGAGTTGTCTCTGATTTTTGTTCACTTCAAGAAGCGCCGAAAAGACGCGTTCTCTAACAGCATCCATTGCTTTCTGCAGCCGCGCACCACAGCAGCCCAAAACAAAGCGTCAGACAGCTGAACAGAAAGTCTCCTACCTTGATTTGCTGGGGTTTAAAAGGTGACCTCACCCTCCTTGACAATGTCAGAATATGCCTCTCTGATATACAGCTGTGAAGGATTTGTTGACAATTGTCTGTATGGAGAGCACGTTGTGATGGTACCTCACTAGGTAGAAAGGAAGCTGTTTGAGATAGGGATGAGTTAGAAATGTTGTCAGCTTTGTGTTTGGAAGCACCTTTTCATATGAAAGAAGATGATGATATGAAAGCAAGTGATAGAGGTGAGCAGAGGGCAAGTTGAAAGAGAACAGAAATGAATCACTCCTGAGATTGGCTACTAATAGAAATGGATACTAGGAGAATGTGTAAGGGAAGAGTTGGGACCCACAGAGGGTAGGCTGATAGCTTACTTGAGGAATGTTTCCTGATTCTCCTCTGACTTCTGAAGTGTTTCTCTGCAATTTCAGCTTTGGTTATTTGGAAATCTTTATGGCAAATCATCCCTATGGTCCAATATTACCTTGAATACCTTAATTCAGAATCTTACTCCTTCAATGCTATGAATAAAACAAAGGATTCCAACCCCAATGGTGCAATGCAAACAAATCCTATCACTTTTGACTCCAAAACAAACCTTTTAATCTAAGGCAGTGAACCTGCCCATATTCTTCTGTTTCTATAGAAAGATGGGCCCACCATCAAAAGCGGCGACCAATATGCCTCCGTGGTTTCCGTAACTCTCATCGTGCAGTATGGATTCAAGGACTAGGCAGTGAAAGAGTGGCCAGGAATGATTTGTATTGCTCTAACTTCACCGCCTTAAATTATGTAGAGTAAACAGTCCCAAGCAATTACCCAAAGTATCTAGGCTTCCAAACCTCTGGTGCAAGGAAAAGCCCGTCCCCAAATTTTTCAAGAGGAGCCGAGCGATAAAGATTGGAATAATTACTAGGCAAAACAGATAAGCCGGGAAGTAGACCATGACGGGGCCGATCTGATCAATTCTCAAGTATAGCGCTAAAGAGAATATAGCATTGGCGAAGAACGGTACCAGACTGGCACATAAAACTAGAAAAATTGCAACTTGTTGAGCGTAAACTTCTGGACGAATACGTGAAGACGATTCTGAGGTAAATGGTGCTGCTCATAGAACCGTTGAGTAAACGCTGTTCAGAAGCAGCTTACGGATGACCCGAAATTGTCTGTCGAAGCGGGTTAAAAGAAGTACTCAAAAAGATTAGGAAATGCGTTCACTTACAGCTTAGCACTTAGTCTTCTTTGCTCTTCGTCTCTGGCTTAACAGTAAATTCGTCGGCCTTAGACTCGTTCTCGCCATTTTCCTTGTCTCTGCCGTTAACTTCCTCTTCAGTGCTTTCAACTTGTTTTTCGACCACAGCAGGAGTTGGATCTGCAGCTATCTTGCGTTTCCGGCCACCGCCCGCCTTTCGAGCAGGTTTGCTGGGGCTCTCACTCTTCGATTCATCACCAGTACTTGCTGCTTTGGCCTTGATAGGACCCTTTGTAGCTCGAGCACCCTTTCGAGGAGTTGATGTAGCGGTGGCAGCAGCCACGACAGAAGCTACGTCGCCATCATCGCCAAGCTGCATTGGTCCGGTGGTGGTGCTAATACGAAGATTGAACTTTTTCTTTAGGCGAGAAAGACGATTGGAGACAGAGACTGGGTTAGAATAGTTCAAAACTTTTGCAACGCCACTAACATCGACCTATGCAGGCTCCATGTCAATATATATGTAGCTACTTTACCTAGTACTAGGCGTGCAAGGTCAAGATATACAATAAAATTAGACATCACATACCACTGCAGGGGTCTGGATATGTTTGAAACATTCCATCATGAACATTTCATCAGTGACCTTTGTTGACACTGTCTCAGTTGAGTTAACAGTAGTGTCAGCCATATTCCTATGATTTATCTGAAGACGTCGCTTGTGGTGCAGAAATGGGATCGAAATATCAGAAACTGTACTCCGTATATTGAGAAGAATTGGCTGGCAAACAACAACTTGAGGGAAGGTTGTTGCTGGGAGCGAAAAGTGAAAATTATGTGATAAATATAAGGCAGGGCTGTTCAGGAAGAGAACGAAGGTTGTGTTCAAGGGCTGTAACTATGACAAATGTTACAGTTATGACAACAGTATTATCGAGAATTCACTAGGTTACATACAGTTAGCTTGCAACCTATTTCTGTCCTGTTGGTATGAAGGGAGATTCTAACTTGGTAGTCAAGAATGAAGGGATATGCGAGTCAGCAGTTGTTAAATCACCATAGGAAACTTAAACTGGTTGAGCCAACAGAGAATGTAAGATTAGTGAGCCTCATGAGCGGCTACCAACTGAAAGTCACATCAGAAAGAAAGCTGAAATAACATATGATCTAACCATAGATATGGAAAAATCTTAGACACGCGAGACTGCAATGGTTCTAAGGAGAACCCACTTTTGCAATAACCATTCCTTAGGAAGAATGATAAAACAGACCAGAGGAGGTAAGTATCACATAATATTGGACAGCAAAGGACTTAACCACAGCCATGACCTGACCCTCAATTCTCAGGTTCTATTTTCACCAATACATCTGTCATAACAACTTCCTGATCGCATGGCTCCATTTTAATCTGAGGCCAATTCTCTCCAACGGGTGGTCGCCGATACCCAACTGGTATCTCGGAGGGTGGATAGGGCCTGACAAGATCGGCGGGTGTGACGGTTGGAAAAGGTTGAGCTTGTATTGGTCCCGAAGCCCGGGGAATTGCAAGGAGACAGGGATCTATTTGACTAATATTGACCGGTTCCGGCTTGATAAACGGCTCAGGCTTGATGACCGGCGGCTCAGGCCATACCTTTAAGTCATCAAGTGTCTGCTGCTTCTTTGATTTTGCTTTTTCCGTTTTCGGTTTCTTAGCCCGAGGGGTTCTGGGAGTGCTGGTTATCCCTTCCATGTGCTGCCTAAAGCGGGAAAATCTCATTCTAGCAGCATGGCCATTGCTAATATCCAGCTGTGATGCAACCAAATTCCAATCAACCTGAAGCAGCAAAGCATTAGGAGTAGAATGGGAAGATTACCCAAAGGGTACACATACCGATTTCAGATCTAGCTGCTTCAGAATTGTATATAGGAACTTTGTGGTTTGCCCATCCGCTGGTAGGGTTTTGCTCCTTTTAAGAGTAGTCATCCTCGGGTGAATTCTAAAAGAGATAACCACAAGGAGAATTATAGCACACACAGATGGACTGTTCTCAAAATATCAACACTTTGTATCACCAATTCTCAGGATTAGGCTTTGCGGGCATAAGGGAGGATGCGCTATGATGAAGGCTTGTGCAGGGAGGTATAGGGCTTATAAATTTGATCTAAATCCGATGAATTTATTGATCATCTCCATTCAACACATGTCTGCCTTTCCGTGGCATACCAGAAACCTCTAGTCACATGCATCAATTTTCAGCATTGTCAGAGCATAAACAGCTCCCGCTCCTTTGTTGGAAAGGCCATATACCTCAACCAGCCAGATTCCACTAGCCGAAACAAAGATCAAGTCTGGACATAATGACATGGGAAAACACCGGACCTTGATGCTTTTGGGCTGATTTGCTCTTGACAATGATGTGTTGTCAAACAAATGACCATTGGCAGTTCTTCTGGACTTTTGCTATTTCCATAAATATTTCGAGGAATAAACCACATCTTTTTCAAGATGTATTTGGGTTTATGACTGCAAGGTATGAGAGTGGGCTGCCAAATTTGTTCACTGAAGAGAGAGCGCGAGGTGGTCAGAATGAAGGAGGATAATAGGGCACTAAAGGGGCGCGCTAAACCCGTCATGGAAAAGGGGCCTCAGGCAGGCTTGGCAGGCTACGCTTCACACTTCAAACCCATGCGAACCACTCCATTCTCCCGACTGTCAAAGTTGCGTTGAAGGTAGAACATATTTATCTATCAGTGCATGGAGATTGTGTGGGATATTCATAAATGGTTATACCACAATCACATAATTTCCAATGAATATCCAGCATTTTCCCTGGGGTTCCAGCACTCTTTGGAGCATAAGGCAAGGAGGTATTCCTTGAGGGTATTGCCAAACATCTTGAAGAGAAGACATTCTTTTCCTCCCTCCCAATAGGGTAATGGAGCGCCATTTTGCTTGACTAAAGCAGAAAATGGATCTTTGAGAGAAGGCTTATTCGGACTATATCCATCGTTCCGTCATGGGAGCACGTCCATTACCAAGCCGTTCGATAAAGCCGGCAAACACGCTCATTATTCTCTGCCGTTATACGTCTATCTTGCGTCCTCGCTGAAGACGTGAATGGTTCTATATCCTGGTCATGGACGCGGAAGGCGTTTTGGACCTTTATGGCCTGCGGCAAAGACCTGAGCAGGGAGACCTTAACCCGTTCCTGGAGCTTTCAGGCGTGCGGCATGATTCTCTGAGAATGGCGCATATCCCGCTTCGTCGGACGAAGACGAGATAATCTTTCAAGGAAGCAACTCCTTGACAGCTTTCTGGGAACGGCATTTTGGCAACCACCAGCCATAGAGTGGATGCTCATAACTGGCATGAACCTTTGCCTCGCAAAGCAACGGGAGTGGTTTGGGAAATCGGCCCAATGTTGTACATGCATTAGTGCCAACTATGCTATTGTCTTTACCGTCAGTTGATATTATGTGACAAATCGTGTCGGCCTCATGGCACCCAAAAGCTCCAGGTATCGCAATCCCCCAAGCGAGCCCCCTTTCCCCAGTAGGAGGGGGCAGTATCCATTAGGGATAGAGTTGGAACCAGCATTATATTTCCACTGCATTATCCCAAGCTACCATGGCATCTCATGTGCTCAAGTTGAGTTAATCTGGTGCTCTTGCTTACTTCTGAGGTTAGAAACATGCTTAAGAAGCCATCACAGAAATATTGCTTCTTCTCTTCATAAAATTATAATCCCACGATGTTCATGATGTTAGTCATATCCTACATTATGGCCCCAGGGAGCTAGATCACTGCAGAACACACATGGCATCAAATCCAATTCCGTTCTGTTCTCAACAGGGTGGCATTATAACGTGCTATATACAGGCAGAACCAGATTGTTTATGCGACAAATAACGGCGCCACTATATTACCGTCGTAAATCAAAAATTCACGACTATAAATTACAGCCGAGCATCTCTTTTCTCAGACTCTTTTCCTTTCCTCGGCAACCCTTGAATCTATCCTTTTGAGTCTTTTCCAGATCATCATCATCCGCGCTGCAAGCGTTCGAGACTTTATCAATCGCGTCCAGTTCCTTTACAGCCGCTATTCCAGCTTCTGTTTCAGCTTTGAAAATGCCATCCGTCTGGGATGTCAGCTCGAATTATAGGCTGCTCTTTCATATGGTCGAGCAATGCAATCCCAAGGTCAGCTGGGAGTCTGTTGCTGCCGCCATGGGCGGTGGTTTTACTGCTGAAGCATGCCGGTATGTATAAACTTTTAATATCTTCTTTCTCATTCGAGCCCATATTCTACAAGATTTCGGTTTGATGCGGGCCGTTAAATGTTTTTGTGCTTTCATTGCTCATCTCGGTTCTGAACAAGCAAGCCAAACTTTGACTTTTATCCTCAAAATATTATACCTCTTACCTTTAGTTTACGGTGCCAGCATGGTCGCTTTTTCGTGGAATGCTTGGACTAATCCTCTCGCAGCCAGCACTTTGCTAAGCTGAAGAAAACCATGTCGGATGGCACTGCCAATCCCAATGGCAATGGCGGAGCCGGTTCCCCCGTCCCCGCTACCCCGACCCCACGCAAGCGTAAGGCGAGAGAGCCAAAGGCCCCTAGCGAAACTCCCGTCAAGCGCCCTCGTAAGAACGCCAAAAAAGCCCAGGATGATGGCGACAATGACGAAGGGAAGGAGACTGCATAAATTAGTCTCTGTTTCATTAGCCGCAATGTTTATCTTGAAGGTCAGTACAACTCATTATTTCTTCGTGCTCCTCCTGGAATCTCTGGAAATCTAAGTGCTAATATGCCTTCAGTGTCTCTATCTTGGCGATTCTTTGCGTATGTCCATTTGGAAGGGTCGTTGAATATCATAGCTTCATGGTGGCAATCGGTTGATACAACTCTCACGGTCGATTGGGCGTTCTAAAGTGTCTCTGATCTTGACGATGTGCTATTAATACATTTTCATATCGAGCCAGCCTTCTGTCAGTTGCAACTGAGAGCTCGATGTTGATAGCTAGTGACAGATGCGGAATTGACACTCTTAAACCGAGTCTGTTTCTCTCGTATTCAATTTAGCGGTTTATTGCTGACTAAGTAGACGAAGTGAGCAGTGTCCAATTTGGCTCCCGCACCCTCATTCATCAACACCAAAATAATGTCCACTGTGTTCATATGCATTGTCTTCGGGGAGCCACCTGGGCATGATCTGGCCCCTATGACACCTAATTAGACTATGATTTTTCTTTATCCCACTCTTCATCTGCTAGCACAATTTCTGAACAAGCCTCCCGCCATTATTTTGTTTTCCTATTCACAAAATTAATCAGTATTAGAGACTGGTTCAAACAGACCAATTTCGGGCTTCATGCTTTATCTCCGAAGCGAATTATTCCCAGTTAACAGACTCTTATAGGACATCACTTAGTGTATTTAGTATGGGAGAAAACTGATGGCAAAGCAAAATTGCTATCTTTTCGCAAACCTACATGGATATTAATATGGAGACCTCAATATCAATGCTCATCATTACATCGTTCAACTTCCTACCAGAAAGCATTACAAGGGGGCGTACCTTGTAATTTTTTTTTCTATGGCCCACGGGGTCGTGTTTCCTTTGGACGCCGAAGTGTTATTCCTCATTTGGACAATCTGATGACCTGGCAACAGGACCGTTCAAGCGAGTCAGCACACAGCATTCTCTTTCAACAGAGCCTTGATAGTTCTCTCTTTGTTTTCCCCCTTTTGACACATTGCAAGGCCTCTCGATAGTCCAAAGACCAGACTGCTTGTTTGAACTGTGTGTTCGAAACCAAGCAGCAGCTTTCGAATAATTATAATTGCAAGGATCTCTATCAAAATGCCGATGACTTGGAACGCGCAGGCCGATGCTCGGGTATGTTTTCGATTAATCTTCACTGTATTATTCTTCTGAACGGAAATATTTTGGACTATTCGGAAATCCAGCTAACTAATTTCCTAAAAGCTACTGCTCGCTATTATCAAGACTTCACCAAAAATAGACCTAAAGGCCGTTGTTAAACATATGGGTAACGGTATGTTTCGATGCTGGCTAACGTCCAATTCCTTTTCGTGATGGTATCTTAGCCATCTATGTCTTCTGGTTTTCCTCAGCAGAAGAACAGTGGCCTAACAGCTTTATCCTCTAGAATGTACCGAGAAAGCTCTTAGACACAGAATTGGGAGACTCCAGAGCTTGGCTGCTGGTGATGGCGAGACATCGGCTCCAACAACGCCCACTAAATCTCCCAAGACCCCCAAAACCCGTGCCCCGGTTTTGAGGGCTACTCATAGCTCTTCAGCGGGGAAGCGCAAAGCTACCATGAAGACCGATGACGAACCAGAGGTAAAGAAAGAGGGTGAAACGAAAAAGCTGAAGGTTGAGGAGGATTACGAAGATTTGGATTTTGCTTAAGTCAATGGCTTTGCCATATATTTTCTTTTTCTTTTTAAGTATTTCACTTGTGCCGAATTTATTGGCTGTATGCTAGTTCCAATGTCGCCAGGTTGTACAAGTGTGGAAATACTGATGGATTCCGGAGTCTAACGCGCCTGGTACTCCCTAGTTTCCTGATGCATAAAGCTTCTTTAAAATAGTTGAATAGGTTGATAAATCGGGCTGTATCGTCCTGAGTGCAACGTTTCCTCGCTATTAACGTCCTATCATAGCGAAGAAAGACTGGAACAACAATGATTAAGGCTCAAATGCATTGAAGGTTTGCTCTGCATTTTAGCTACCTACTAATCTGCCATCAACTACTGAGTTCCAGATGCCAAATCAAGACAATTCACTTAATTATGTCGATCGTAGCCACCGCCAACGAGATGATCGAAGTATCACAAAGCAGAGAACCTAATCTTGTTGACCAAAGGCAACTCGGAAATTCAAGCATACTCTTCGGTTTTTATGTAGTTATCCGCGAGATACTCACTAACGTCCGTTTCGTACTTGGCATCACGGTCAGTATCCTCATCATGATAATCCACCAAGTCTAGAGGCATGCGGCGGGCAGTCCTCACGCGCTGGGGAAACTGGTAAGTTGCAGGCGAGTCATCCAAAGGAATATCGCTGGTAGAGCCATGCTCCTCCTCCTTAATTTTTTTATTGCTAGTAGCAACGGGTGACCCGTGGAGGTCTAACTCGGCTTCGTTCTTAACGCGCTTCGGAACAGGCCTCTCCAAAGCCATGCTGTTGCGTTTACGCGAGCGGGCAGTGTCGGGAGTCTTGATCTTCGAGGTTGCAGCTTTTTTAGGAGTGGCAGCAAGGCTTTCAATGTTTTCCTTAGAGGCTTTCTTGATTCTGTGGAGCCTCTCCGTGATTGCCCGAGGGGTTGGAATGGCATTTGGGTCCGCCTGTGCTATGAGTGTATTAGAATCATTCTCTTTGAAACAGACAGGGTACACATATACTTACGCCATGCTTCCGACACCTTTTTAGTATCCACACTCAATTGGTGAGTTTCGAGAATCTTCAACAGAAGCTATGATCAAAGTTAAAATATATCGCACGTCGGTAGCGGTTTACCATGAGCACAGTAGAAACGCAAAAAGAAATAGACAAGATACCAGAGGCATCTAGAATAAATTTAGACCTACAATTTGGTCATTTTCTGGAGTCCACTTGATCGGCATGCTGAATCAAGTTTGATCGATATTTTGGATAGTATCGGACACAGCAAGTAAGTATGGTTATGTGACCTTGACAGGAGTTAGTAACAGATAGAAGGAAACGGGATATAAATGAGCGCGAATTTAACCAAAAAAAAAAAAAAAAAAAAAAAAAAAAAAAAGGCACTAAGAAATAAGAGCATTCCACCACATAACAGAGCCGAAGTTCTGTTACGAAGTTAAGAATCTTGGATACGGGTTTGGGTCAAGTCGAAGCATGAATGGCCTAGAACAGAATGACAGGTAGTATGCAAAACATCAACAAGTAATATCAAGCAGTGCAATAATAGGGAATAACCATTTTCCAGTTAATGTGGCTTAAGAACGTATTGTGCAAAGGAGCTGCCTTGTGTTAGGCTGCAGTGAAAGTTAACAAGAGTAAAAAGGAAGAACTCAGGTGCACTGCAGATTAGGGCGAAAAAATTAATATTATCTTGCCTTGGAACAGCCTGTACTCCAAAGGAGTCATGCAGATGAAAGGAAAGTAACTGTGCACTGAAAGACCTGGAAGACAGATGTGAACAGAGAAGAGGTCCTTGCCATTAAATTTTGCCGAAAAAGTGATATGGGAGATATCAAGTATAGGTGAGGACCTGACGGAAAGTTCCAGAGAGAAGCTAGGAAGGAAACAAAAGGGGCTATGAGAGTATGAGAATGTAGGAAATGCAGTCTCAAACAACAGACTTCAAAAGCAATTTTTTGGCTGCTATACTCACAGATAAATGTTGTAGAGGAGTAAAGGTGAGTGTAAGATAAAGGTGATTCAAAAGACAGGAGAGCACAAAAATGGTTATAGAGGTTGCAGAGTGTTGCTGCCGTGTTACAGAGTAGTGGTGCAAAAAAGAGATGTTATCAGTGATGTGTTTTGAGATGCTTGTTGTCATAGGAAGAAGGATTCAGGTGGGGGAAGAGAGCAGGATGGAAAGAAACAATGAGTATTGAAAGAGAAAAAAGAAAACAAACAAGACTCATGCTAGAAGAATGTTAGATGGAAGGTTTGCCCAATCGATAGGAAACATTAGCTTTGGATGAATCTGGTATTAACAGACCGACGATGATATGAAAACATGAATTCTGATGGCAGAGGCTCAGCACAGCGGTATGGCCAGCAGACTTGAGTAGTGGAAAGGCACATAACCTCAAAGGCAGAAGAAGCCAGAGGCTATGGGAGCGGGCAAAGAAAGAAAGAAAAATGTACCAAACAGAGATAGAAAACGCATCTTCCCTACTCTAGGCCCTTGGCCTCAAAAAACTCCAGCCCAAAATCTGCAAATATAGTTCCTTGAAAAAGGCGCGAACTCAGGGCACAGTCTCATCCGCGCAGATATCTATATCACTTGTAAGAGTTAGCAATTATAGCCGCTACATTCACAGGAGAATTAACACCACCATGTGCTGACCGAGACCCAACTGATTGTACGTAGCCTTAAAACGCGAGCTGAGATGCACTCGAGAATTCAGTGTGAGAATTAGAGATTAACTTACAATTTCAGATGACTTCGCAGTCCCAATTCTAGACGCCAGTTGATACAAAATACCCTTCAAGAATTAGCTGATGTTCAAAATGTCAACGAGTAAATAAAAGTACATACCTCTCGCCATCATGGGCGATTCTGTAGATTCTCACAGGGAATTATTTTACCATATTGAGTATAGACAACACCTTTGCGTGAAAATTTGCCCGACTTGCACAGCTCAAGTGCAAGCCTCAGATTTACTTTCTGATCATCCTGTGTCTCAGAATGGGCAAGCAAGTCCTCCAAAAACTTAATTCGGGATCAAGAGGAGGGGGAACAAGTGGCTTTGGGGAAAAGATCAGATATGTCAACCATTACAAGAAGAATAGAAATAATTATAGTCATGAAGACTTGAGAACATGTGTGAAGTTGGGCGAGCGACTGATGCACAGTCATCACAAGCGGAAGATAAAAGGCGAGGTATGGAGTAGGTCCACTAGAACCGAAGGGTAAGCAGAAGCTTTTAACTAGTTAAATTAACTAGCATGTCCCATGCTGTTGCCCCATAAAAAGCTTGTGAGGTCGGACTGAAGATCAGTATCCCTCACTTTTATGGCAGGTTTGTGATATGCAACAAAAGCAGATCCCAGATGTGAAGTGTAATTGGCTAACACAAGTTCCAGATAGGTGATAATAAAGTAAGATCAGAGTGAGATTTATTTTCATTTTATGTGAGGTAGTGACATGTAACAAAAGCTTGGTCAGTCAAAGGGCCAAAAAGATCTTATAAAAGGTGATATTATATAGTAGCATTTTCAACTCAATGGGAAGGTTATAACCTCTTTCCCTACTGCATAGATGAAAAAGGTGAAAACTGGCAATGCCCTGGGAGTAGAACCCTCAGCTGTAAAATGAAGCTTATTATCCGGCGTTCAAGCTTGGAAATTTTTCGCGGGCGATATGTGGTTTTATCAAAGCATGATATGTCGTCTGATTTATGAAAAAGATATGCCGTAAATGTCGAAAAGATGATGGAAACTCGTGAAAGGGAAGATCAAAGTAACGTCGAGAGTAGATCCTAGGCTCTTAATAGGTAATATCTTGAATTCGATACAAGCAACGATTGAATGGAAGATGGAAGGGGTCAACTCCCGTGCTAGCTTTATAAGTCTTCATTAGCATCGTCAAAAAGGACCCGCCAGGTGGCTGACTCACCTGTAACTGGTTAACTTAACCTAATTACTAGGTAAACTAGTTAGTTAGAGCCCACTGCCCACATAATGGGAGCTTAGTCTTGAGTAGGTTGAAAACAGAAAGAGGATTGAAAAGCTCGAGGCGCAAAAGCTGGGGGTTTTATACCCGTCTCGCAGATGGTGAATGAAGGGGCTTTTCTGGCTCTTAGATAGTTACTCATTTAGTGACATATAATATTTCCTCTGAAGCATGTTTAGCGTGACCATGTCCCTACGTGGATTTTGAGTATCTCGATGGCAACTTCACCAGGGATATCATCGACCGTAGATAGATACGGGTCATGTCGATAGCAGCGGGGATAGCGATTTGGCCTGTGGAAATCTTAAACCTGCAGCCTCCCACTGCACTTGGCAGTTCGCAAAGACGACATTCAGATTATCACATTTAACCATGCTGAGAAGCTAGTACGAATCTAACCTTTATTATTTAAAGGCCAAAACGGAGGACTGTTTATCGAGGATTCGCTCGAAGAATTGCACGCTCAACAGTTTTTCGTTGAATCGAGAATTAGATCTTGTCAGAGATAGAATCGAATTAGAAGCGCTTTGGTCTCCACGAGTAGCAATCACGTCGCCCTAGAGAACTTCCATTGTTGTCCATATTAAGGCTATCATAGAGAGTATGATAACGACTCCAATGGAAATGTATGCCTACAGATTTTCCATTTTAAAAGCCGAAGGCTGTGATTTTCCCAAATTGCAAGCTGGTTTGTGGTTTGATACGTGTGGTTGTTTCTTTTTCTACAACGGAGGACCAAATTCCAATATCAACTGACAATCATCCGTTGTCAGCTCGGAAATCAACGACTCCAGTCGTTGACAAATTCCAGATGCCTGTAACTCTCCGATGTCCTATGCCTGCAGACCTCGCGGAATTGATAAAAGGATCAGCTAGTTAAATGCTCCGGATGTGAACATACATCAGTTTGTATGCATACATATGTCACACACTTGGTGCACGGTTGCATGTCAATACTTCCTCTGCAGCTTTTTTTTTTTTTTTTTTTTGACCGCCAAATAGACACTTCTTGTTCTCCGCCCTCTTTTCTTCAAACAAGGTGAACCATGGCCGACCCCACGCTTCATCTTCCCCGGATTCTCTGCTTTCACGGAGCCGGCTCCAATGCTGCTGTATTTCAAAGCCAGTGCCGCGCCCTTATTCCCCAGTTGCAACCACACTTCAGACTCTGCTTCGTAGATGGCCCATTCATCTGCGAAGCCGGACCGGGGATCCTCCTAGTGTATGAACAATCGGCTCCTTTCCGGCGCTGGCTTCGCTGGCGACTTGGCCTTCCACCCCTAGCGAAGATGGATGATAGCTCGCAGATTCCCGACGAGGAAGTATACAAGTATATCGAGAAGAATATACAGGATGCAATGCGTAGGGATGATAACAAAGGAGCAACAGGAGAGTGGGTAGGCTTGCTGGGCTTCAGCCAAGGGGCCAAGTTATGCGCCAGCTTGCTCTTCAGGCAACAGGTGCGCACAGAGAAGTTTGGTGCGGAGAACGCTGGTTCAAACTTTCGATTTGCGGTGCTCATGAACGGGCCGGGGCCTCTGGTGGCATTTGAGAAGCCAGAAAGCAGCAATCATGATAATGTTGATGATCTGCAGCAAGAAAAACAGCCGCAGCAGCAGCCAATTTTACGCATTCCGACACTCCACGTTCATGCATTAGAGGACAGCGATTTGCCTTACCATCGAATGCTAAGAAACCAATTCTGCGGCGAACAAACAGCATGGTTGATTGAATGGAATGGCGACCACAGGATTCCTCTTGCTTTGAAAGACGTATCGCTTGTTGCGAATCGAATTGTGGAGTTGGCAAGGCAGACTGGCGTGATTTAGGAAGCTTTTGGAACAAACAAAAACTCTAAAACTGGCTAGCAGTCAGAAAAGGACATCAGGTTGGATAGCTGGGATAGGAGCAGAATAAACACCCTGAGCTGGGGTGCTTATGTACACCTTGGATTGACAGCATCAATCATGTACATTTTGGAAGCGAATCTCGGCACCAGTACCATCACTGGCTTATTTCTATTAAATATTTATTAAGAATATGAAAGCAACGCTGATACCACCCATGAACCGCAGTTGAAAAGGACGATTGTGACCTAACGCCATAGAAATTGGCCGACGAATGTGTGCCCAACATCAAAGAACTGCGAACACAAGCTATGTGTTAATTGCTATCCAAATCATCGTAACCATTTCCCCTGCGTCTTTTTTTTGGAAGTGACCCCGGTCTATATGAATCCCCGCGCTCGAGGTAGGGTTCTGGAGGTGGACGGGATGGAAATGAAACTCGACGATGCAAATCGCTATTTGGCGGAGGACCAGTTGTTCTCATACTCATGGGGGCTCGGGGGGGACTGAAATCGGACGCGGTTCGGAAGTCCTCTCTGTGGCTATCACGAGGTGAGTCATCTCGAGAAAAGCTAGCTCGGCTTGCCAAAGGAGGAGGACTCGGACCCGATCGGATGCGCAGCTCTTCTTCGTGAGGCGAAGGAGGCCTGTGGGGCATATTTGTGCTGATATTCAATGGGGGTTTTGAAGATGGCCTTGAGGACGGCTGTGAAGAGGGCCGCGAAGGAGCACGTCCAGTCCGGACGTATATTTCTTCCCTGTTACTGCTCGTATCGGGAGGATTTGCACCCAGCGATACACTCCGGGGTGCAGCTCTCTCCGGCTTTTCACAGACTTTGGCCAACTCCCTAGAATCAAATATGACCTTTGCCAGCTTTTCCGCGGTTACCCTCTCCACCTCATCTAATCTATCAATAGCGCCCTTAATAGAGTCATTTATCCGAGCCCGTTCTGAGTTCATATCTTTGATCATAGAAAGCCTTTCGGTCTTCTCGCCTGCCTGATTAGCCTGTACTGCTTCTAATCGAGCTGATATAGAATTCAACATCTCGGCTTGATCATTAAGACCCTTTCTCAATTCTTCGATCTCTTTCTGGGCCGTGCTTGCATAAGGATACATTTCTTGCATGGAGGCGACCATCTGTCGCACAAGGGGTTCACTTGATAGCCTGTTATATCGGCTTTCAAGTGATGTTATTGCCACATTATGGCCGGCCAATCGCTCAGAGTGATACTTTAGTGCATCATGCATTTGCGCAACATCAGCATTGTCCCTTTTCTCAAGGGCCATGATCCTTGCTCCGTGTGCTGCATTATTTATATCCTGCGTCCTCAAGTGCTCCCCGAGTTGGTCTTTTACCATAGCATAGTCACTATGGAGTTTTTCGATGGAGCTGCTGCGCCCCAATTCCAGCCTTTGCAATTCGTTGTCGATTTCTTTGTCTTTCTGGTCCTGAAGTTCTCGTAGCTTCTCGAGTTGGCTGAACAAATTTTCCATGTCAGCTCTCAGCGTGTTGAGGTTTGGCCCTTTTTGGTTCTCGATCGCAGTGACTCGGCCTTCAAGAAGTTGGTGTTGTGCAGCGGATAACTCTTCGGTTTCGTCAAGGCGCCTTGACAAGCTCTGAACTTCCGATTGTATAGTATTTGATGCAGATTTATTTTCGATATCGGAAAGCCTTTGCTCGAGAAGGTCACATCTCGTCAAATTCCACTTTTCCGTGTTCCGGTTTCTGTCTACTATACTCTGGCAGTGCGAACGGAGCAATCTCAGACTTGAGAGCTCTTTTTCCACCTTGGAGTGGAACTTTTGTTCGAGCTTATTTAACCGCTCTCTTATGTCCTCTACTTGTTTTAGTCCTCGCGTAGCTGATTCGATAGAATTGGAACAGGAGCTGACGTCAAGCTTTAATTGCTGAAAAGTGTCATTTCTAGCCATGAGGTGGCTAAAAACCTCGGAAAGATCAGCTTGTTTCTGCTTGTGTAGATCAAGCTGCTGGTCAATCTTGGTTAGACGGTCCATCTGCTCTTTCTGCATTGCCTTGCCCCGTGAAAGATACGAGGGATATTGGAACTGACGGTCGGCAGCTCGATTCAACATAGCCTCCTGCTGACGGACTTTCTGTGCTAAACGTTCTCGTTTCCCCATCTCTCGCCCAAATACTGAAATTTCCGTGGCATAATCAAGGAACAATTGGACTGGATCTTGTGGTTTGCGACGGGGATCTTTCGTGGCAGAATGGGGTGCTCCATTTGGTTCCATGCTCGCAAGACCGGTTTCGAGGATGGACGCGGTGTGAGCCCACGCGTAAACATGGAATGTAGGGGGAGCAGAGGAGATAATGAGGGCGAGATAGCTAAGCCTTTGAAAATATTAAAGCATCTAGGACAAAGCACCCATTAAAGATGAATGATGTTCATCTCTAGTCTTCCCATGAGACAAAACTGCTAGCGAAATGGTGAAATATTTATCCGTCTGAGCTATCCCCTCGTCCGGAGATTCTGTGCAAATTAGCGTGGTTTCACTTAGTGTACAATATTTACAAGGATTAGAATGGTTCAGCCAATAAGCTTACCATATAAAATATATAAGAAGTCTATTGGCTCATTCATACCCGCTTCAAACCTTATTTCTCTACCCCAACCTTATTTAAGCTTCATATTATGTAATTGTTATTTACATTGATTTACCAGCATTCTCATATAAATAGATTACACTAGCGAAACCACGCTAATTTGCACAGAATCTCCGGATGGGGGATAAATGGAACCTTGTCGCGTGTAATTATGTAATCAGACAGCCAGCTGTGGCCGGCCTGCCTGCGAGAGCTCCCTTTCAAGATGCGACGAAACAACCTCTCTCTCCTCCCTCACGACCTGATATCCTTCATTGCACACACTGGCTGAGGAGGTGCAAATAAACTGACCTGAACCAAATTGAGTTTATAATTTTCAGAACCATGGCTGCTGTATGAGCTGTTTGCTTCTCCTCCACTTGTGTCCCTAGCCTCTAACTTTTGTACTAGGCAATTTCTACAGTCGCCGAGAGCAAGGAGCTCAGAGGTCTGAATCTTGTCGCCGCGCATTCCCATATTAGAGGGCTAGGTGTTGATCCCGATACTCTACAGCCCCGCTCTTCCTCGCAAGGCCTAGTTGGCCAAGAAAAGGCGCGAAAAGCTGCTGCTGTTATTCTCCAGATGGTCAAGGATGGGAAGATTGCTGGACGCGCCGTTTTGATCGCTGGCCCGCCAAGTACCGGAAAGACCGCCATTGCGATGGGAATGGCGCAGTCGCTAGGGCCTGATGTACCGTTTACCATGGTCGCTTCGTCCGAACTCTTTTCCCTTGAGATGTCGAAGACGGAGGCCCTTACCCAAGCATTCCGCAAGTCTATTGGAGTGAGAATAAAGGAGGAAAGTGAAATTATTGAAGGAGAAGTGGTGGAGATACAAATCGACCGCAGCGTTACTGGGGTATGTAGCGGAGGACCCGAGATCCTTTACCTTTTGCGATGAGACTTCTAACTCGTTATAGGGTAATAAACAAGGCAAACTGACGATAAAAACCACCGATATGGAAACAATCTACGATATGGGAGCTAAAATGATTGATTCAATGACAAAAGAGCGTGTTATGGCGGGTGACGTTATCTCTATCGACAAGTCCTCTGGCAAGATTACGAAGCTGGGAAGATCTTTCGCTAGATCCCGAGATTACGATGCCATGGGTGCCGATACGAAGTTTGTTCAGTGCCCGGAGGGTGAACTTCAGGTCCGTAAGGAAATTGTTCATACGGTTAGCCTGCATGAAATCGACGTTATCAATTCGAGAACGCAAGGTTTCCTCGCCCTTTTTTCTGGCGATACTGGTGAAATACGAAGCGAAGTTCGGGATCAGATTAATACAAAGGTTGGCGAGTGGAAAGAAGAAGGAAAGGCTGAGATTATTCCCGGAGTTCTGTTTATCGACGAGGTTCATATGCTGGACATTGAATGTTTCTCATACATCAATCGGGCCCTTGAAGCCGAGCTAGCGCCAATCGTGATCATGGCAAGTAATCGGGGCAATACCAGAATCAGAGGGACAACCTATCGATCTCCTCATGGTCTCCCGCTAGATTTTCTGGACAGGGTTGTCATTGTGAGCACCCAGCCATACACTGGAGAAGAAATCCAACAGATACTGGCTATCCGAGCTCAAGAGGAAGAGATCGATCTCACACCGGATGCATTGGCTCTTTTAACCAAAATTGGCCAAGAGTCGGGACTACGTTACGCCAGCAATATCATCACAACGTCGACTCTGCTCAGCCAGAAACGAAGATCAAAAGACGTGGGAATCGAAGACGTGCAGCGCAGTTATCGCCTTTTCTATGACCCTGCTAGAAGTGTGAAGTTTGTGACTGAATTTGAGAAGCGATTTATTGGTGACGAGGGCCAGGTCAATTTTGCTCACACCAATGGTGATGCCATGGACACCTCCTAATTGATGATTTTCTTTTCTTGAACTGGGTATGGCGCAAACGGCAACTAGGATGCTAAAAATATCACAATCGCGTATTATATGAACGGCGCAAAAAACAGGTCTTGGGTTACTGGCAATAGCAGACCTTTTTCTTTTCTGTTTACTTAGCTGAGGCGATAGAATAATTGATGATCAAGAATGCTGCAAACTCCTGCTCTTTGTAGCCCACAGATTATAGTACAAATCAATATTTTCATAGCTGTCATTGAGAGAAAACAGCAGCGCTGTTCCAGGTTGTACAACCGACTTTGCGGAACTCAACGCCACCGTCTCCAAAATATCCGGCATTATTCCAAGACTCCATCGTTGTCTTTTCATATGGACCGTGCGTTGCGCCGCCATCGCGAGCATCCGACCAGCGGAATTCCCACATCGCATTCTCGTTGTCTTCTGGCTCTGCTGATTCTGTCCTTGGCGGATCAACCCACCCTTCGCCGGTCTCCCTCCGATATTGTCTCGTAAGCATTTCTCGCTCTGTATCATATATTTCTGTTTGTCCACGGCTGAGAAGGATATCTGCGGCACCTGTGATTTCTTCGATGGCACGTTTGCGAGCTGCGTCTGCAGGGTTTTCCTCCGTCATTTCCACGTCTTCTGCGGCGCCGTTAGCTTTCTTGTGCTTATTTTTTTGTTTGTTCTGCCACTTGGGGCGACGTTTCTGTCCTTTGCCTAATCGGGCCAGGGCATCCAGAATTGTTTCTCCTCGATGTAGGTTGGCGATCAATGTCTTTAGAACATCGCCAGTTAGGATGCTGGCATCGGCGATAGATTTCTGTCGACGTTCTTCTTCTCGTTTCTCCGCCGCCGCTTTGGCTTTCTTCATGTCCTTTTTCGATAGTCCTTCCAACCAGCTATCGTGAATTGCATCTGGATCGGCGGCTTTTCGAATATAGTTTCCGGCTTCATCAAAACGCCCCTCTTCCTGCTCTGATCTCATATTAAATGCATCAAGAAGTGGCGCATGAGTCTTTTTCCCGCCAGCACCCAGCTCTTTATCAACGCCTCCAAGATCTGCCCGGCCTTCCTCGTCGGTATCGCTCTCGCTCGAATCCTCCTCCACAGCTTTTCCTTTGCCTTTGCCCTTCGGGTCTATGTTGTCCAGCCTGACCTTAACACCGCTTCGAGAATTGTTTACCTGTCCCTCTATTTCATCATCATTCAGAAACCTGACCTGCTTTTTCGCTTTTCCCAGATCATCCTCTGGAACTCCCATCTCCTCCTCAACTTCTGCAAACATGTCGTCCTCGTCCACATCGTTTTCTGCATTGCTGGACTTAACTCTAGCCTCTGCGCGCGCGTCAAAGTTTTCGTTTTCACTGTCTGAGTCGTAACCATCGATGTTTACTGCATTGCGCTTTATTCTCTGACCGCGTCGTCCGATTTCATCTGCATCGAGGACGGCATCTTCTTCGGTCGCATCAGGGACTAGTGTAGACGGATTGCGGAGATCGAAGCGAGCCTTTTTGGTGGACGACGGGCCGTCGGGGTCGTATTCGTTGTGATGCTGACGCGCGTAGTCGTCGGCGGCGCGTTTAGGGCGAGCAATAGTGTTTGAAAGCATCTTATCCCTTGGGATTTGGAGACCCTCCTCCGGGTGTCAACTTGGCCTGCGCATGGGGCCGCCTGTCTTTGATGGATGTTGCCTTCGAGCTTCTTGGGGGGATTGCCAAGACGTCAAGACCGTCACTGCCAAGCCTTGCGTCACAGCCCGCGAAGCAGCTCGACGGGGACATCGGACAGTCAGGCAACAGACACGGAAAAATGCACGAGACAAACAACCTATCAGCCCGCTCTAAATAATGTTCTAACACCCTCAAATATCAGACCAAGGCTTTTGTTCTCAGCGTCTTTCACGAACTGTTATCTTTCCTTTTTCGTCAGCCCCCAGCATCCCACTTCGTCTTGACTAATACGTACTCGACCTTGTATGCTTGTCTCCCAACATTCAGCTTGTACACTGATTCTTTTGAATGGAAATAAGAATTAACGGTACCCAGTTATGGTAAGCTTCTTTTACTAGTATTTTACTCGTTCAATAAGGCTTAAAGCTGACATGTACTGACTTCCTCAGTTTCAAGGCGGTTATTACGAGGACAATGACCCCATGGATGGAGTGTTCCATCCAGGGCTTATGCGGCGCGCTGGGCATGCAGCTCGTCGGTTTGATGAATACTATCGATGCTACCCCGTAGCTATGATGCCGGGCCCAGAACGAGAAGCTGCAAATCACGGAGGGAAGGTATTTATGCCAGCGAGCGCCCTGGATAAACTTACACGACTCCATATTACCTATCCTATGCTTTTTGAAGTTCATAACGGCGCGAAGCAGAGAATGACACATGCTGGAGTGTTAGAATTTATTGCAGAAGAAGGAAAAATTTACTTGCCATTTTGGGTATGAGGAGACCTCCTATCTCCTCCTTAGCTATTGAAGGCTGACCGGTGGTCCGGATGTAGATGATGCAAACCCTACTGCTGGAGCCAGGAGATTTACTACAAATAAAGTCGACAGATTTGCCACTAGGACGCCTTATAAAACTGCAAGCTCAATCCACTTCGTTCCTAGATATCAGCGATCCTAAAGCCGTCCTCGAAAACGCATTCCGCAACTTCTCATGCTTAACTAAGGGTGATGTTTTCACATTTTCCTACAATGATCAGACATACGAGATGGCCGTGCTGGAAACTAAGCCAGAGAACCCTGAAAACGCTATCTCGGTGCTCGAGACAGACCTGGAAGTGGATTTTGCGCCCCCGCTTGGCTATGAGGAACCCAAACGGCCCAGCGGCACAAGTACGCCGTCTAGCATGACTAGTGCCGGTCTACCACTCGGTGGTATGCTTCATCCACATGGTACGATGGCGCAGTCAATCAATTATGCCGCTATCGCACCGGAGTCAACAGACGCAGCTCGAGGAGCAAAGGCCGTATCCTCTAACTTCCTACATGGTGGACAGCGTCTCAATGCAAAAAAGGGCAGCAAGCAGCCTACGCCCAAAGCATCTACCCCAGTCTCAGGTGTATCCACAAACGCGCAGCCCCCCGCCCCTGTGCGCCGAACGAATGGCCCTCAACCACTTCGATTACCACCAGGGAAGCTCTTTTTCGGTTATGCTATAAAGCCCGTTCAAAAGAGCAATGAAAACGGGCAAAAGGAAGGAGAAAAGCATACGAGTTTCTTAGGGGCCGGGCAATCATTGCGAGGGTCGAAGAAAAAGTAATAGCTGATTTTTGAACTTACAAACATTTAAGCGTTGAAATTAGGCCCAGATGGAACCTGGCGTAATCCAGAAATATATGGACAAATTGCGACTGAGCAGTGAAAATGAGATATGAAGTTTAGCGGGGAGCCATGTAGGCATGGGAGCCTTACCAAGTCCAATGAAGTACTGTTTCGGATGTCACGGTCCAGCAGTCGATAAACTGGCTATTGGAACAATAATTTTTCTGCTTCTTTCTTAATAGATCGCCTAGGTAGGCAAAAAGGCCAACCACACAGGGGATGAATTTAATTATCCCTAACTTGGAACGTTTCCAACCTTGGAAGGTTATCGGCGGTCGGTCTAACTATTCCTCCGCCAACGCGCTCTGCCGAGGCTCAACACTTTTTCGCGTGTCAGGGGCATCTGCAGCGAGCTCCGTCGTCCGTAGTTATTCAATCGATAACTGTTGGGAGCTAAAGGCAGAAGCCATCCTTTTTAAGTTGAATTTACTTGCGGTTTTCTGTCTTGGATACATGGAGCATAGATTAACCATCTTGCTCAAGGTTGACGGTTTCTCTCTCTTGGAATCTGTATAAATACGCTCGATGAAGGAACGTATATCTACTTTCTTTTTCCTTACATAAAACGTATCAAAGAGACATCCGTCCATTATCTAGCTGGTCCAATTTCCAGTGATATTCATATCTTCTCTCTATTCTTATTTTTGGTCCGAAGATTCCGAGCTTGTACACACACATGCAAAAATGGCCTCGAGCATCGAGCAAATCGTACCGCCAATATTCAGCACAATGGCCCAACTTGGGCCTGGAGTATACATCAGGGACTTTCCTCAGACCTTGGAGAAGCGCGACAAGTCCCTAACAATCGTTCTCTTCTTCTGGATGAATGCGACACACCGCCCTGCAGGCAAATATATAGCCCAGTACACGCAGATAGCGCCTACCGCGAGGATCATTTCAATCTTCACATCCGCTTCGGACTTCTTCATTCGAAATTCAGACGTTGCGCAGAAACGCCGGATTGCTCCCGTGCTGAATGCGATTTTGTCTACTGGTGGCTCAGGAATTGGTACAGACAGCACCGGTGAACATCTATATATTCATACTTTCTCCAACGGTGGATCCACGACGCTACGACACCTGGCTGCTTCATACCGAGCCACCACGGGTAAACCGTTACCCGTGAAGGCGCTGCTTATTGACAGCGCTCCCGGAAAAAACTCCATATCGAAAGCTGTCCAAGCGCTTTCGTACAGTTTTCCCAAGTTCTTCCTGTGGAGGGCTCTGTTGTCTGCGACTGTTTGGACTTGGTTACTTGTTTTGACTACTCTGGGGAAATTATTGAGGAAGAAACATCCTTCCTTCCGCTTAAGGGAAGGGTTGAACGATTCGAAGCTGATTGATGGAGGAGCGGAGAGGTGCTATGTCTATTCAAAAGAGGACGAGTTGATTCATTGGAGAGATGTAGAAGAGCATGCAGAGGACGCACGTGCCAAAGGGTGGAATGTTTCAAGGGAGATGTTTGAGAAGTCGCCCCATGTGAGTCATATGAGGACGGATCCCCAGAGGTATTGGAGAATTGTTGGGAGGTTGTTGAAGATCGCTATGGGTTAAGGGAAAGAAAAGAGGCAAATCCACAAAATACACCCCTTCAACAGTGTCTGCAATTTCTAAGAATCTGAAAGAACCCATTAGATATCCCTTAAGGTTGGATTTTAATAGATATTTTGACGCTCATCAATAAACGGATAATCGTCTCTATATCGAAACCTGAATGTTGATCGTTTCTAGAAGATGAGGGTAGATACATGGCGAAGAACAGGAGGCGCTATCAACTCTAAATGTTGTGTCATTGACCAGTTATGCGTATTTCCTCGTGTCCAATCTCTTCCAGACATCATGATGAAACAACCGCAACATACAAGCAATACGATAGCAATCGTGGCCAACATAACATTCAAAAACCTTTCTAGCTCTCCAGAAGTGTCCCATCACACCTCCTCATCCAAGACCTCGACAATTCGCTCATACCGCGAATGTTCCCAATCATCAGTAACAGTTTCGGCGCGAGGCTGCCTGGCTCTCTTTTCTGCAGTGCTAGAAGAATCGGCAGCTGCAGTCTCGGTAAATACGTCATCCTCTTGCTTTAGGCCGACAATGTTGAAGCAAGAGCTAGTTTCATGTGGTTCGGCTTTGGGAGCAGCCTTGATCGGAGTCGCGCCACGCTCATTTTTAATGAAATGTGAGCCGTCATCATCATCGTCATCGTCCAACAGAATGCTATGTTCAATTGAAGCTCCTTTTCCTATCATCTGGGTTTTAGACAGAGTGGTGTACGGAGATTTTACCCCTTTTCCAGCCGAACCGGGCTTTGCCACTCCACCGCGACTATTGGTTCGAGGGGTGGCAGTGTTCGGAGCTCGTGCAGTTCGCGGGGTGCTAGGAACACCGCCAGCTCGACAGTTATTGTTTCTTCTCGGGGTCCTTTCTGTCATGCTCTCGGCCATCCGACGGTATTCGCGGAAACGGTGCTGGAGAGAGTCGTACGTCGCTCCCTGACCGAAGTAAACAGCCATGGCCCGGTAATCCGGCTAATAGAGGTGTCAGTACTGTTGGGACTGTAAGGAACAAAACCACAGGATTCGTCTAAAGACATGTGCCAGAATTAATATACCACATAACAAAAATATGTGCTCACAGTAAAGCCAGGGTGGGATGCTATCAATGCAGCTATCAACCGCTCGAGGGCATCCTTTGTCCAGACCACTGGCATCCTTTCTTGGTCCAAAGGAATCAGCAAAGAAAAGCACCAGTATGGCTAACTCTTGTAGGCTTGGGAAGAGACGTAAGAGAAGAAAGATGCAAGAGCCTGAAGACCAAAGAGATGAAGAGAAAGTGATTGCGTAGGAAATTTGAGCAACACAACTTTCCTTTCACAGCTGACAGCAACTGGCGCCGAGAGGAGTTGCTTAGGTTAGAGGTGCATGCCTGTGTTAATGTCGTTCGACCAGCATAGAAGTGCGAGCTAGCAAGCCGATGCTGCATGCAAACCATATATACAGCTGCTAAGTAAAAGTGAAAGAGCAGACTAACATGCAGAGCACTTCTGGCATGTTGACTCTAGGACCTGGCAAAATGGAAATCTCAAAGATAATGCAAAGACAATGTCATTTGGAAAAGTGAGGTTAGTCTCATTGTTGCCATTCAACGCAGCTATATGCTCTTCTTCTTCTTCAGGGGGTGGTGGTGTTTGGGAACAAATTAAACTTTGATTTACTTCGAAATACTCCGACTAACATTTATATCTGCGTACAAAATCAAAGGGCGACGAATCCTCGTCTGAAGAGTTGGGTTTAAGTCTGGAGCACGACGGCTGGGCTGCTCAGAGACACATCTCGCGATGGTATGGATGTAATCTGTTGAGGAACATTCCTAGATAGATGTCCGACGGATACATCTGTACCCAACTCAGCAACGCTCCAACCTTAGGTTAAATCGACATTGACAGTTAAAGACAAAGACGTATGACCGTCAATATGTTACACATACCCAATGCCAGATGGGCGACTGAACCTGAGGCCCAACATGAAACCTGAACCGACGCCGTTTATGTCTTCAAACACCCAGGAACCGAAAAAGCGACGACAAATCGCCTCATGCTTAATTCACAAGCAAACTCTTCTTGTCGAAGATATTGATCAAGGTAACCTAGTGCAAAGGTCAGCTTCAATTCCAACGAAAAGCCAACCCAGGGAAACGTACCTCAGCAAACACCGGGCTCCCATACCAAGTGTTGCCAAGCAGATTCGGCTCAACCGAAACCTCCCTGAGTCCTCTTGACTCCAAATGTTCCCAAAATCCAATCCATTCCGAAAGACTCCGTGGAAGCAAGTAATTGGTCTGGGGCGTGGCTTCCCACACATGTGTCTCGACCAGAAGCTGTCCGAGTGGGAGGTCCTGATCCTGGAAATCGGTCAAAAATGAAGTGAGGGCACCGAATTCTGATCCCTCGATGTCCATTTTCATAATGTCAATGTAATTGTGACCATTCATTTTCATCAAGTCCTTCACGGAATAAAATGGCGGAGAACGGTCCGTGTCAGTCACATTGCTGATTCCAGCCTGAAGGAAATGAGCGCGGGAGGCATTTGACTGATCAAGGTTCTTTGCCCACGAGCCGACTGAGAAGTCGTATCCCCATATCTCACAGTTGGTACGACGCAGGACGGCATCCTCAAAAGCAGAATCATCGTTCACGCCGAAGGAATAGACGATGCAGGGTCTATTCTTATTTGCTTCGTATCGGCTCATGCCGCAAACCCACTTTCCGCCATCGCCTTCTCTACCAACACGTTCGAGTTCGTAAGGGCAATTAAAAGCTGGGTAGACAAAATCATAAAGTGTATATGGGGCAGAGTATCCCTTCGGGAATCTGCGGGAGGGGGACACGAGAAAAATAGTTAGCAGGTATGATGATGGTGATGATAATCGGACTGTGTGCATTGGGCAGTGGACAGCGGTTCAGGGCATCAACTTCACCGGGTGGCCGGTGCTGCTTACTTCCGATCCTTTCCCTTATTATTATCAAAGAAGGCCTTCATCTTCTTCCGACCGTTGATATTCTCTTTCCATAACCGCTCATATAGTCCAAGTTTGGCAACCAAGTCACCATTGAAGGCGCTCTGCTTGCTCAAAGAACTAGCAGCCTTCTTGAGTGATGCCCCATTATCAGAATTAAATGCTGCAAAAAGAATGACACATGCAATAGCGAATGTGATAAAAAGAGGGCTACAAGACCGAGCCATAGCGTCAGACTCTAGACAAAAAGGAAGCCTCGAGTTTTTGCGGAGAAGAAAAGAGGGAGAGGAAACAGCGAGGATTTCCGCAGCGTTGAAACTAAGGGTCTAAAGCCATCTGCAAACAACCCAAGGAAGAGATAGAACAAGGGGTAAAGAGGACAAAGGGGATGCAGGAGGGTGCTCCAGATAGCAAGGACATATGTAAATCAAGGTTATCATCACTCTTGATTCGCCGATCTCGCCCAAGTAACTTTCTGCTCCTGATTTTTCGTGGACGGGAGATAAGTATGAGCGGAATACCTCGTTTGTCCATCCGAATGCTGCGTCATTCGGGGGCGGACTGCGGAGGAAAAAGGCGGTTGGACTTGTCTCAGACACGATGGGAAGTCTACGCCGTAAGAAGAACATTTTCCTCGGAAGGTTCAAGGGAGAGCTTAACTAACAAACTATGCAAAGTTCGCCATGAGGAGCCGATTCAATACGAAATAAGTTTGGAGACCATCCATAGAACGTGCAGAACTGGGCGCAGATGAGCGTCAGACGGCCTTGGCCGCAGCGTCATCATCAACGATTTCTTGTCTGTCGATCTTGAGAACGCTGAGCCTCAAAACGTATCTCGAGCCGGCCGATCGTGGAGATGCTTCGCGGCCAAACCTTGAAGATGAAACGCGATCCCTTGATCACCCAAAAAAAAAAAAAAAAAAAAGGAAAAGGAAAAGGAAGAAGAAAAGCAAACTCGTAGTCCAACCTTGGGTGGCTTGCGACTGTCTCTCCGGATGAGACTATTTTGGTCCTTTTCCGACACTGATTGAACTTTGTTCCGGCAAAATGGGCAGCCCAAACACATGGCGCAAAATCTCTAAATCTGGACTGAAACACGTAAGAAAGACTCCGTATCTGTGACTTTGTCCCCTTCCCCCAGAGTGGAACATTTCTCCGCGTTGTGAGATCATTCCTAGTTGATGTGGGTTGAATGTCGGATGGGAACAGCAAGCTACAGGGTAATTTCAGCGCCATCTCATCGGGTATATGGAAGTGACTGCTCCGCATGTATGTAGTTTTCCGGGGTCGTAGGACAAAACTGGTAGTCAAACCGTCACCTCTCGTGGTACCCTGTCCGGTCTGCGTTTTTCGTTGCGGCCTGAGGAACTTTTCAAGATGAGTACAGAAACGCAGACTTCTGACACATGGAAGCCAGCAAATAATAATAATATCCTTTGTTTCGTGGCGGTGCCATCTGGATGACGAACACCGGTGGAGGTTTGTGCAGCAGCGCTGATTGGGTGGTGATGCATGTAAAGTATCAACCAGGAACTCAATCCTCGAGGTCCTTTTTTCCCATTGCCACCAACAGCCGCCCTGGTGCTTGTGCTCCAGTCAGGGGAGCCGACCATGCTTTATCAAAGACGTCAGGGTGCGGTGTTGACGACGTTTCGCATGCTCGACGGGGTAGTTAGTTAACACTCTGGCGTGAAAGTCTTGAGATGTGTCAGAAAATAATTTGCAATTGATGTTTCCCGTCTCCTTTTTGGCGCCCTTAATAGTCATTTCTTTGCCTCAAACGATTCAGCTAGTTAACTCCTCCGTCCCTTGCTTCGTTCACTGAAATGCAAAATCAATGGCGGTGGATCTTTACCTTGTGAGCTTGGCAGCATGGGTGCTGGCGAACGCAACAATCGCCTTCAGGCGATGGGACGGCAAACGTTCTGATGTCAAGATCTCAGATACGGTCCGCAATGCCGCGAACCAGACAGAATTAAACCTCAAGTACACATATTTTGTCGTTTATATACTTGTTGTTGCTTCGGACTGGTTGCAGGTCTGTTGTTTCCGGGCCCATGGAAAAGTACCCGAGTATTATCTACTGTGACTGACGGCACGAGGTTGGCAGGGTCCGTATCTCTACCCGCTCTATAAACAAACGCTCCAGCTCCCCGAGAACATTGTCGCAGCTCTCTTCTCTACCGGCTTCGTTTCAGGAGCACTTAGCGCCACATTCGTGGGCAGTCTTGCTGATCGCTATGGAAGACGGAAGGCCTGCCTTTTCTTTTGTGTGATATACAGTCTGTCATGTCTGCTCACGGTTTCCCCGAGCTCAGTTTACCTTTTGTTTTTGGGCAGACTGCTCGGGGGCATTGGGACCACGCTGCTTTTCACGGTGTTTGAAACATGGTTAGTCGCCGAGTTTCACCGATTGGAACTGGAGAAAGAAGGCGCAGAATTGAATGACCTTCTCGGCACTATGACTATATTGAATACCATCGTTGCTGTTGCTTCGGGGCTGCTGAGTGAGCTTCTTGTGGGATGGACTGAAAGTAAACGGTCGCCTTTTCTGGCAAGCATTTTCTGCCTGGGTCTAGCATTTTTTGCCATTCTTAGGAAATGGGTTGGTTTTTCAATCCACTAAATTTCGGTTCGGCTATTGGCTAATGCCATCTGTAGGGTGAAAACTATGGCGATGAAAAGGTTCTGAAAGGCGACTCCAGCGCTACTCATTTAATGGACGGTATTTCGGCTGTGATAAAAGGTGAGGGGCTTTGCACTCTGTTCGCTTGTCACGCTCGCAACTGATATCAAGGATGGCAGACGGTCGCGTTCTGACCCTAGGAATTGCTTCCACCATTTTCGAAGGAACAATGTATCTATTTGTCGTGTTCTGGTCCCCTGCAATAATCTCGGCTGAGCGGGCAGCGGACACGTCCGTCCCTCAAAACCCTCCTTTTGGGCTGATATTCGCCAGTTTCATGGCAGCCATGATGTTTGGTTCTCAGGTCTTCGCATATCTCATGCGACCTTCGTCTTCTCAACTACCCCTGGAGCAGGGCAATTCCCCTCCTCCTGCATTGGTACGATCAAGCTGTTTGCTAAAAGTTCTTCTTCCAGTCGCAAGCAGCTGTCTTTCTTGGAGTGTCTTGTGTCCCACGAGAACATCGACGTTGTGGGCTTTTTGCCTATATGAGATGACAATCGGCGTCTATTTCCCCAGTATGGGCGTTTTGAAAAGCGTCCTGGTCGATGACAGGCACAGAGCAAGCATATATGCGCTTTTTAGGGTGCCCTTGAACATCTTTGTTGTTGCTGGGCTTGCGTTGACAAAAGAGGGTAAGTTGCTATTTCCAGACCTGCAAGTACCAAGTAAGCTGACACCCATTCAGGAGAGGGGTATCGCAATACGGTGTTTCTAAGTTGCAGCGCACTGCTACTAGCAGCCATGGGATTTGCACATCTCTTCCTCAAGCATTGATTTCTTTTTGAGTTTTATTGCTCCAGAGTTGGTGTTCTCAAGATAGATTTTTCGGGTGATCTGGGAGATGACTATCCATTCCGTAGCGTAAATCTGTAGTTCCGAAAAACCATTGGAGACTTTTAAATCCACTGTATTCTGCATTATAACTTAGTATCTTGCAGATATATATCAGTTCCCAGTTTCTTGCAAGCAAGCCTCTTGTCGCATGCGTGCTGTTCTTTACTGTAAAGAGTTCGCAGGCGCATCCTTACACTTATATGGCTGAAGGCTATGGGATGTACCATAATGACCAACGGCCTTAGCAACATTGATTTAGACGGATATTGGACAAGTGGAAATCATACTTACTTCTGGCTTTGTTTACGAAGATATAAGGATGAAATTTATGTATGTGTATGAGGTCTAAATATCGTCATTTAATCTCCTCAATATCCAGCCTCATGTACCCTTTTTGCACATCTATTTACAGCCATGACAAAGGCCCTTTTTAGAAAATTGTTATACACTCATAATCCTAAGAGCGTTTGAGTGCTTGTAGCATGCCCACATGCTAAGGCTGGAAAGGCCAATAATTCAGCTATACACGGGTCTGCATAGTTTCCTTCTAAGTGCTTACAAATGGCTCGACATTCCGACCTGACTCTATCCTGTATCCACCATTGATCCACACTGCACATAAGACCGAACCAATAAGCCAATATAAGGAGCGCTCTAGGGTCTTTTTTCTGGATGAGACTGCGGTATCCGGTCAGCATCTGTCCGACGAAAATGACCAACTTGGACAAATTGGCGGCCGATGGTTCAAGACGCATCAGGACGAATAGGGTGGGCAGAGGAAGATAATACGGGTTGTTAGAGGAGTCGGAGGTTTGGCCAATTCCACACAAGTCTCGAAATGCAGGCGGGATGTCCTCGATTTGAAATTCAGCGGTAGAACTCGTCACTCTGTTTGAAGACTGGAGCCCAGATGCTGTGATGGCCGTCGCTTTCGGCTCTTTGGCAGATGGCTGACAGGCCGCCGCCGACGTAGAGCCAATTGGAGTTTTTTCCTGGGGGAGAGAAAATCCAAGTTTCGGTGTCATTAGGGTCGACGCCATTTGTGAATGCATGGGTAGTGAGCAGCATGCAGGTGCACAGGACGGCATCGATGTTTGTGGAGTCGATGGGTCCGTTGAGCTCTTTATTGAAGAGAGAAATTGAGCGATTCCAGTGGTACTCTACAGGAACATTGGGAACATAGGATGGAGCTACATGAAGTAGATGGCTTATTGAACATGCAATTACTGCGTGCATGAGATGGGGTGCCTAAACAAGCCGATAAGCTGCGCCCATTTTGCAAATTGTACGTATACTACCTTAAAACTCAGTGAAACGCCATGCGTGCGCAAGATATGTCGGGGAAGAGGCGCACCCAACGTATGCGACGTGAAGACATCAAATCGTGTGACCGCTTCAAGGTTCTCACGGCTCACCGACACCATGCCGCCAGCGGAGTGCAGGACATGGCCGATATTTTCTTCATTGCAAGCCAGTGACAGAGAGAAATTGTGACCAGTAGGTGTCTGGTTCTGGAGAGTCAGTCTCAGGGGTCGGCATCTCATAAAGTATCGCTGTTCAGCCGGCTTGTAGATGCAGTGTACACCGTGAAGCTGGCACCGCCGACATTCGGGCTTTGTTTCATCGCACTGGAAACAAAAAAACAATTACCAGCCATTCCTAGACACTGGAAGGCGAGCAATGGAAGGAAGGAGAAAAAGGAGACCAGTGAGATATCAAGGGTTGGGCACGCCATAATACGGAGTTACCTTAATTCTTCGTCGTTTGCATACTGTGCAGCCTGAGCGGGACTTTTGATGCGGTCGCCGTCGGGATAGAGGTAATTCTTCGCTGGATAATTCTCCTCTGTTTTTTTGGCTTTCAATGTGGGATTCTTCTGAGCTTGAACGTGAACTGCTTGTTTTTCCTGTGTACTTTGGCATGGCGAACTTATCAGGAGCAAAAGGTCAGCATCTGAAATAGCTGAGCAACGAAATCATGCTCTAGAACCAGGTGAATCTATTGATTCATTGATCATTCGAAAGAATATTTATCAAGAGGATCATCATGATTTTCAATTCACCCACGAATTCTTTGGTGTCAGAATACTCGAGCAGTGAGTAAACAGCTGCCTAGACTGAAGATCCGAGGCTCAAAAGATTGTTAAATTTAGATCAATTCTCGTATTTAAAACTTGCCGATTCGCCAGCCCCGGTCGAGAGTGGTGTGTTGGGTGCAAGGAATGACGAGCAATTGGTCGTTGCCGGGAACTGAGGAACAGCAAGGTGTCAGACATATCAAAGCAAATTTTGAAAACGCAACCATTGCCAACAACATGCGTGTTGCAGAGCCCAGAGCCATCAAAGTGTCGAGCTAAATGAACTGAGGACTGAGCTTCATCTGCGCACTGGATATGGACGCAATGTCTGTACTGAGTCCTCCGAAATATCACGCTATCCGTTACCACGAGCAGAAGAACGCACGGCCGTACCCATAGCAGTACTCGAATAACTACAATGCGTTCATCGCCTTTAATTCGTGTGCAAACAGGATACCTAGATCGCCTGATATAAAGCGGTATTTTGGCACCGAGCAGCGGAATGGGCGCCAAGAGCGGAGTAGCGCTTAGTCATATCGACTTTTGGGGACGGCGGCGGGATGAGCATACGGGAGCTCCAGATACACTCAGCACGCGTTTTTGATCCCTCCAGTTTACAAGGCTCTGTTTTTAATATCCAATTCATGTGCCCTTGAAGCCGCTGCCCCCTCAAACACGACAACTGACCCTACGATCGACGGTGCAAATCCACCAACCGCCACCCCACCGCACCCGCAACCATGCCCCGATCCAACGCCAGCAACGACGACGACACCGCTGCGCTCCTCGACGCCCTCGAACACGAAGAATCGAACCCAGTCTACAATTCACAGCGCATCGCACAAATAAAAGCCGAACTCTCTTCCACAAAAACCTCACAATCCAACCCCATCGCAGACACAACCCCCTCCTCCGCCGGCACCGTAACGACCCTCCTCAACAACTCCCCGCTCCCGACCCTCCCTACCGACCAAGCAGTCCTAGATTTCACCACCCAACTCTCTCACTGCATCCTGCACTTTTCCCATCCGGACTTTGCACGCTGCGCCACCATGGACAAACATCTCACCTGCCTATCCACCGCGCACTCTTCGAGCAGTGGAGCTCGATTCGCGCGCGTCGACGTGCGCAATGTTCCCTTTATAGTTGAGAAGTTGAAGATCAGAGTGTTACCGTGTGTCATTGGGTTTGTGGACGGGGAGGTTCGGGAGAGAGTATTGGGATTTGAGGGGTTGGGAACAGGGGGACTGGACGCGTTGGGGGATGATTTTGACACAGGTGTGTTGGAGGATAGGTTTGTCAAGAAGGGAATATTGAGCGGGGTGAAGATTGGGCGGAAGGGAAGGGATGACGATGGGCAAAGCGATGGGAGTGAAGATTGGGAGGAGAAACGAAATCGCGGGAAGAAGTCGATTAGAAGTGGAAGAAGGAAGGTGGAGGACGATGATTCGGATTGGGACTGATGCTGACAGGTTAAATCCGGCATGCTTTATGGGAACCTGCTGGCGGATTTGATTCAAGCACCGGGTGAGCTCCGTTATACAAATGGTGCTTGAAATCTCCTTGAAATTGAGCAGTTGGATTTTAGATATGGACCTGATGAAAAAGTACTTCTGAGACATAGATCAAAAGCAAGAAGATACCCATGATACCCTAAATCAGGTCCTGTTATCCCATGCTACGAATATTAAGTGTACAATCCTCAGAGATAAGATTCCGGTTTTTATGCTACACTGCCAGTAAACTAATATCTATCATACAGCAGAATCTGGTCTGTGGATGACTGCGCCGAGTCTCAGGATCCTACTTCCCAACACATCCTCATTGCCTCGTGGGAATCATTCTTTCCTACGAAACCCAACAACATTTAACATGACAAATAGCGCTGCTCTTCAACAAAGAGCAAGAGAAGGTCCAGGGCAAGGGCATCCAGGGCTCAGGTATGATTCAGTGAACAGGATTGGGTAGAAAGCATCCACCAAAAAAAAAAGGGCACGTTCAAGTCTGCATAATCAGAGGTTGTAATGGTAATTATTCAGAAGGGATAACAGAAGATGATGCAATATGGGAAGGTGATTAAACAGTTTCTGAGAGGGAAAGGGGGTCGCCCAATAGTACAAGTTGGAAGAGAAATAGAAACAGAGAGTGAAAGAAGCAAGTTTGGTAAAATAAGAAATAAGAATTCATGGCAAAAGCATGAAAAACAGGGGAATCACTCTGAACAAAAGCAATAAAGGCAGAAAAGGCCATCGAGAGAAGTTATGAACATCACATCATCTCGGCATCAGAAAAATTCCTGCTGGTCGACTTTTTCTTTGCTTGGACAGATGTGAGGATTGTTTAGCCCAATCAAATGAAACCCAGTATCAAAAAAGGCCCACAAGAAATACATGGAGCAAAGAGTAAAGAAAAAGACATGCCTATGCTGGTGCTCAAAAAGGGGCAGAATTGGTGTGGGAAGCTCTTCTCTCATGGCCGATATTTGCGAGAGGGGGGCATACAATGCAGCGCTCAAATCGCAATACTTTTCATTCCTTCAAAATCTTTCGCGTCGAGACCGGTGGATGAGCGTGGTGTGGACAGGCCGCTCTTCGGTTTGTCAGCAGCTTTGGAAGTGCGTTTGCTAGTACCTTGCTCCGCATCCCCGTCGTTTTTCGAATCGGTAGTATGGACGGGTTCTGCTCTAATTGAGGCAGCAGGCGAGGTGAGATCAACGAGATCTGCATCCTTCGACTTGCTCTTGTCTGCATCGTTCGGTTCATTCTCTTTGACAGGAGATGATGCTTCTTCTGCGACTCGTGCCAAAGGACTAGACAATGCTAAGCCACCCTTCGGGCTACCGTTAGGCCCGCGTGACGGGAATCGATGCGGTGAACGCCCTCTCTCCTCAGTGCTTGGAGTTGGACTTCCATATGGGGAATCTCTCGTAGTTTTTCCATTGACAGAAGTGTTGACACCAAGACCAACGCCTCCTGACCGCTTCTTTGGAGGTCTACGGCCATGCTTCTGATCAGTGCGCCAGCGGAGAATCTCCAGGTACGGAGGATCTGCGTTTCTGAAAGGTTTCAATCTCAACTCGTTGGAATCTTCATCCACAATAACCTTGCCAGAGTGGAAGTCGTCTGCGACCATGGCTAAGAAAGCTGCCCAGGACCTGGCAATGACATATTTACAATCATAGTCGCGTCCGAAGAGGATAACCTGGCCCCATTTTCCAGCTGGTCCGGGTGCAAGATCAATGGCGATATTGTTACCTCCCCAGTCACGCGCGACGGGGATCCAGCTTGGGTGAGCATATGCCTTCTGAATGGCCCGCACTGGCTGTGAATCTTGCCTGTCGAGCAATTCCTGTCGCCAGAGAGGGTTGGACTGAGCTTGCGCTGCACTTGAAGTCGAGGAACCTCCGTATGCTTTTAGGGGAGGCTGTGGCCCGGATATGGTCGTCGTGCTGAGGAACTCTTCATTGACTGTTCGCCAGTTTCTCCATTCCTGAACAATTTCCTCACAGTCGAGAAGCATACACCCGAATAAGACACCGGTGGGCAAGCCACCTCGTTCTTGGCCGTCATGTATCATCAACGATTCGCGGACTTCCAGTGGTAGACTGCAGTCCAGCTCGTGCTCCAGCTCGTTGACATCATTCTGCGTGCAACCCTCGCACAATTGATCAAAAAGTTCCTCGTAATTTCTCTCGCACCATTTATCTATTTTCCTCCAAGAATGCGAGACCGGGGGAGGGGGTGGAGCACCGTCATGGAAACTCTGCATCTGCACGCCTTCGTCCTGCTCATTGGACCGTCTTTGTTTGGACCTCATGCCCGGTGAGTATGGCCGGGTCGGGGAGGTGATAGTGTCTTGGGACTCCGACCAACGCTGGGATCGCTTCGACGAATCTTCTTCGAAGGACGAACTGAGATCTGGTCGGGACTCGATGGCACTGGTCGCTACGGAGGTGAGGGGTGCGTGGCGGCTCTGGCTGAGGGGCACATGCTGCCCGGTGCGGTAGGGAGAGTCGTGGGAAGCATGCCTGTCATTTGATGTCATGGTGTGCCAGAAGGAACGCCATGCCGACCCGAAGCTATGACTATCAGCTTCCTGCACGCGGCAAAAGGAAATACGAAAAAGAGTTGGACTAGCGTGCACTTACGACGTCATGGCTGACAGAAGCCAATTAGTGCGATGTCGAGTCGAAACAAGAGAAATGAAAGAGTCAGGCGAGGAGAGCAATCCGCTGGGTCATTGAGCGAAGCAGTGCGGGAGTGGGTGACACAAAAGGAGTGTGGGAGGGCCTTGTTGACTGCGGTTGCAAGCCAAGAGGAGCGATGCTGGCACGGAGAATTTCAGGGGCGTGCAGCAATGGAAGGCAGTGCAACGGAGAGCAAAGTGAAACTCGCACAAAGCAGTGGAAAGAAGCACAGGATATGTGACCCAGTGTAATGATAGAATGGGGAATATAGCAGGGCTGGGAAATGATCCTGAGGTGAAATCAGCTTGACAGGTAGGGCGATGTGACCGTCGACAGAGTCATTGTTGCAGAAGAGAAAATGAAGGCGGACGAGCAGGAGAAACAGGAGCCAATGGCCGGGCTGGGGGTTGCGTTGCGCGAAGTTAAGTTGGTTTCATTCGGTCGGTCGGGCTGTGCGCCACACTTAACACGGCAGTTAACCCCTTCGTTAGCCACAGAGGGACCTCAACCACAGCCAGTTACCAGGCCAAGCTAACTAACTAGCCTCGGAGTTAGCTTAGCTCTCCCAACTTAACCTACAACCTAATCTTACTTTGCCGTGGCACAGTTGGGCTGGCTGGAGTCGTCAGAAACAAAGCAGCGAGTATATTGGAATCCCACCGAGATGCGCGGATTCAGGGGACATCCACTCATGTTTAAGACCTGGCCTTTTCTGTTTTGTGGTTGGTGGCTCCGAGATGGAACCAGAAAATTCTCTCTGCACCACTCAGAGCTTGGAATGTAGACAGCGGGTCTTCCATGTTATTTTTATTTCGCTCTCTTCCGCCGGCTGGTGCTCTTCATGAAACACCTGCAGGGTGAACCGGTCCGCCAAATTGCGCCCAAGCATCACATGAAACACCAAAGCAACAAAATACGGAAAACTTAGTATAGAGTAAAGGTAGTGAACGTGTTTTATATTTATACTGAAGCCCAAAATGAATGTCGTGGCTATAAACACGGCCTGAAAAGAGGGTATCTAGGTGAGAACCAACAGACGAGGCAGGGAAGAATAAACGATAGGCATAAATGAAATGATATCAAGAGGAACAAAAAGAACGACTTTAAGGTAACATGGCGGGTCGTGGGCGAATCGGAGAGGTATGTAAAAATAAAATAAAATAAAGTAAAATAAAAAAGGGCAGAAGCCGTATATCAGGGGAGTTGATTGCGATGGGGCCAAAGGCATGACGAAATGGAAAAGGGGGATGACGGTCGAGAATTGTGTGAGGTGTTTAAAAGTCCATCCATCACAAAGTATAACCCATCCAGCGGGTGCAAGGGTTTAGAAATTAGACGGCAAAAGCCCAAGGGTGAAACCAAACGGTAATGCCAAAGCCATATCAGTCGTAATCGAGGGAGAAACCCATCTGTGACTCCAGAAAAAGGGGAAAAAAAGAAAGGAAGAAAATCACACCAAGTGCCCGAGAATATCCCACGTCCATATACACAACTCCGCTCCCACCATTTCACAGTTCTATTTTAGAACGGATATCGTCAACGAACCCGACCTGACGCCATGCTTAAAACATGTAAAAGAGAGGGACAAACAGCGTCGAAATGCCCTGATGCCAAAACAAAACCATCCGTTCCTCTCCCCCACAGCCTGCTCTGTTCATTGAAATAAACACTCATCAACATAAAGGAAGCACCGGCAGACAAATAGGTGCCAGTAAATCCCAAGGAATCAATCGATTCCCTTCCAAAAGCTGATTGAGATAAACAACCGGTGAACTCAATCCAGTACATAATGGAAACAATATAAATATTCGCACTCTCGTATCATGGTCAGATATAAAATAACACAAGACTCAAAATGAAAATAAACAAGGAGAAGAATGTCTGTGTGATTATAACGAAGATTGGGTCCATGCAATACCTCACGCCATGGTCTGTCTCATGCCTTTAACATTATGTGTGTCGTTGACATTAAGCTTCAAAATGCGTCGGAGGTCGTCTTCCATTCTCTTCGTTTCCAGCGGATCTAACCGCGTAGAAACCCCTTGAGCAGGCTGCCCCCCGGAGACTAGTGAAGGCACGGTCCGGTTGGGCGTAGGCGAAACATAATTTCCATGGAAGGTCGAATGCCCCGAGTAAGTGTGGGCAGAATGATTTCGTGACATTTGGAAGGTAGGGTTGTGTTGATTGACAGGAAACATCTCTTTTTGAGTATTAGAGGATTGGTTGGGGAACTTGTGGGCTCCATTGCAAACGGAGGTCAAGTATTGGTAAGGAATGCTGCTGCTTTTATCACCAGCATTTACCTTGGCCGTGTTCTGTTCGGATGACACAGGGGTTGTCATGCTAGATGGTTGCTGTGATATACGGCAGTGGTTTGGCCTTGCAGTGGTGGATTGTGGGCTAAAAAGACCAGAATTATGGCGAGGTCCGAGCGACGACGAGGCAGAACGTTGAGGGGTAGGGTTTAAGAGCAAATTTTTCAACGCTTCTGCCTTCGCTTTTCTTTCTTCTTCGTTTAATGTAGTAGTATCCGCTGGACTCGATGGAGAACTCGCAGATCGAAGAGCATTAATCCGTTCTCTGTAGGAAGGAGCAAAGGACGGACCGATCGCCATCATTTTGCTGTCGGGGGTTTTAACTCTACTCTCAGAAGCATCCATCTCAAGAGGGAAAACTGCACCCGAGACGGGCTCGGATTCTTGAGGTATTTCAAATTTTTTGACATCTTCTTGCAGTGGAGTTGTGGATCCGGACGTGCGACCACGTTCCTTTGTGCCGTTTACGTTATTCGCTTCCCGAGCAGCCCTGAAAAGGAACTCAAGAGGCGAAGACGTATTTTTGTCTTCTTCTTGAAGCAAAGGAAGTGTTCTGGCTTGTGTGGGCGAAGAGTCTCCATCGTCAGAGTCATGGACTTTTTGAGTTTGGAGGGGCGAATCAGCCTCAGGAACGGATTTCGATACAAAGGAGGGTACCGGCAAGGCAGATGGCGCGGGGGAGGCATGAAATGTCGGCCCGGCATAGTGTGGACTGCCCCGAAGTGCCAACGGAGACTTCACTGAGGGTTGCGAGGATGTGTGTCGATGACCGGTATTCCCGCTGCCATTTGACGGTTTCGATGGATCCCAATGTTTTTTCGTTGGCCGTGCTTTCTTGCTTCGTGATCCACCTTCCGATAGAGTATTTGAAGAGTCGTATGCAAAGTTCGAATCGTTGTGTTGGGCGGATGGACTGAAGTAGGGAGGGGTTCCCTTTCCTACCACAGATGACAGGCCGTTCGTGAGGGTATTCGAATGAGAAATAGGGGTGGCAATTCTTTTAGAGTGTTTCTTCGTATTTCGCGGCCCCTTAGGCGTGGAAGGTGTTGGGGTCGACATCCCAATCAAGTGGCTTATTAAATAGCAGCCTTTGAATAGATAAAGAAATAGAAAGCAAATTCGCAAAAAGTAGAAGAACGTAACGCTCGAATAAACAAATGCAGATCAATGCAAAATGCACCCCGCTAGAAGTCAAGCAATGCGGAGGTCACGTTGCAGAGGAGCCTTGTTGGATTGTTTCAAGCGGACGCTTCGTCCTGGCGGAGGATTCTAGAGATCGAGGGGAGTCTGATGAGAAAGGTGTCAGCGCGGGAAAAGAAAAGGGACATTCCCTAAACATATTTATTCTGAATAGAAGAGATATCAAGGATCATAAGCGCCGTTGAAATTTTGAATGCTGTTGGTGAAGATGTGTTTTTGAGGGGTCTTTTGGGGAGGCGGGAGGCGGTTAAGAACGACCACCACAATGACTAGGAGGAGGCGAAAGTTCGCCCAGCTGTGTCAGCAGGTGAGAGTTGACGCAAGGTTGCCGTGGTGTTTGCTTTGTTTGTTTGGATATTCGAACCATTCAGGTGACACCACGCTAACTGCTTAGGTGTTAAGCGTTGTGCAGGTGACATCAACAGCCAGCCGAACCAACCGCCAGAAATGCGGCTGGCTCGGGACCTTTGGGTGAAGAGTCAGAAGTGTACAGCTGGTGAAGCTCCTTTGTATTCGGCGCACGGGTAGAGTATAGAGTACACAGCAACAGGACGAAATGCCTGCACTGTAAAATCACTAGTGCAACTATCTAACTGTTTACCAGATATGTGCTGTGTAGTTTGTACATCTCTCCATTCTCCATTCCTAATGACCACCAGATAAAGTGGGAGGTCCTGCCGGGTCCACCAATCCGAAATCAGTAATCAAATCAACAGTTAATTAAATTCGCAATCCATTTAATTTTAATTTTGTTTAAAATAATGTAAATTACATAATATCCCTAGTGGTGTAGTGGCTAACATCGCCGTCTTTCACACGGCAGCCCTGGGTTCGATTCCCAGCTAGGGAGCTACTATTCAGTATAAATTTTTTTAGTCTTTTTGTATAATTCGGCTCGTTCTCCGGAGTAGAGATTAGCATGATTATCGAGCATTTTACGGAGATGTTGACAGAAATTGATATCACTTCTTGTGCAACCCGCACATGCTGGTCCCCCGGTATGGCAATATCTAGTATCAACCTAGACTAGAAACGGGGCCAGAAATTACCACTCGTTCCAGAAGGCCTTTTGATACATGGATGGTTTGCAGAGTTCTAAAGCTAAGATGTTACAAGTTTATATCGACATTGCTGTTGCAATTTCAATCATGGTCAATTCAAATGCCATGCTGCCTCAGCAAGCACTGTCAGCCAATTTTTGTGCAGACTCTTTGCGTTTTGTATTATGATGGTCCCCAAGCCTGACTCGACGCCAAGGATAAGGCGATGGACACTGGCACTTATTTCATCTTCATTAATGTTCCTTCTCACACTTGTGAGCCGAATGAGGACAGCCGGCATGGGAACTAGGGTAAAGTATGAGGCTAGAGTGTGCACTGAACATGCAGGAGCTCTCCGCCAATTCCTCAGGAAGTTTTAAAAGAGAACATAAATCAATTCAGCACACGATTACTTGTGCTGTAGGGATCAAAAAGGATAATGTGGATATGCAGGGGTTTGATCCCAACCATCAAGCTTGGAGATGTTCATGCAAGTAGCAATGACTGTGACTGCTGAACTATCAGTTGTAAAGATCGTTCAAAAAGGAGGTGTGAAAATGTACTCCGTATTTGACTAACACATGATATGGTCAAGGCTATCAAGGTACTCCATACGCAATGATGGAACTTGATTCATCGCAAGGCGTATCAGAACTGGGAACGCTTCAAATACTTTCTTCTCCCAGTGTAGATTCCGAGTTCTAGTGCATCTAGTAGACCTTAATGGGTAACGAGAACGACCCATAGGGCACTTTTCGGAGAGAAGGGCGCCGTTTGAGCAGGCCGTGTCCCGTCCATGGTGCTTGACGGATTAAATGGATAACCCGGTCGACTAGCTGTGGGGCGTAACTAACCCCAAATACACTAGTGCGTGATTGGGCCCTCGATACGTAATTGGACGGGCAGCGACAGTAAGGCAACCCCCCATAATACTCCGTCCAGCGGTTCAACGTGAAGCTGGGCAGAAAGCGCGGGCAGTATCGCAGCTTCACCCTAAAGTAATTTACATCGGAGCCTAAGCCAGCACGAGAGTTGGGCGGAAGTATTTCTTTGGTGAGCTATTCTGACAATGTTGCGCCCCTGACGGTCAAAAAGCTAACATCCGGTGCCCTAACTTGGCGGAGAGTGATCAATGAAAGGCAGCCGAAGCAAATCACTTTCAGTTGAAAGCCCAGCTATCAAGTCGTGATATATAACCTCCCTTCTACCGTATCCCTCGCTTATTTTGGCTACGCCTTGACCGAATTTATTCGATTGTGCCTGCCTTCTGAAACATGGCCGACGTTGAAATGACCGATGCCCCAACAGCGCCAGCAAAACTCAAGGCTACGACTAAGAGCTCCAAATCAGGTGCCGCTGAGGCCAGCTCCGAAGGAAAGAAGCGGTTTGAGGTGAAGAAAGTATGTTGTTGAAGTCACGCCTCGTGTTGAACTCGTGCTAATGTTTCAAAAGTGGAATGCCGTCGCTCTCTGGGCATGGGACATTGTCGTAGACAACTGTGCCATCTGCCGAAACCACATCATGGACCTGTGTAAGTTATTCTGGATTATTTATGCGCAAAAGGCCTAACACGACAAATCTACAGGCATCGAGTGCCAGGCGAATCAGGGGTCCTCGACGGCAGAAGAATGTACTGTTGCGTGGGGAATATGCAATGTCAGTAGCTCTTTATCCACTATTTGCTCTGTTTCTTTGATTAGTTCAACGAAAAGGACATAACTAACGAATGTTGTTCTTGTCACAGCACGCTTTCCATTTCCACTGCATCTCAAGATGGCTGAGGACGAGACAAGTCTGCCCACTAGATAACAGAGACTGGGAATTCCAAAAGTATGGCCGATAGACGGTTATTCACTCGACGGAAATTTTACACCGATTACGGAGTCTTTTTACAGATCCAAAATTTTCTCTAAATGGGAGGAGCCCCTCGAGCTGCGCCACCGACCACTCGATATGGGGTTTGATTATGGGTTATGGGTCGGTGTTATGGCGACATCAGAGGTTAATAGGGCAGTAAATTTGATCTTTACTTTGAAGCAAGCATGATTCAGGCCCCATCTGGAATTATTTCATCTCGTCAAACTCCTCCCAGTGTATGCATTCGCTTGTGTGCATCTTCTCTGCGGGAGGTGATTGTCCAAGGAAGCATTTGCTATCCTTGAGACAGCCGCAGCGGTCTATATCCCACAGTGATTCTATACGTATTTCCCCAAATCCTAGTCCTCAGCGCGCTTTAACGTTTCCTACCACAATTCCTCCCCCTTGCACTCCTCCAATACCCGGCACCAGCCAGGGTTCGGGGTGTTTGTTATAGATCGGCCATGACGGTACGACAACCAGCATCGTTGAAATTAGCCCAACCGTCCCGATCAAAACCGTTATGAAGATGTCTTGGTATATGTAACCGGCGATGAACCCAATAGCCTAAGGGTGCGGTAAGTTTCGTTAGTTCAATAAGGAACGGCGCCCCGGTTTCTTTGGGCATCGGACGTTGTTGCCAATCAGAGAGAGAAGTGAGCGACGGGGAAAGGGTAGGGCTTACGCCGAAGAGAATGAGTAAAACGGTACTTAGTATTTCGGCAAGGCGCTGGCCATGGAAATCCTGTATCTCTGTTAGCGCTGATGATAATGTTTCTTGGTGGATGATGGTAGGGATATTGGGGGTGTTTGAATGAACGCACTATTTGAGCCTCGAAGATATCCTGGAGGGGGGCGAGTATTTCATCCATCTTGAAGTAATAATGACTATCGATTTGTCTCTCCGCGTAGCCGGTGAACGGTTGGGAAATGGATCTTGAATTTCGCGGGCTCTGCGCGTGAAGCGTCGGCGGGAAGCTTGGAGATCTGGCATGAGATCACATGTTATGGTTACCTGTTATTGGCTCGGAGGGTTGAAAGCTTAAGCGTCGGGAACTTGGCGGAGTGGAAGTGCTGGAACTGGCGAACGCCAGGCTACAGCACACGCCTCGCTCATTATTGCTTTTTTTTTTTTTGAGATCTTCTATGGAGGAGTGAGCAAGATCCGTTCTTTTTTCCCTCTCGAGTTTTTGACGATACTGTTGTATGGAGCTTCCCTATATTCGACGTCTCTCCTGAATGTGGTAATGCAATCACCTAAGAAAGAAAAAGAAATGCACCCCTCAGCTCATGAAGCATGAACTATCCGTATGGTGAAGAAAGGCTTGTGGACGTCTACATCAATCAATTCGAGTAAATCTTAGAGTCGAACGCATCAAAAGTGTCGGAATTTGCCCACATTTTCATCGCTTCTTTGTTTGCGAGATTTCGTCTAACCATGAAAATTCCCCGGTTTTATTTAAAAAGGTAGGTTCCTAGGGCCATAAGTATACCGTGAACGATTCTAAACTCCGGAGAGATCATCACTTTCGAGGTAAAGTTTTGTGTTTTATCTGATGCAACTCTAGCGGAGCGACTGAGCACGGCACAAGCCATACTTCTGACTTATACGCTGGTAGATCCCCTAATCCATTCCATTGCCAAATATGGCGACTAGGATCAAGGTTGAACCCGACCTTTACGCACCGCGGTTTGCACCAGGGAAGGAGTTAGTAGGAACTTCTCAGGGAAATGCGTTCGATAAGCCGCCAGAAGGGTGGATTCTCGAAGAATTAGAACGATTCGGCGTCATAGGCGAGAGACCCTGGGAGGCTCTATCTTACATTTCAGGGGTCAGGACTCATGCTTACAAGTGCCTTAGATGTTGAAAATCCGACAGAGCCCGACCTACAAGGTCCCATACATCCGATGTTCCAGCTCGAAAGATGGCCCGAGTTAATGCTAGACCGTGCCAGATATGACTCGTTTCGACCGAGTTTCATACTAGCCACGAAGTTGCTAAAAGTGGCCGGCCCGTTCCTAGCATCGGTGATACCAAAGCTTAGAATGGATTCAAGAAAAGAATACATTGTGGTGAAGGAAAGTGTAGCAGAGTCTCAATTGCACCGGTGCTTTGAGCGATTGGACGTAATTGCACAGCACACAGAATGGAGAGAAAACTCCGTCATGTGGCCTAACATTGGCCGGCATGGGCTCACAGCTCCCCACGGCGGAGGGATAGAGCCGGATCAACCCAGGGATGACGAGGATGTCGAAGTTTGGGAAAACTCGACCAAAAGAGATATCTCCAATGGATTGCCCTGCCGCAAGATGACCGTTTATCTTGCCAGTCAATATGGAGAGGCGTTGATGAAGTTTGGAGGAATGGAGCCTCCAAGCATGATATATTTGCAGGTCGTTTTCATGTGCGCAGTCACCCTTGTCCATGAAATTGCTCATTTAGCCTTCTCCGCATGCTTCTCAAACCGGCCCTGGAGGGGGGAGCCACTGGTCAAAGACGAAGTGCTGCGTGAGCTGGGATCCAGTTTAATAGCTTGGCTATTCAAAGGTTGGGTCCCCGAAAATATTAGCATCGATCCTAATGACAAAGACGACCATTCATTCAAATATGGATGTTGCTGGTATAAACAGCGCCGCCATCCAAGGGCACACCCGCAATATACGACGGTGCATTCAATGCCCATGTCGTACATCCAATCCATTCTAAGTCAAAAGAAGTGGGACATGTTCGATGAGTACGACATGCCATCGTATTCCATGGCAGTTAGAACACTTCTCCTGGAACCTTCGCTGCCTTTTCCAGCAGGAATTACTGCTCGCATCGCCAGAAAGGCGAAGCGAGTTCAGGTGGACGAAGATCCCGCCTTAGTCCCATATTCTGGCATTTGGGACTACCATGATCCAGACTGGGGTGAGTCTGGGCGACTGGGATCTAACGAAAAAATCCCATGTTCTCCCAAAACACCTTCTCTCAAATCTGAAGTGGATGCTAGAGAGACAAATGACGGACCGAGGGGCGGAAGGTCAGCCATCAGCCCGCCACCGGCTAACCGGAAAGGAGAGGTATCCGAAGAATTCTCCGAGTCTGCAGCTTCTTCTCCCATCAATATTTGGTCTATTCCGAGTGCCAGCAAGTCACCATCTCCGCTGCAAAGAGGAGAAATGCAACCGCGCTCGGAGCGTAGCGGCCAAGGAGACTGTGTAAGAAGCGAAAGTGCGAATAGAGAAGAATGCAGAGATGTTGGAATCAGCTATGAAGAATGTCAGACAGCAGGTGTGCAGAGGTCGCGCTTCAATGGTAGCACAATCTCATACCCCAGGAATCTGGCAGATGTCGGTGCAAATGTCACGGGTCCTAATTCCATGCCCGCGAGCTTGAGACAGCGCAGAAGTGCTTGTCCCAGCCGGCCAAGCTTCCGCGGACGTGGAAATGGCGGCCACCACATCTCCCATGATTCCGTGGGAAACAGTCATTCGCAACTCGACAATGAGGACAGCGGCATCACAAAGCACGGCATGCAACGCTTCCCTGTGATGGCACCCCCATCTGTGCATAATTCACTTCGGCGATGGCCGGCAGAGAGACCTCTTCGAAGGAGCAGGAGGCTGCAAGGCCTGGAGCCCGAAATGCCGGACGGACTTCAACCGCCCAAGAGACGGCGGGTTGTGCGACCTTAGATCTTAGTAGAAAGGGACTGTTACGTTGTTGGCCAAAGCTCTTGAAGGAGCCACAAGTCGATTTACTTTCCAAGGGGGCGTCTCTCCCTATTCAAGGACCCTTTTAGTGGCAAGGAAGGATATGAAAAAGAATCCACTTCCGGCTCCTCCAAAGCGTAATCGTATGTTGTGTACTCCGTAGCGAAAGAGGGAAACATTCAAAGGTCGCCTAGAGATAACTAATTGAAGATATACCGAGCATCGGTTGGGCGATTTGTAGAGCCAATTTTAGCCATCTCCAGGGTTCCATGCTTGTCCTACATCCGCCATCCCTCAGGCCATCTGATCCGATCCATGGAGCAGTACCGGACTTGGCGTGGCAGCTTTTCTCAGAGATATCCCTGAACGTCCAAGAAAGGGGTGGCGAGTGGAGCCAGCCAAGGATTCTGTAATGGCAATCGAAGGCGAATTGGCCCGTCGATTCACTCATGAGCGTCGACTGTGCTTTTCGTGAGAAGGATCGCCGAAGAGACACGGGAAGTCCCTAAAACAAACCATTTTGGGAGCAACCGAAGAACCATGTCTTAGAACGCGCCAACGAAAAAAGCCGGCGCCGTTAGAGCGGCGTGAGCAATTTGCCGAATGGGCTTAGATAGGCGAGCGGCTCGGTGGGCAGTCGACCGTGTCTGGCCTGGCGCCGGTGCCGTCCGCAATCCAGGTTTAGTCAGCGTCGCAAGGTTCGTCGTGGTTGGGGCTTTTGAACCTGCCCGCCCCTCGAGTTGAGATTTTTTTCTTTCACTTCACCTCTCCAGAAAATCCCCTTTCTCCCGCCCAAGCCCATCACTCCATTTTCTCGCTGCAGAGTTTCTTTTCCGCCTGTTCATCCATTCCATGCCGGGGCCACTTTACCCGCGTACCGCTCCTCTCGCTAGTACGCCGGTCAGCGTCCCTTTGTTCTATCGCTTCTCTGTCTCAGTTGGGTTGAGAATCATCGCCTTGTTCTGACTACAGGGCAGCGGCAGACGATCTCGTTCCGACTTCCTAGCGCCCGCGACGACTCCGGAGCTCCCCAGCTCCTATTGGACCAAGACATTCAAGTTGGCGGGGGTTAACTACGCCCAGTACTCCTTCATTCACCCTCTTCTAGGCCCAAAGTTCAGGGTCTTCGGCGGGGGAGACACTCGACCCCCATAACTGGGCTTTCAGCGTCATATGTGACCTGGCTGCCGAATAGGTGCACAGCAGATACAGCCGGCCCTTTCCCGAGGGCTAGGCTGAAGGATAAGGGACCAGGGCCGCAGTTTCGCGACGAGCTTCCCAGCCATTAACCGTTTTGGATAATCCGGACGAGTGAGCGCTTCCGGGCGTTCGCTCCCCCTCCTCTCCCCCCTCCCCCCGATTGTGAAACTCACACCACCCGTTCTATCGTACGACGTCGACGATCCTTCATTCACAATGAGTGAATCACCGAGGTCAGAGAAGTGCCAGACAAGGTACAGCACTCCCGTTCCCGAGCTGGATGACCATCGCTTCCAAGCCGAGTCCCTGCCGAGAGCGGACACCATCGAGAGCATCGCCGGCAGGCCTCCTATCCCCCAGGTGGTCACTACGCAACCCGAAGAACCCCGCGATTTTCAGCATGTGAGGGAGGCGCTCCTCGACGGCTCCTTGAAAGTTCGCGATTTTGAACACGCTATTGTAGATGACGATCACTCCATTCAAGATCTTGAACGTGCTGGAGGAAGACGAATGTCTGTGAGCCCTGCTGCGGTTCGCACCCACAGACGCACCCGAACCAATCAAGACGCATCGTCGATTTCTTCCTCCAGGTCATCCTCTCCTCCGAACTCGGTTGACGCTTTCGCAGAGCCTCGTCGACGCGAACGTGCAAATACCCTCGAAAGTCAGTGCCCAGCGGACCTCGACGCCCTTCTGCATCGCACCATATCTGCTGGTACACATCACCGGCGGCCAACCTTTAGTAATGAAAGTGTCATTCGGGCAGACAGCGTAGACCCGCGGGTTAACATGGGAGAGGGTGGAGACGTATGCTTCCCGCCCCATGAGGAATCACGAAAGTCATCGCTTATCGACTTTGAGGAGCTGGAAGAGTTCGTGGCCCTTGGGAAAACGGCAAGTCCGCCACCCAATGGTCCTACTCGGCGCAAGCATAGCATGAGCTCACAAAGCAAGCAACCACGAATCTTTCATGATTTGCGCCCTCATGCTCACAAGACAGATGATCCAATCCCTATCATGCGGGGTGCAAGTCCCTTGGAATCATCATCCGATTTTGTTGATAAAACAGACAGAGTTGCAAAACAACTTGGCGGAGCTCCTGTGGATGCGGTTGACGAGAAAAAGCTCTTTGAAATCCTTCAGAATGAAAATGACCCCACACGCTTCAGTTTCTTCTCTTCAGAATTTGAAAGCACAATCCATGCTGCCGAACTAGGGGATCTGGTCCTTCCAGGCGACAGCTTCCGAGACCTTTTCCAGCTTGGCCCGGAAGGAGGTGTGTGGTGGCTCGACGTTATTAATCCAAGTAAGGATGAGCTTGGGGCAATATGCCGTGCATTTTCCATCCATCCTTTGACAGCAGAGGACATTATCACCCAGGAAGCCCGTGAGAAGGTTGAGTTGTTCAAGCAGTACTATTTTGTCTGCTTCCGGACCTTCTATCAGATCGACAAAGCTAGTGAACACTACCTGGAGCCTGTCAATCTTTATATGGTGGTGTTCCGCGAAGGAGTACTGTCTTTCTCGTTCATTGATAACCCTCATGCTGCAAATGTCCGCAAGAGAATTGGGAAGTTGAGAGAGTATGTTTCACTTAGCAGTGACTGGATCTGCTATGCCATGATGTAGGTTCCCATAACTCTTTGCAATTTCTTTTTTTTTTTTTTTTTTTTTTTTTTTTTTTTTTTTTTTTTGGGTGAACATATGATCAGAGACTAACATCGCCACAGCGACGACATCGTTGACAGCTTTGGACCAGTCATCCGTGATGTGGAGAGAGAATCTGAAGCAATTGAAGACCATGTATATGTTGCCCGTGTGGAAGACTTCAATGTCTTTCTTCCTCAAATCGGCGGTCTCCGGAAAAAAGTGATGAGTTTGATGCGACTGCTAGGCGGTAAAGCAGATGTTATTCGGGGCTTCTCAAAGCGCTGCAATGAGCAATATTCGGTTACTCCGCGTGGAGACATTGGTCTATATCTCGGTGATATTCAGGACCACGTTGTTACGATGATGTCCAATCTTGGCCATTTCGAAAAAATGCTCAGCCGAGCCCACAGCAACTATCTTGCCCAGTTGAATGTGACCAACATCATGTTGGGCAATGATGTGAATAGGATCTTGAGCAAGATCACCTTCTTGGGAAGTATTTTGGTTCCATTGAACCTGATTTGTGGTCTTTTTGGAATGAACGTCCCTGTGCCTGGTGGTGAAGGGGGCAGCTTGTCCTGGTTCTTTGGCATCCTTGGTGTCATTGGAGCCATCATGGTCATTAGTGTTGTGTTAGCACGGCGGTATAAACTGCTGTGAAGCTAACATATCCGCTGGCGGTTGTCCCTGACAGGTGCAGGTCATTCCTCAACTCCATTCATGGATAAATTCCGTTGCTTGCTTTTTAATTCTGCTAAAACTTGTCTTTCGTGTTTATATTATTGACATTGACTTTACTTGTTTATGTTGTAATTAATTGGTTCATCAAGCTCTTCGACATAGATGCAGCTATACAATGCCAACCAATAAACTGCCGAGAGAGCAATGCAAAAGCAATCTATCCAGTATCCAACGGAGTCCAAATCCTACTGAAACCACCCAAAACCTTAAATATGCCATTGAGCCGTGCCTTCCAGTCCATTTGCTCCCAAAATGCCTTATCTGTTGTCTTGAATACAATGCGTCATGATATCTTTTGGCGCTTCATCGTAGATCCCTTAAAACCACTGTTTTCCCTTGCCCGTTTTCGTTCCATGTCCTCTTTCATTACTCGTTCAATAGCGCTTAGTGGCCTAGGCGGTATATCGGCTTTTTTGGTAGCTGCAGTCTTTCTGGACATCGAAGCAAAGACGTTCTTCGACTTTGAACCTGAACTTCCAAGTCCAAGTTTGATTGGCACCTTTTGCGCTTGAGCTGCTGGAGCTGGCGTCGACGCTGAGGAAGGGATTTCTGATTTCTCTGTTTCAGACTCATGGTCCATCTTAGGTTGATCCGGCTTCTCAGAAGCCGAAGAGAAAGCAGAGTTCTCTTGGGGGGTAAGCTTCGAGGCGAAATTCAGCGTAATCTTCTCTCCTTCTACCCTTTGTAATTTCTTAGGCGCCTCCGGGGCATCGCCATCTGTAGTGCCTGTGGCGTCTTTATCCCGCTGAGCTCTTTTGATCTGATCCTCGATCAGCTTCTTTTCTCGCTCCTCATCCCCACGATCCTGCCTTTCACGTTTTCGAATGGCATCCTGCCTTCTCAGTGCTTCGGGACTATTATCGATCCACGAGATGAAAATGCCCTTCTCTCCCTCTTCAACCCTACATATCCCTTCCCGGCCCAAATATTTCGCAAATTCCGTCAGGCTCGACCACTTCGTGGCGTTCATGTGGATATGCTCCTTGTTGGCGATGTACTCTTGATAGAAATGGTTGATGTGGACCTGTTTCTCGCCATGCGAAGTCCGTAACAACTGGATAAAGTCGCGGAGGAAATCATTTGAGTAGCCCTGAATGTACTTCTTCGGATCCTCTCCCACTAGGAGCATCTGGCGGACGTGTGATTCGGATTGAGTGTGGCATTTGAAACCGTTCTCATCGCGCATCTGCCTTTGGCAAACCTGACAGTACCAACGTAAGCGCTGCAACCCTTTCGACTTCAACTTATTGGAGATAAACTTTGTACTCCCAACCTCTGCGCGCGGCATGATGACGGCGGTCGACAGGAGATGTGAATGGAACGAGATGCGGAAGACCGAGTTGAAGGTCTCAACACATGCTCCAGCCCGCTGTTCGTCTTGATGGCAACTGCGGTTGGTTACTAAGCAAGGGAAGGTTTAATAACCAGCCACATATGGCTAGTGGACTCCCTTTGTTGTGGCTGTGAACGCGCTAAAAATAGTCTGCCTGCTCAACCGATCACGTGTAGATATCAATTCCCCGGCCACGGCGGCGGCCTTTCCGGGGGTTCTTTGGGGCAACAAGGTCGGTCGTTGTCGAGGTCTGTCTCAGCTTTATTTTTTGTTGGGCTCGGTTGGAAGAGATGGATTTTCCACTGCGATGATGGGTTTGGCATTTACGCCTTGGTCGTAAGCCGATGGCATTGTTGTTACTCAATGGTCGGCAACCTGAAACTGTCCTGATAATACCAACTCCGTCGAAATATCTCCGACGTGGATATTGATGTGCGAGCGGGACACACCTAGCTTACTTAGTTTCTAGACTCGTCGCTCTTTTTTTCAGCTTTTGCTCTCCTACACGTTCTCTTTTTCGAATGCCTTGCCCAAAGCTCACTCCTCTTCAGGCCCGCTTTGCTGCCTGCCTCGCGGCCACTCTTTTTCTCATCTTCCTCTATCTCATTCCCTTGAACATACGATTCGCATACGCAATTGATGTTGATTCGATAATACGCGAAGACCATAACCATCCCATCGTACTAGATTTGGATATACCGTTCGGAGTTGCGGAACTTGGAGCTCAGGAGCATCCTGATGTGCTGGCTAAGGAGGATCTTCATCAGAATGTTAGCCTTGTAAGGAGAGCACCTGAAGGAGTGGACGCGCTGGCGAACAATGCACCAAGGTTGAAAAATATCAGGATGGGAGAAACCCAGTACTGGATGATTCCTAAAGACGTGCTGACCGGCCCAAAGTCTCCACGTTCCCCAGGGCTACCGACGGTCGTTCAGCCAAAGAATGAAAAACCGGAAGCTGATGGCATACTGTTTGAAAGAGAAAGAAAACGCGATGGGGGATTATCTCGTCGATCTACTACTGTTTACGTTACGTTGAATACCTGTATTCAACCCTCATTGAACGCAACTCAACGATCGGACGATTCTTCTCCTCCGCAGCTTCAGCTCTTTTACTCTGAAGATGGTTCAGTAAAAGAACCTGGTCCAGATACTCCTGAAGTTCTGTCTATTGGTTTTGACGATGGATACGCTTCTGCAGAGATACAGGCGGATGGAGATGTGTACATCGGAGTTTTTGCTCCCACCCATCCGAGATATCGTGGAATGTATAACTACGAAGTTGCAGCATCTGTGGATGCTCCTTTCCATAGCGTGGAACCCGATGCACCCTTCTTATATTTTGTCGACAGTGACAGCCAAGCAGCTTTGCTTCAGACAAATGCTACGACTGCAGCGAAACCAGGAGATGAATCGTATAAAGAGTGGATGAAACTAGATCCGCCGCCATTTACCATGTTTGCGCATAATATGAACAGTTCAGATATCTTTGGAATCCAGAAATCGTATTGCGGGCTTAGCAAGAATGCGCAGATGAGCCGAATAGGTGGTAGCCTCAAAACCAGGATGACAAATCGTGGCCTGACGCCTAAGGAACAATTCTACATCACAGGGCTTAATCGCAGCTCGGGGTACTATGGGATTCTGGCCATGGAAGGAAACTCAACTGCGTCCGGGAATGGTGTTGTCGGTGGAGGTGGTAAAGTCTGGAAAACGATGAATTTTACCACTAAGTCAGGTAAATCTTCAGTTTATATTAAACATACACAGAATCTTATTTAATCTGACGTGTTTAGACAACAATTGTGCAGTGGTATACGACCTCAAATTCTGCTCCGAAGTCGCCTACGCGGTCCCGTCCAACCCGGCTCTCAATGTCTCTCAGCTCATGAAACTCTACGACGACCATGCCGCCAAACTATATAAAAATTTCTCATATTCTCTCCAGCAAATCCCCTGCAATGCTTCCTCCTCCTCAAAATACTCTCTCGCTCGCGACTGTGATGATTGTGCATCTGCATACAAGCAATGGCTCTGCGCCGTAACCATTCCTCGCTGCCACGATTTCTCCAGCAGCCTCTCATTCCTTCGCCCTCGTAATACGGGCCAAAATTTCTTAAATGGAAGCATTTTACCCGATGATCACCCTCTACGACAAAACGTCCTCACAAATTCATCCCGCAACCCGTTGATTGACGAAGAAATCAAACCCGGGCCGTATAACGAAGTACTGCCATGCCGGGAACTTTGTTATGATTTGGCACAGAGTTGCCCCAGTGCGTTGGGTTTTGGGTGTCCGACAAACAAGTGGCTGAATTACTCGTACGGGATAATGAGCGATAATGGAGATGTTACGTGTAGCTATTTGGGGGCGACATACTTTATGAGGAATGGTGCCCTGAGCATTGCACAAGCTGGCGCTAGTATGGGATTACTTGGTTTGGGTTTCTGGTGTCTCGTTTGGGGCCTTGTGTGACCCCTTCCTTTTTTTTCTTTTTCTTTTTTCTTTTTTTTGTTCTTTGGACGGCTTCAATTGCCTATGTTCAGGCTATGTTATCGACTCCTTGGTTCGTGTGTATAGAGCTTTTTTTATATGGCCTGAATGCCTAATTATAATATTGAGAGATAGGATATTGGACACAAAATTCGAAGCTAGAGCTTCCATGAGCATTTGTCTTGATTTTGCAGAGAGTCTAGAATAATTCTCTCTCAGGCTTAAGAATCATGAGTGTAAAATCACAATATTATATCATACAGGGTATCTCTATGTAATCCTAAAGAACATCCATTCTCCAAAAATAAAGTCTTTTAAACGATTCTATTTCCCTCTCCTAGGCGTTGGCGTCCACATATTCTTCAACCCAGATGCTACATTCCCCAGTTCCGGCCGGCGGGGGGTACTGTTTCCCACACTTGCCCACAATCTTTGTCCTGCAGGCGTTAAGGCCGCTTTACTCATCCCACTTCCGCCAGGGGTTCTCCCACCAGCTCCAACCATGGGACTACTAGGAAATCTCGGCGCCGGCGTCTTCGTAGTACTGACAAACTTTTCAACACGTTTAGTTTTAGCAACACGTTCAACCATGCGATGGTGTAACGCTTCGCGACGACGGGTTTCTTGGAGTTTGAAGGGATTTGGAGTGGATGATGCGCTGATGGTTAGGAGTTTTAAGTGAGAATCTTCTTCGTCTGCGGTTTGCTTGGCGGTGATAGGCTGGGGATCAGGTTCGTCCTCATCGACAAAGGCGTATCCATTCACGCGAGGAGTCTCGCCGCCTGTGAAGCCAGATTCAGAATCTGTGACTCGTGGACGGCCAGAAATGGCATCCCGGATGGCTGAGATCGAAGGCGATGGGGGTGGAGCATTTTGTGAACCGTCACTGAGTGATTCGGGTTGAATTCTAGTGTTCTGGTATAAGACCCGCTTCGGACCAGCGCGCGACGTGGTTTCAGCTTTTTGCTGTACAGTCTCATGTGTATCTTCGATCGATGAAGGTATAAACATCAACGAATTCTCCGCTTTCGGCTTCCAAGCATCCGGCCTCGCGGGGCGAGCATCAAGATCTGTCGTGATAAGCTCCTTACTCGCCTCCAAACTCTTCTGGTCTTCCAGTCTTTTCGCCTCGCGTTGTCGATGCGCGATCTGTCTTGCGGTAGGAATCTTATTTCCACCCCACATCCATGCATATTTATCTCTCCGCTTAACATTCTGTCGATCCAGCAGCTTATTAAACGACTCATTATCCTCGCTCGTATATTTAGACTGAAAAGCGCCTAAGCCCATTTTCACCGCATCGGCCTTCATCGTACTTCCTGAAATAGGCATCTTTGACGAAGGAGTGCTCATCGAAGAAGCCACAGACATTGGAGTATCACCACCCCATTGCTTGGGTGTGTCTCCGGGGCGTGCTGAACGTCTGGGAGTGGACAGGCTCACGCCTTGCCGCCCTTGTCGACCAGGTGTCATGACCTCTGTCAATCTGCGTCCTGCTGCTGCAATTAATTCTTTATCCTTCGACTCGAGGGCATCAAGATAGTCTTGTTGGGTCTGGGTTTCGAGAAGTCCAGGGAAGAAGTCCCTTGCGATTATGTGGGATAATGCATCGGTATAGTCGTCTTCATCGAGGACTTTGGGTGGTCGTTTGATCCGTTTTGGCGGTGGCGGAGGTGGCATCAGATCAGTATCTAGGCTCCGTTTGACCAGAGCACTGGATGGTGATGAAGAAGCCATGGTCTTCTCTTTTTAGCAACCAGTAGGTTATTCTTAAAGGAAGTTTGATGTAGGTATGGCTTCTGGACGTGAACCTCTCGAGAGCGAAAGGCGGCGACTGAGCATCAGATGAGATAAGCCGATCATATTAACTAACTGCTAGTTAGCTGGGTGGCAGGTTGCAGTGGATTACTACCCAGGCACCCCATGTAACCTGGTTAGACAGGGGGTTAGTCAGCAAGACTGCAAAAATAACCAGATTTTCTGGAGGGTTGGCATCATACAGTTATCTTGGCAGTTGCATACTAGCTGGTATAAAGAATGGTGCTGAGTCAGTCATTTAGATTAGTAAGAGTTCTTTATTACAGAGATCTTTCAGACAGCACTGTACAGCTGGAACAGCAGTATCAGAATACATTTATCAGATAATTAATTAATTATCTGTAATAGCTTAGATCAGCAGCTGGAGATCTCAGAAAAGATTCTGTAAAGCAAGTAAATATAGATTCTGTAGATAACTAGATATCTATATAGTATGATTATACTATTCTGTATCTTATACAGAACAGAGTGTATATGTAGCAGTACTGCTTAGCACCAGCATCTAATATAGTTATAATGCTGTTCTGATGCTCTATTTATTTATATACACTATATCAATATATTATACAGCAGATAGTATCAGAATCAGTAAACAGTAGATTAAGTATTATCTTAATAACAGATTTTTTTTTTTCTTTCTTTCTTCTTTTCTCTTTTCTTCTCTTCTTTTCTCTTTTTTTTTTACTCTAAGTCTGT